TATATATATATAAATGTGTATATATATATATATATGTGTGTGTGTGTGTGTATATATATATATATATGTGTGTGTGTGTGTGTGTGTGTATGTGTATATATATATATATGTGTGTGTGTGTGTGTATATATATATGTATATGTGTATATATATATGTATGTATGTATATATATAATATATGTATATATATATATGTGTGTGTGTGTGTGTATATATATATATATATATATATATGTGTGTGTGTGTGTGTGTGTGTATATATATATAAATGTGTATATATATATATATGTGTGTGTGTGTGTGTGTATATATATATATATATATAGTGGGGGGGGGGTCAGCTAAGCCCTGTCCTGCATAATGAATCACACGATGCAGCACACAAACACCATTTCAATGGCCATCAACTTTTTTGGGGGGGGGACAGCTTCCCCAAATATTTTATTGGGGGGGAGGGCAAAGGGACCCTGACCCCTAGGTGTGGGCTCCGAGGACTTCTCTCATGTTGCCTCTTCATCGCTTTTCCTAGTCTAAACGAAGTGGTTCCGAACCTTTTTTTGGCCATGCCTCACCTAAACATTTCTAAAATCCTGATGACTCCCCCCCCCCCGACATATAATTCTTATTATTCAAAAAGTGAACTCCTATTCACGTGGAGGAAGCCTAAAAGGCCATAAACTTGGTCTAAACAAGCTCGAATTGCCCCTCCTTAAAAATCAAATTGCCCCCCTTAAAAATCAAATTGCCCCCCTGTTGGGAAGCACGTCTGCAACTGTTCCTTACAAGGGAGTCGCTCCAACCCCTTGATCATTTTGGTGGCCTTTTTTCTGAAGCTTTTCCAGCTCCTCCTTGAGGTGAGGCGACCAGAACTGTACGCAGTACTTCAAATAGGTCACCCCGCAGATTTGGATAATTGGCATTATGATATTGACTGTCCCCTTCCCCCCAATTTCTTTGTAGTGTGGAATTTGCCTTATTATTTTTTTATGGCCACCTCACACTGAGTCAACATCTTCATTGAGCTATCTAGTATGACCCCAAAGTCTTATTCCTGGCATCATGAATGTGGAGTCTCAACTTAATATTTAGTGTGTAAATATTAAGTAGGAACTTCTGGCATATTCTGAGCTCCCACGCCCCAGTAAACCTTTTCAGTAGCATCCAGACTTGCAGTGCACAAGGACACCCAGGCAAGGAAAGTATTATACCTCCTCCCTGGAATCTGGGAGCAGGGGCTAGATGCAACAGAGAGTCCATAGTTTAGGGCTTTTGAATTTTTATTTTTTTAACAATTGTGTTGTGAACTCAAGAGTACGTACTTCGAAATAAGCGAAGTGGCATTAAAGAATTAAATGCAAATTTTTGAAAAGAAAGAAATTGAAATGTCACAAAATGTGTTTTAGTAGTAAGTGTAAAGAAACCTGGCATTTAGAATTCAACTCTGAAAGTTTCCCCCCTTATCTTTTCAAATACTACCCCTCAGCAGAAATCTCAGCATATACTTGGGAGAGTAGCAGCACTAGTCTTGTATCATGAAAAACAGTATTTATACTTAGATTAAACTGCAACTGATGACAATATATACATTTAATGATTTACAGGAATCTTGCATGTGAAGATGGCCAGCCAGCTGAAGCACATTGAAATTGTAGTCCAACAGCTTAATCGTTTCAATCCTGAAAATGAAAGTGTTGGGCATTTCTTGGATGAAACAGCTGCTAAAGCATTCCAGGTATGCAGAATCCTACTTCATCCCGCACAGTTTTCACATTTTAAGTTGGCTGTCTTCCTTTCTTAGAACTAAGCAAGATTAATCTTAATGTCACCAGATATCAAAATGCTTTAAGTGGATGGGGGAGAAGTAGGAGCAAGCAAACTAGATCAAAATCCCATGGTGGTGGTGGGGAATAATCTGAAATATCTGGCTTGGCATGTTGTTAGACTAGTCCTCTGAAATATTAAGTGCAAACACTTAAAGTTTGTTATTTTTAAACCTCTAGATAAATGCATTAGTTATAGGTTAGATTTCCATTTAAACTAGTAAGAAGATCGTATGCCTCTACTTTAGAAGAAGGAAATTAATTTTAGGAATAGCACAAGAATATTGACATAAACAGGCCTGAGTGTGATGCATTAATGGATGCCCAGGTGTCAGTTGCTGGACTGTGGAAATTATCTTAGAAGCTCCACTTGGTTTGGGATGTATGCCAACCATTCTTATCTTTGTCTCTGCTACTTTATATGATGGAAAGATAAGTGGGGAGGCAGGAGCAGTGGGGGAGGAGATTCTTAAAAATAGAGTCCTCAGCCCTTTGTTGATCTTGCCATGGAATCCAGGAGAAGTGTGGATTCCAAAGTGGACCTACGTCAAATCTGCTCATTAATCTTGGAAGTGTGGATCAAGTGAGTCTGCTTTGGAAGCTGAATTTGCCAAATTCCTTTCCTATTCCTAATACGTTTACACAGAAATCTCATCCATTCACCTTGACAGAGCATTAATCAATCCTATTTTGTCCCCTCTCCCTACATCATCTCTCTGCACAACTGTCATCAAGTGGGTGAAAGGAATAATGCTCCTGTTTCTTATCCCTATTCCATTTTTTCATTTGCTCTTTCCCCATAAATCTCCTACTCCTATTCTTCCCTGTTCCCCCTTTTCTGCCCGTTAGCCTCCTTTCATCCTCTTCCAGGTCCTTAATATGCTCCAGAAGTGCTTCCTCCCTAGAACATGTGAGATCTTAATCCCAGACTGACTGACAACCTTCCCTCCACAGAAAGAGACTGGACTGCAAAGCTGGTTGTCAAACAAACCTTTGTTCCTTTAGCAGCTGGAACATTTGAGAGTTCAGTGGCAACACATTAGCTCACCCATCCATTGTCAGAGGCTTCTGTGCCACAAGCACAGAATGTTTGCATTGTTATTTTCCACCACTGCAGATGTTGCTGCAACAGGTCAGGGGGCAATAGAAAGCTTGACCTGGTCCACAGGCCTGAGATCCACTGCCCTTCTCTAAACCCTGACTTGTTGTCTTGATAATTCCTATTAGGAAGCTCAGATTTTGCTGTGAGGAACTGTAGTTCTTGATTAATTATCAAAATATATGTATCATTTGGGAACATGTATGTGTTGTTGTGCATGTGTAACAGTAAAACGCACCAGCTGTGGTTTCTTGCCTTAGCACAGGGGTCAGCAAACTTTTTCAGCAGTGGGCTGGTCCACTGTTCCTCAGACCTATTTTGAGGGAAAAAATGAACAAATTCCTACGTCCCACAAATAACCCAGAGATGCATTTTAAATAAAAACACACATTCTACTCATGTAAAAAAACCAGGCAGGCCCCACAAATAACCCAGAGATGCATTTTAAATAAAAGGACACATTCTACTCATGTAAAAACACGCTGATTCCTGGACCATCCGCTGGCTGGATTAAGAAGGCGATTGGGCTGGATCCAGCCCCCAGGCCTTAGTTTGCCTACCCATGCCTTAGCACTATGAGATGAGGGGCAACAACACTTTGCAGAGATCTCACTTTGACAAGCATGAAATAAATTACACAGCAACTGACTTCAGAGAGCAGCCCATCATGACAAACTTCACTGTAGATTTTGTTATGGGACAAAAGGATGTTTGTTATGGTCCATCAGATGTTCCACTGTTACAGAAAATGGTTTAGAAAGAGCTACAACATAGAGCACAAGGTGGAATACAGGAAACACTCCTCTACACGTAACATGTTTGTCCACCTCAAGAACTGGACCAACCTCTCTTTGAAAGTAATCTTGAACCATATGGCTGACCTCACCCAGAGTAGCTCTGCTGGAAAAACTAATGAGTACAGTGCATAAGAAGGAGCTTCCTTTTCCAGCAAATTATTTGTGGGCTTCATCTTGTTAGAGACCTTGGATTGTTAGCTCTATGGAGTAGTGACTCAAGCCAGTGGCAATCTTTGTATAGTTCCTTTCTTAATGGCCAATCCATGTTAACATTGGGCAGAGAATTGTGGTGTTTTGTTCCATGCGTTGGACTTTGCTCCCCAAATTGTAATCAATTTAATCTCTACAGGCTTTCAGTGTAACAGATGAAACCTTTTTGATGGCAACTTTATCTGGCTGTATAGAATATAAACCTCTGTTGGATGTGGTGGTCAATGCATTTTATACCAGAGATGGAAAACATTGCCTGTTGTCTGATCATAATCTTTACGCTGGTAGGTATTATCTAATCAGAATATAATGATTTAGTGTTGGGTATTACATAATTAGTGTTGGGTATTACATAAGGGACGCGGGTGGCGCTGTGGGCCAAACCTCAGCGCTTGGGACTTGCCGATTGCATGGTCGGCGGTTTCGAATCCCCGAGGCGGGGTGCGCTCCCGTTGCTCGGTCCCAGCGCCTGCCAACCTAGCAGTTTGAAAGCACCCCCGGGTGCAAGTAGATAAATAGGGACCGCTTACTAGCGGGAAGGTAAACGGCGTTTCCGTGTGCGGCTCTGGCTCGCCAGAGCAGCGATGTCACGCTGGCCACGTGACCCGGAAGTGTCTGCGGACAGCGCTGGCTCCCGGCCTCTAGAGTGAGATGAGCGCACAACCCCAGAGTCTGTCAAGACTGGTCTGTATGGGCAGGGGTACCTTTACCTTTACCTTTACTATTACATAATTACAATATAATGACATAGGAAATTTACATCGGGTTGTCATTATCATTTATTTGCAGTCAACAGACTATATATATGTGTGTGTGTGTGTGTGTGTGTGTGTGTATGTGAGCCATAGGTTCGCCACCACTGACTCAGAGCCTCTGGATGAGCATATTCTGCCTAAAATGGTGAGGCTGAGTCATGAAACCGCTAGACACACTGTAATAAGCTTGAGAAAAGCTGAACCAGATAACTCCTTGCCACAAGAAAATCACTGTGGCAAAGAAGTTGGGAATTTCTCCTGCCAACCTAGCAGTTCGAAAGCACTTCAAAGTGCAAGTAGATAAATAGGTACCACTCCGGCGGGAAGATAAACGACGTTTCCATGCGCTGCTGTGGTTCGCTAGAAGCGGCTTAGTCATGCTGGCCACATGTATGGCTGTATGCCGGCTCCCTCGGCCAATAAAGTGAGATGAGCGTCGCAACCCCAGAGTCGGTCACGACTGGACCTAATGGTCAGGGGCCCCTTTACCTAAGATATCAATAGAAAATAATGTCTGTCATTGGCAGCTGACTATGCCAAACTCTAATTCCACCAGCTACAATTATGTGATGTGACATGCTTTGCTTCTGCACCATCATTTTGTAACTGGTGGGCCTCAGTAATTTTCATGTGACTCCTGGGGATCAAAAATTTGAGAACCCTTCTATATACTAACTTTGCACTATTCCAGTAACGTTATCAATTTTGTATCATTATCCATATTCATCCATATAATGCAAATCTATTTTGTTTCTGATAGTTGTTTGTTATTTGGCCACTTTTCAACTGGATGAACTTGGACTTCAGCAGTTCTCAAGAATGGTTAAGGCAGCAGATCCTGTTAAAATATGTAAGGTAAATAAAACTGATGTAGTTAAGCAATTAAATTTTTTTTAAAATCCAACATTTTTGTTATCCATTATGGGTTAACTGGTTCCCCCCAATAATGTATTAAATTACATATCTGGATATCAACAATGAAAAAGTTTCATTGTCAATCAACCAGACAAAGGTTGTCCACCATATAATTACTTGCCTCAGCAAATGGCAAGCTACCCCTCCTAGTGGTGCAGCAATAAAACTGCTGTCACATTTGCAAAGCTAAGCAGGGTCCTTTATGGTTTTAAATAGGATGGGAGACTGTTCAGATTGCTGCATTGCAGAGGGTTGGACTAGAATCACTAGATGACACTTGGGATCCCTTTCCAATTCTATAATTCTGTACCAGATGGGTCGGATCCAAAGTTGTTTGTCCACAAAAGGAAGGGCTTATTCCATTCACAGAAGGCACTGAGATCCAGTGAAGACTGTTATTTTCAGTTCCCCCTGCAGCCTTCCCCTGCCTCCTCCCATATTGCTCTGTACTTTCTCCCAGCCTAGTGAAACAGATTTCTATTACACAGGGGACTGCAGGAAGAAGTAGAAATCAGCTAAAATTGCCTCTCAACTTCTTCTAGATACTTATTTGTTTATTTAATATATTGCCCAATACCCTCAGGTCTCAGGGTGGTTCACAGGATAAAATCAGAATAGAAAACCACAAAGTACACAATCAAAATAAAAACAACAACCCAATAACCCCCCCACCCCCAATAACTCTCAATCTAACCCTGTGGTTGCAGGATATTCAGTAATCTCAACAGAATGCAAATAGACATAGGAACGGATGTGGACTGGTTGCAGTCAGTGCTTTTTTTCTAAAAAAAATGTTTAGGGGTACTCTCATTTTCCTACTCATATTGAAATACTGCCCCTCAATGAGGCCAAACTTAGATTCACAAAATGTTTAGGGGTATGCGTACACCTGCGCCCCCCCCCCCCGAAAAAAGCACTGGATGCAGTTATTAGGACAAACAAAGTACAATATCTGACCCAATGTTTAAGGCGGCTACTGGGTTTTCTCTGATTTTAAATCCTTAACTAGAGCAAATTCTTTTTAGTTCCTTAGATTCTTTTTCGATGTTGTAAATTTGCACACATGGATAAAAGATGAATGGAACCAGATATATGATTCTGCCTATGTAAAAGAAAACTGGATCGACCCATTGCTAAGGTAAGCAATAATCAGTACAATCCCATTCGTGTTAAATCAGAAGTGAGTCTCATTATGTCTGATGGTGATTACTCTCAGAAAGCGGCATAGGATTGTAGTTTGTGTCTGTTAATAAATTAATGATAATTAGATTATCTTAAGCATCACTTGCATCCCAGAAATTCCAGTTCGCCGTGGTTAGTTTATAATTTATATATTTATTTGCAAGGAGGCTGAACTGTTTGTTTTACCAAGACTTGGGTAAGCAAACAGGATGGAGTTGGTCTTACCTGGGTACTTGATGCATCATCAGGGCAGATTTGAGGGGTAGGGTGGGGCTGTAGTCTGTAGGAATTCCATCTCTCTTCCAGTCTTCCAGTCTGCTTAAGTTGGGATCTAGTGTGTCTGTACTGGGAAGTCAGGACAGATTAGGGATTCTGTCGGTTTACCACCTGCCCTGGCGCCCTGTTGTCTTCCTGCCTGAGCTGACAGAGGTGGTCTCTGATGTGGTCTTGAAGACTCCCAGACTGTTGGTTCTGGAGAACCTCAACATACATGCCTAGTCCACTAAATCTGAGGTGTCTCAGAATTTCATGGCCACCATAACAACCATGGGTCTGTCCCAATATCATGTGGTAGTCCTCAGCATAGTTGTCAACCGTCCCTTCTTTGGCAGGAAACTCCCTTATCCCAGCGCCGTGTCCCGCTGCTGTCCCGGATTGATGATGTCCCTTAAATTTCCCGGGTTTCAAAGGAAGCAGCTCCTCCCCCTCCCTCCCTGCCGGCCAGGGAGGAGGGAGGCTCCATCTGTGTTGCTTGGCTGCGTTGCTCACCCAATAAGGAGTCTTAGAATGATTGGAGGGTGGAGCTTGCATGCCTTGTGCCGATCAAATCGGCTGCGTTGCCTGGGGACTCGCCTTTACTCATCGCTTCCCAGTGGAGAGGTGACGGTGGTTTTCCTTGCTGCATCCGCTTTGCCAGGTTGCTGTGCTGTGGGAACCACCGCTTGAGGCTTCGTTTGGCTGCTGGCTGGGCTTTCTGCCTTTGGCTCGGAGAGGCTCAGAAGCTGAACATACCTGTGACCAGAAAATCCCTTATTTAGGCTGCTGATCCCTTATTTTCAAGGCTGCTGGTCCCTTATTTTCAAATCTGTAAGTTGACAGCTATGGTCCTCAGCCCTGATCTGATTTTCTCAACCAGGTAGAAGGAGGATGATCTGAGAATGCAACAGGTGAGATCACATCCTGCTGAGATTTAGCGAAGTTTTTAATGACTGATGTTTTAATGTATTTTTAATCTTTATTGGAAGCTGCCCAGAGTGGCTGGGGAAACCCAGCCAGATGGGCAGAGTATAAATAATAAATTATTATTATTATTATGGCTTCAGTCATTTCCCCCCTCCTCAGAAGTGGAGGCCCTGATAGAATTATCTACCCTCGGAGGTTAATGGAGGCAGCTCTGTAGGATTTTCCATCTGATGTGACTGGCAGTCCTGTCAAATCCCAGGATGACCCGTGGAATATACAGCTGACCTAGGCCACTCCCATATTCATCCCTAGGCACCCTTTCTGACTTGCCTGCTTGTTTTATTCCAAAGTTTACGGCAATGAAGCAAGCTGGGCAGTGGCTTGAATGCCAGTGGAAGAAAACTCAAGACGAACGAGCCTACTCATTGTTAGTGAAGACAGCGAAGAAGAACGTACCTGTTTCCATTGCACTTTCACTATGCTACCCAGTGGAGTTTTTCTAGGTAGTAATGAGGCATTTTACATTACGGCAGGTGGAACAGACAGTGGCATGCTTTGAAAAACATTTTGAAGATAAAATTGCTTGGGCCCATCATGACTTTGATTAGGTTACATCACAAGTGAATCTCAAGAAGTCTCTAGAGTGCAGTCTAGTCCTGTTGGGTTGCCAAAATTTCAGTTGTTGTGACTCAAGGAACTTGGACCAGTATGGGAAACTGTGGCTCCTTGCCCCTTATGGCTGATAAAAGCTAGCAAGGAGGTTTGGGTCAGGGAGCCTATAGAAAATGGTCCTTTTGTGTCTAAGAGAGCGAGGAAGCAGGGTTCATTGATTCCGCTTTGCTGGAGGCCCAGCTCCATCAGGCACCTCCTGGGCGCCTTTTTGGCTGAAGAGCAGGTACAAATGCTCTAACTAAGTAAATAAAGTAAAGGCAGCAGTGGTAAGGAAATGCCTTATAAATCCAGAAATTTAAATTAATATTGTCCATTTCCTGGGCTGGATTTTTGAGCGGGTGGTCATTAACTAGCTCCAGGCTTTCTTGGATGTAACTTTTTTTTTTAAGCTCTATTTCAATCAGAATTCAGCCCTGGTTTTGCCATGGAAGCTGCCTTGGCTACCTCTGTGTTGTTGAGCATTTTTAGGAATTCATACTGTATTTTGTTTTTACATTTTCTGGCTTTTAATGGATTTTATCTGATTTGTATTATCTGATTTGTATCTTTAACTTGCTTTTAAACCTTTGTGTATAGCAACTAACAAACGTAATACATAATAACAATAACAACAATAACTAATAATAAGCAAGGAAAACAAAAGTTATTCAGAACATAACGTAAATGTGGGACTTTATTAGTGACTCAAAACAAGCAGAAGCAGAAACTTTGAACATTGAAGTTGTGAACAGTGCAAGCCTATGCATATTTATTTATTTAGTAAGCTGTGTTCCATAGAGCTTACTCCCAGGTAAGTGTGCACAGGAAAGCAGCCTAAGTAGCTGTAGTGCATTGGCCCTCCTGCTTTGCCATACAGGAAGTGTCTGAGTCAGCTGTTGGGCACTGTGGTTTCCTATTAGTTCGGTGCTGCATGACCTTTTCTCTGTAACCTCTTGTTATTAAGGTTCTTAGGAACAGGGGAAGCTGCCTTATACCAAGTCAGACTATCGGATCCTCTAGCTAAGTGTTGTTTAGACTTACAGGCAGATTTATCTTGTATCTGTGTTTTAAACAATAATAACAATCCAATATGTTTTTGACTCGCTCTGTCCATTTTGATTTGGAATTTAGATTGCAAGCTACTCTGTATAAAATAAAGCTCTGTGCCTCTGGCTTCACTCTTCTAGGGAATTTAGTTATAACTTGCTCCCCTTTGGGCAGAATTAGATTTTTTTTTAAGGCACAGGAGTCCCCCCCCCGAGTCGGATTAAACCTCCCAAATGGCAGACATATACCAAGTAATTGTTTCGCCCTATAGGCGACTTTTCCCCCTCCAAAAAATGAAGGGGAAATGTGTGTGCGTCCTAGTGGGGGAGAATATCAGGGCTTTCGCCTGGAAGCCTGGAGAGCGAGAGGGGGTCGGATGCGCCCCGACCCCTCCTTGCTCCCCAGGCTTCAGGTAAGCTCTGCGCACCCCTCGGGAGCCTGGGCGCGAAGCCCACGCCCGGGCGTCCCGAAGGTTGCGCAGAGGCTGCCTGGGCTCCCGGGCTCAATGCAGCCTCCGCGCAAACCCTGGCTGGAGCCCCGGCACGAAGCGTGCCGCTGGCTCCCGAAGGTTTGCGCGGAGCCTGCCTGCACTCCGGGGCTTGGCGCAGCTCCGACGCCAACGCTCTGGAGGCCCGGCACGGAAGCCGCGGCCGGTGCATCCCGAAGGTTGCGCGGAGCTGCCTGTGCTCCGGGACTCGGCGCAGCTCCGAGGAACCCTCCGGAGCCGGCACGAAGCCGTGACGGGCTCCGAGGGTAGCGCAGAGCTGCCTGCGCTCCCAGGCTCAGCGCAGCTCCGCGCAAACCCTCCGGAGCCCAGCGCGGCTCCGGCATCGCTCTGGCTCCTGTTCTGGGGCTGGGTCGGGGGAAGCTCGGGCTTTCCCTGCCCCAGCCCTGCGCCTGTGGGGGGGGATAATTTTTTCCCCTTTATTCCCCCCCCCATCTAGGTGCGGCTTATGGGCCGGTTTGTCCTATAGGCCGAAAAATACGGTAGGTCCAGGGGTTGTTATGGGGAAAGTAAAAGGGATTTACTTTCTCTGTAATCCATATTATGGAGGGCAACCCCGTCCTTCTTTAGGCCAACTAAAACTCATATTCATTTTATGTATTTGAGGGTAGGGGAGCGGTGGGTTGTCTCTTGTACTTTCCTACCTTAAAATAAGTAAGAGGTGACTGACTGGTGTGTATTTCTTGATTGTCCTTTTTAAAAAGATTAGCAGCTTCAGATTGGTGTTTTTTGGTGTTGGAGAGACATCCTCCAATAGACGTTACAAAGATGAGTGCTGCCCTTTATATGGCCTGCTTAAATTCTCTGCTGGTAGCAGGGACAACTCATTAATCCTTGCTCTTGGGTCAGCATAGCATCACAGGTACTTCCCAGAGTCCAATTGGTGCATTCCATCGGAAATTGGTATGTTGAGGAAATGTGGATCTCAACATCGAATACTTGAAACTGTACTTCCCAAAAATTTACTAACAAATTGGGTCATTCAGGCCACATATGATATGGTCATGGATTTCATGAAACTGGAAGACATTGTGTATTAATGTTTATATTTATCCTCAACCTAAAAGACAGGGTAAATAAAATTTTTAAAAGCATTTGGGGAAAACTGTATATAGTTTATATTTACCAAAGTTAACAGGCATAAAGGGACTTGATTTTTACCATGTCAGACTGTTTCTCCACCTAACTCAGTTAGATGGCTTCATACTTCTCAAGGCAGGACCTGAATTCTTTTAACTGGAGGTTCCAGGAATTTAACCTGGAAACTTCTACATACAAAAAATGTACTTTCCCGCTGAACTGTGATTCCTCCCTTCCATAGTCTGTTAGAAAAGAATATAAGATAAAAAATGAAAATAAGGTTATATATTCTTTTTGTTTGAAGATGGCAGCCCAAAATGAAACAACTGATTGATCAGCTTGATGACAAATCAATTAAATGCACTGCTACAGCGTCAAAGACAACTGAACCAAAGGCGTTTAACTTGACAGTCCCTAATCCACGAGCTATTATGGTTCCTGAGCTAATTCCACCAGTAGAAAAAACGAAGCCTGTGAGTGCTGCTTTTTTACCAAAGAAAGTTTGTCTGATTTCTGATAATATCTGAACCCTAAATAAATTAACAGACTCTAAAAGGCAAGCCTCAGTTGAAGAAAGCGCTACGTATTAATTATTGAAGATGAATCCTATAAAAATCTTGTTTTTCTGTAGGGCAGTATCATTGGGCCATTGGGCCTTGGCAGAGCTACCTGCAGCTGTGGTGGACCCCAGTGGGTCTCCCTGTGGCAGACCCTATTGGGCCTCCCTGGGCCATATGTGTACACGCCAGGTGCCCCCAAAGTTGGGCGATACCCAGCACCTATACTTTCTCATAATACTATAATTGGGACTGGAAGTAGATCCAGAAAAGAAAGTACACCAGATGTGCTGGTGGCCACAGCTTTAAAAGAAGATTAAACAAATCCCATGAATGATCATGGAGCTCTCAATGTCTACTTGTCATGATGACTACCGTATTTTTTGTCCCATAGGACGCACCGGCCCATAGGATGCAACTAGTTTTTTTGGGGGGAAATAAAAGAAATCCCCCCCCCTTTATTCCCCCCCCCAAACCAGGTCAGGGAATCCAAACCAGGTCGAGGAACAGCAGGATTGTGGCGCTCTGCCTCCCCGCTGAGCTTGTGGGGCTGGCGCTGGGGAGAAGCGCGCTTCTCCCCAGCGCCAGCCTCCAAACCAGGTCGAGGAACAGCGGATGGTGGCGCTGCGCCTCTCCGCTGTCCCCCAAGCTTGTGGGGCTGCCCGATGTCTGCCTGAAGCGCAGGGTGCTCTGCTTCAGCGCTCCCTGCGCTCCATGCAGCAGGCTGCTATCTGCAGCCTAGGGAGCCCTGCGGGAACTCCCGCGGGCTCCCCAGGCTTGCGGATAGCTTCCTGAAGCCTGGAGAGCGAGAGGGGTCGGTGCGCACCGACCCCTCTCGCTCTCCAAGCCTCAGCGAAAGCCTGCATTCGCCCCATAGGACGCACACAGATTTCCCCTTCATTTTTGGAGGGGAAAAAGTGCGTCCTATAGGGTGAAAAATACGGTATATGGAAACTGTAGATTCGAAGGCAATATGCCACTGAACAGGGTGGATAAAAATCAATGAATATATATATATATATATATATATATATATGCTTTCGTAGATATATATATAGTTTTTTAAAATTTAAATTGGATTTTTAAAAAAAATTAAATCGGATTTTTAAAATAAAATGCTTTTGAGGGAAAAATCCTTCTAAAGATAGTTATCCATTTAAGTTACATTACAGTCCAAAGGCTATTCATCAGGAAATAAGGATTCATTTTAAGTTTTTCATGTGTGCTAAAACTCACAAGTTTTTTTTAAAATTGTTTAACCACATCAGTTAACAAATATGGATACATATGCTATAATGTTATTGTTTTAGTTCAATAAATTGTTTAAATTGTTATTAAGGAAATGATTATTTTTCTCCTTCCAATAAAGCACAGCAGAAAAGTTGGCCAGATATAAACATTTAACTTATGAAACCTCACAATAATTTCCTCATTATCTGTCTATGTATTTCTCATAGTGTAACCAAATCAGTAATTTTTGATATAACTGTAAAAACTACTCTGAAAATTTATTATTCCAAAAATGAAACCTTCATCTGGTTGTAAATATTAAGATGATACCAGCAAGAATGAGTCTTTCTGTAAAAAAATGATTTAAGTCAAGTCTTACTGACTAGTGATTTAAACTGTGATTTAAATAAATTTGATTTAAATCAAATCCACCCTGCCACTGAATACTAGTTGCTGGCAAGCAATGGGAAAGTGGTACTTACTGTGCTCACACTTTGCTTGTGGGCTTCCCAGAAGCAATTGGTTAGGCAATGTCAAAAACAGGGTGCTGGACTAGATATGCCTTCGGTCTAAATCAGCAGGGGTTTTCTTTTGGTCTAAAGCAAACTGTTGAAATATATGTTATTCGAATCCTTTCAGACCTCTTTGTTACCTAGTACTTTCTAACTCATAAATTATTGTTTCTGTGTGCCTAGGTTCCTAAAAGTACTTATAAACCCCAAAAACTGAAGCAGCAGCTAGAAGGAATTAAACTGAAGAATCGTCGCAAAGCGGAGGCAAGTTCAGTATTATCTCTTTATAATCTATTTAGGGCTTGTCCGCACTGCTGCTTGCCCCACCACTTTCCTTCAGGGGAAATTGAACGTCAAGCAGGTTTTCTGTGGATTGACATTTGCTCCAATTCAGCAGCAAAGAGCAGAAAAGAGTGGGGCAGTTGGGAAAACCACTTGTGATCCGAGGACCTGACCCCCGCTTGGGAATAATAAAGACACGTGGGCACAGTATATAAGGTTAATGGGCTAGAAAAGGACCCAACTTTTTTTATTACAGCATGTGAGAGGTATTGGCTTAGGCATTGGACCAACACTAAATTTTGACTCCACCCACTCGGAGAGGGGTGAGTCTGTCTAGGGTTAACCACCAGTAGGGGGAGCCTGTTGATGCAAACACAACTGTAAGCTCTCCCCTGATGTCACCGGGGGTTGTGCCATGGCCTCCAGCCACTCAGGGCATCGGACAGGATCCATGACCGCCTGATTCCTTTAACGGAATACCCATAAAGTGAAGGGGTAGGCAATGGCCACACCTTGCCCTTCCATACACCAACAACACATTCCAATGCCCTAACCCACCAAATACCAAGAAAGTTGTGTCGATTGCTACGAGATAGGCGAAAAAAAGCCAAGAGGCCCCCTAGGCAACCAGGGCGACCAACCATAGGTCCATAGCAAGGTCAAGCGAGAAGCTACGCCCTAAAGGGAGTGGTGGGTGGGTGACTCGAGGGAAATCGGAGCGCAATGGCGGGGAGAACTGGGGCGCGGCCGCATTTGAGCGGCTAAACCACGCGCCTGCACTGTCAACCTATTGGGTGCCCATCTGGGAGCGCGGCGTGCCAGCGACGATGGCAGGGCAGGGGGCGGAACGCCCCCTGTGTGACATGGGGATCGGCTCCCGGTCACAACCCCTCCCTCTGGAAGGAGGAGAGGCTTTCCAAAAGTTGCTTGCCCGCACAAATAACCATGGATTTGCAATAAAATGATGTCTCCGGGGACCTTTAGACACTCTACTTTGCATCTTCAATGCATCCAGTCCTCTACCTGGATGCATTTGATCTACTCTCCCCACAAACTGTTAAACCTTTTCACCCCTAGCTTACCATTAATATCTTCATTGATGTTTTCACACAGCTGAACATCCACTTTCACTTCATCTTCTCTTTCTCCACCCGCTGCGCCCCCACTGCACAAAGTGGGGAAAGGTATCATGTTACTGAAATTATTGTGTCCCCTTTAGGAACTGCTGCTGGAAGCAAATGTTAACCAGTTCTCCTGTGCAGCCCCCAAATCTGGATGTCACTGTGGTGCTGTAAGTAAAATCAGCATGAATATACATATTCAGTAGTGTGGGAATGAATAATAAGTCTGCCTCTAGTATTCGGATGTTAGGATCAATCATTTTATTGAGATTTCCTTGTTGAGATCATAATATCGAATTGCAGTTTTTGTTAAAGGTAAAGGTACCCCTGCCCTTTCGGGCCAGTCGTGTCCGACTCTAGGGTTGTGCGCCCATCTCACTTAAGAGGCCGGGGGCCAGCACTGTCCGGAGACACTTCCGGGTCACGTGGCCAGCGTGACGAAGCTGCTCTGGCAAGGCTGCACCAGCGCAGCACACGGAAACGCCGTTTACCTTCCCACTATTAAGCGGTTCCCGTACCTGTGCTGAAGGCTTGCGGTGGGGAGAAAAGCCCTTCTCCGCACCGCCAGCCTGGCAAGCGGTTTCCCTAGGAACGCATTAATTGATTTTCAATGCATTCCTATGGGAAACCGTGCTTCGCAAGACGAAAAACTCGCAAGAAGAAAAAACTTGTGGAACGAATTAATTTCGTCTTGCGAGGCACCACTGTACTTGGATTGCAGCTATGAGCCAAGTAGTTCCAACTACACATCTCATTGGGGCCACAAGCTCACTAAGTGGCCTAGGCAAGACATTTCCGCCCCAGCCTCAATCCCACCTCCTTGGCCTGTAAAAGTGGGGGGAAGGATATAACTCCGGACCACCTTATTGGGTTGTTGCAAACATTACATAAATAATGTAACCTACCACACATTCCCCATCGTGTCATAACCCTAAGTAAGCAAATTGTAGGCTTTCTGGGGGGACGAAGATGGGACACTTTGCTTCTCTAGCTACGGTTTCTTTCTTGCCCTTCCTGATCTATCTGCTGCCACATTTTCAAGCTATCATTTAGGCACCAGGCTAACGCATTTGTTTCCCCAGGCTTTCAAGAACTGCTGATGTTACCATTCTAAACTTACCAGAGTGTGATTTTGCTGTCTATTAAACATTTGAGTGGGCTGCCAGTGCTTTAGTTCTTTTGAACTTGCTATATTAGTATAGTATAGTATTAGTAGCATCCGTGTTATTTTTCTTACTACTCTTTTAGTTACCATCGGGACATAAATTTATGGAGAATGTGTGTGATAGAACTTACGTAAAATAAATAAATACTGACTTCGTATTCAGAGGCAATATACCACTAAATGAAATAATTATTATATTTATATTATATTATATTTTTAGGGTATAATTCAGACTGTTCCGGAGACCTTTCAAGCTCAGAAGATCCAAGGGGAGGTGAGCAACTTGTTTGATTATGTTATCCTGATGTTCTAACCAGCAGGAAATAGGAGGTAAAATTTCAGATTTGGTATAAAAGTTAATAGTTCTGCATTTGAGAGGCACACCTCTCTTTAATAATTAAACATCTTAGGTAAGAATCCTGGTTTTAATGATGTTTTCCTTGTCCATCATACCCTTAGCTCAATGTAATACACGGGGGATGCTGAAGTGTTCAGAATACAAATTAAGGTATTACATTAACCATTTGAAGTCCTTAAAAAGTTCTTTAGAATTTTATTGGCTGGTTTTATTGGCTGAATATCAGCTGTGGATTCAAACTTTCAGCACCATTGATTAAGCTTTTCTAAACTGCCTTTATTATATTTAAATCATTCCAAGATTCGTTACTGCTTTTGTAATTCTTTTTGTATTGCTTTTTCTAATTCTCTATTTATGTGCTAAATTTCCTGGCAGATTGACAACGTACCTGTGAAACTAAACACAACAGCGATCTTAAGAGAAGGTGTCCTTTACCAACGAAAAGTGGAGCAGGAGCTTAATAGGTACTTTTTACTCTTTGTGCATATGCATTAACTGAAAGATGTCACAGAATCATAGAATTGCAGAGTTGGACGGTACCTCAAGGGTCATGTAGTCCACACCCCTGTAATTCTGGAATCTCAGCATTGCATTCAAGTGAATTAATCAGTTGTTCTTCATATAATTATTCGCTTCTTTTCCAAACCTTCATGAAAGATTCCAGAAGCCAGCTCATCAGAAGCTTGTTACTTGTTCAGGTGATGACAAGGCCAGAGCCCTGCCTGAGGAGAAGGCATACTAAGAATATGCCATACAGTCCTCGACAGTCCAGCCAAATTTGGGGTGGTGAAGGACTGCAATGCAGGCCTCTTAATAGTGCTTTACTGGTAATACATTACAAAACAATCAATATTTCAAATCACTGTACCCAAGATCACAATGCTGAAATACAATCAAATATATTCCAAAATAATAGGTATATGCAGTCATGACTTGAAAGAGGTTTATATAATTATCTGTATAAAATTAGAAAGATAATAGAAAGTTCTATCTTTCATAGTACAGTATTACGAGTTCCAGACAAATGACACTGACTGACAGTAGGCTTTTTATTTTTTGAAATGGAAAAAAACAATTGCTATTAGACAAGTCAGAACACAAACCCAAACTTTGGCTTCAGATATGTTGAACGACACCTTTGTAATTTGGCCACACGGGAAGGAAAAACTAGATAGCTTCCTCACACATCTCAACAGCCTACACCCCAAAATACAATTCCACTATGGAAATAGAAGCCAACAACCAACTTCCCTTCCTTGACGTCCTAATCTACAAAAAACCTGATGGGCTCCCTAGGACACACTATCTACCCGGAAAAAAACACACACCAACCGCTACTTACATGCACAATCACCACCACCACCCTGCACAAATAAACTCCGTAGCCAAGACTCTCATCTCCAGAACCAAACGCCTGGCTGACAAAGACCACTTGACAACTGAGTTACAGAATCTCTCCAATGTGTTAATCGCCAATGGATACCAGCAAAACAGGGTTACGAAGCTAATGCAAAAAGAAACACCCCCCAAAAACCAAGACACAGAAGAAAACAATGGCATGGCCCTCCTTCCTTATATCAAGGGCACTACAGATAAAATTAGCAAAATCCTCCATAAACACAATATCAAAACAGCCTTTTGCACCAACCAAAAAATAGCCAATATCCTCAGAAACCCCAAGGATAAAATCCAGTTGGAAAACCAAGGGGTCTATGAAATACCCTGCAAAGTCTGCCCAGCCACGTACATTGGACAAACAAACAGACGAATAAATGCACGTATCGCAGAACACAAGAATGCCGTCAAAAAAGAAGAAAAAACTTCCTCTCTTTTCCAACACATGAAAGAAACAGGACACGAAATTAATTTTGCAGATTCCAAATTGCTCTCTAACATGGAACATCACCACAAGAGAATAATCATGGAAGCCATCGAGATAGAGAAACACCCTCACAACATGAACAAGCGTGACGACACATCCGCCTGCCAGACATCTGGAAATTAGCCCTCCCCACAAAAACCGACACCAGATCCAGAGGCACACAGAACGCCATCACCAATCAACCACACCAGACCCAACCCAGACCCTCTCCACAGATAAATTACAGACACCATCCAGTAGCCAAACCATGGTGGCACCTCCGGATGCTGCACCCCCCTGCAATCCCTACACAGATCTGGCTGGCACAGGACACAAAACCACAGCTCGCCCCTATACACGAAGCCAAGCCAGAGCACAACTAATTGCATTACAGCCATCTTCTCAGAAAAACTCTTCACAAAGTTCAAGAGGTCAAGACACGAAGGCTTTAGCAACTAATCCACACCTAATGACCCACCTAAGTGGTACTCAGGATATCACTCAAGAAATCACTCAAGATATCCCTCAAGTAATTAAGGAACAAAAGAAGAAAAGGCACACTACCTGGGAACTTCCTCTCTGCCCAGAACATTGGAGGCTATACAACCACACCCCCTCAACAGTATTTATAGGAACTCAAACACTGAGATCCTGCTCTGTTCCAGTAACAAGAAGCCGAAAGCACCAGCCTGAAGATGACGAGTGAGACCTCGTCGAAACGTCGCCTAGACACCCCAACTTTTACACGGGAAGACACCCGAGGACACCAAAACCTGCATTCCTGTACCCGTGAAAATCTACGAAAGCAAATATATATATATATATATATTGGGGGGGGGTCAGCTAAGCCCTGTCCTGCATAATGAATCACACGATGCAGCACACAAACACCATTTCAATGGCCATCAACTTTTTTGGGGGGGGACAGCTTCCCCAAATATTTTATTGGGGGGGAGGGCAAAGGGACCTTGACCCCTAGGTGTGGGCTCCGAGGACTTCTCTCATGTTGCCTCTTCATCGCTTTTCCTAGTCTAAACGAAGTGGTTCCGAACCTTTTTTTGGCCATGCCTCACCTAAACATTTCTAAAATCCTGATGACTCCCCCCCCCCCGGACATATAATTCTTATTATTCAAAAAGTGAACTCCTATTCACGTGGAGGAAGCCTAAAAGGCCATAAACTTGGTCTAAACAAGCTCGAATTGCCCCTCCTTAAAAATCAAATTGCCCCCCTTAAAAATCAAATTGCCCCCCTGTTGGGAAGCACGTCTGCAACTGTTCCTTACAAGGGAGTCGCTCCAACCCCTTGATCATTTTGGTGGCCTTTTTTCTGAAGCTTTTCCAGCTCCTCCTTGAGGTGAGGCGACCAGAACTGTACGCAGTACTTCAAATAGGTCACCCCGCAGATTTGGATAATTGGCATTATGATATTGACTGTCCCCTTCCCCCCAATTTCTTTGTAGTGTGGAATTTGCCTTATTATTTTTTTATGGCCACCTCACACTGAGTCAACATCTTCATTGAGCTATCTAGTATGACCCCAAAGTCTTATTCCTGGCATCATGAATGTGGAGTCTCAACTTAATATTTAGTGTGTAAATATTAAGTAGGAACTTCTGGCATATTCTGAGCTCCCACGCCCCAGTAAACCTTTTCAGTAGCATCCAGACTTGCAGTGCACAAGGACACCCAGGCAAGGAAACTATTATACCTCCTCCCTTGGAATCTGGGAGCAGGGGCTAGATGCAACAGAGAGTCCATAGTTTAGGGCTTTTGAATTTTTATTTTTTTAACAATTGTGTTGTGAACTCAAGAGTACGTACTTCGAAATAAGCGAAGTGGCATTAAAGAATTAAATGCAAATTTTTGAAAAGAAAGAAATTGAAATGTCACAAAATGTGTTTTAGTAGTAAGTGTAAAGAAACCTGGCATTTAGAATTCAACTCTGAAAGTTTCCCCCCTTATCTTTTCAAATACTACCCCTCAGCAGAAATCTCAGCATATACTTGGGAGAGTAGCAGCACTAGTCTTGTATCATGAAAAACAGTATTTATACTTAGATTAAACTGCAACTGATGACAATATATACATTTAATGATTTACAGGAATCTTGCATGTGAAGATGGCCAGCCAGCTGAAGCACATTGAAATTGTAGTCCAACAGCTTAATCGTTTCAATCCTGAAAATGAAAGTGTTGGGCATTTCTTGGATGAAACAGCTGCTAAAGCATTCCAGGTATGCAGAATCCTACTTCATCCCGCACAGTTTTCACATTTTAAGTTGGCTGTCTTCCTTTCTTAGAACTAAGCAAGATTAATCTTAATGTCACCAGATATCAAAATGCTTTAAGTGGATGGGGGAGAAGTAGGAGCAAGCAAACTAGATCAAAATCCCATGGTGGTGGTGGGGAATAATCTGAAATATCTGGCTTGGCATGTTGTTAGACTAGTCCTCTGAAATATTAAGTGCAAACACTTAAAGTTTGTTATTTTTAAACCTCTAGATAAATGCATTAGTTATAGGTTAGATTTCCATTTAAACTAGTAAGAAGATCGTATGCCTCTACTTTAGAAGAAGGAAATTAATTTTAGGAATAGCACAAGAATATTGACATAAACAGGCCTGAGTGTGATGCATTAATGGATGCCCAGGTGTCAGTTGCTGGACTGTGGAAATTATCTTAGAAGCTCCACTTGGTTTGGGATGTATGCCAACCATTCTTATCTTTGTCTCTGCTACTTTATATGATGGAAAGATAAGTGGGGAGGCAGGAGCAGTGGGGGAGGAGATTCTTAAAAATAGAGTCCTCAGCCCTTTGTTGATCTTGCCATGGAATCCAGGAGAAGTGTGGATTCCAAAGTGGACCTACGTCAAATCTGCTCATTAATCTTGGAAGTGTGGATCAAGTGAGTCTGCTTTGGAAGCTGAATTTGCCAAATTCCTTTCCTATTCCTAATACGTTTACACAGAAATCTCATCCATTCACCTTGACAGAGCATTAATCAATCCTATTTTGTCCCCTCTCCCTACATCATCTCTCTGCACAACTGTCATCAAGTGGGTGAAAGGAATAATGCTCCTGTTTCTTATCCCTATTCCATTTTTTCATTTGCTCTTTCCCCATAAATCTCCTACTCCTATTCTTCCCTGTTCCCCCTTTTCTGCCCGTTAGCCTCCTTTCATCCTCTTCCAGGTCCTTAATATGCTCCAGAAGTGCTTCCTCCCTAGAACATGTGAGATCTTAATCCCAGATTGACTGACAACCTTCCCTCCACAGAAAGAGACTGGACTGCAAAGCTGGTTGTCAAACAAACCTTTGTTCCTTTAGCAGCTGGAACATTTGAGAGTTCAGTGGCAACACATTAGCTCACCCATCCATTGTCAGAGGCTTCTGTGCCACAAGCACAGAATGTTTGCATTGTTATTTTCCACCACTGCAGATGTTGCTGCAACAGGTCAGGGGGCAATAGAAAGCTTGACCTGGTCCACAGGCCTGAGATCCACTGCCCTTCTCTAAACCCTGACTTGTTGTCTTGATAATTCCTATTAGGAAGCTCAGATTTTGCTGTGAGGAACTGTAGTTCTTGATTAATTATCAAAATATATGTATCATTTGGGAACATGTATGTGTTGTTGTGCATGTGTAACAGTAAAACGCACCAGCTGTGGTTTCTTGCCTTAGCACAGGGGTCAGCAAACTTTTTCAGCAGTGGGCTGGTCCACTGTTCCTCAGACCTATTTTGAGGAAAAAAATGAACAAATTCCTACGTCCCACAAATAACCCAGAGATGCATTTTAAATAAAAACACACATTCTACTCATGTAAAAAAACCAGGCAGGCCCCACAAATAACCCAGAGATGCATTTTAAATAAAAGGACACATTCTACTCATGTAAAAACACGCTGATTCCTGGACCATCCGCTGGCTGGATTAAGAAGGCGATTGGGCTGGATCCTGTTGTCATTGACTGCTCCTGTGTTTACATCCCACATACCCCTTCTCAGGCAATACAACATACACAAAACATAAACAACTTTATTCAACCACCCAGAGTCCCAGCTTGACACGTAGATTCTGGAAACTCTCTCTTGGTAGGGGTTTCGTCAGGATGTCAGCAGTCATTTCTTGGGTGCTGCAGTAGGATAGTTCCACAAGTCCATCCTGGATCATCTGGCGTATGTAGTGGTATTTAACCCCAATGTGTTTTGTTCTGGCCAGGAACTTCTCACTCTGCGTCAGCTTCAGGCAACTCTGATTGTCCTCTAGCAAGCTGACAGGCCCTTTTCTCACCAACCCAAAGTCCTTTATGAGTTGATCAAGCCAGGCGATCTCTCTGCAGGCTTCTGTTGCTGCAACGTATTCTGATTCTGTGGAAGATAATGCTACACAGCTCTGTTTATAACTGCCCCACGCGACAGGTCCATCACCAAACATAAAAACATGACCACTCGTTGATTTATAGTCAGCATTATCCCCAGCCCAATCAGCATCTGTATACCCAACCAACTTAGGGTCTTTGACAGCTGGTAACCTTAATTTACAATTCATGGTACCCTTCAAATATCGCACCACCCTCTTTACACCTGCCCAATCATGCTCAGTGGGAGAATTCACTTTTCTGCTAAGAATCCCCACAGCATTAGCTAAGTCAGGTCTACATGTGGTAACTAAATACAAAAGTTTACCAATCGCCGACCTGTAGTCATTGTTGTCTGGCAACTGCTTCGAATCCTGCTGATTCTTCAGGAAGTCAGTAGCCATCGGTGTAGCAACTGGATGTGCGTCTTGCATCTGCATGTGCTCAACTAGCTCGTGGATCTTCTGTCTTTGGCTGAGAAGAAATGATCCGTCCTCTTCTCTTTCCACCTGAATCCCGAGGTAATACTGGACATCTCCTAGCTCCTTGACCTCCACCTCCTTGCTAAGGTGTTTTACTATCTGTGTATAGTCTTTCTCACTTGCTGTGGCAATCTGCTGTGGTGTGTAAGGAATTGTGGTTACGTGTGCAATTCCTTCTCTGGCCAGGAGAGTCTGCACTTCATTTGAGCAGTACTCACCTCCATTGTCACTCATTAACACAGCTGGAGCTCTCTGGAATTTGTTCTTGACCATGGCAATGTATTCCTGGAGCTTGTCCACTGTCTCACTCTTCTCTTTGAGGAAATATACAACACAAAATCTTGAAAAGTCATCCAGAAATATTAAAATATATCTATTCTTTCCCAGTGAGGGAACATTCATGGGTCCACATATGTCAGTGTGCACTATGTCAAGCACTTTGTTGCTTCTTTGTTCTGCACAACGTGGAAATGAAGGTTTTACAGCCTTCTCAGTAATACAGCTTATGCACTTTGCTGGAGCTTTGTTGCTCTGCTTTACCTGCAAACCTCTTACAAGATTTCTTTTCTGTAGATCCAGAATGAGGCTGGCGTCTCTGTGTCCTAGCCTTCGGTGCCATAAGTCCAGATCTGCTTCATCCTTCTGGCTGGAATGTGCCACTTTTGCAGACTGGTTCTCTGAAAGATCAAGCTCATATACACCATTTATTAGCTTTGCTTGAGCAAACACTTTGCCATTTCTAGTCACTTTACATTCTCCATTTCCAAATGTGACCTGGAAACCTTTCTTGTCCAAAATGGACACGCTGATTAAGTTGCAACTCAGCTCTGGAACATACAAAACTCTAGAGATTGTGTTCTCAATGCATTCATTGTTTATACTGCATTTCAGGCTCATGGAACCTGCACCTTTTGCTTTAACAATGTTACCATCTGCAATCTCAATTTCAGATCCTTCTTCATCATTTATTTCATTAATCTCATTAAAATAGTCCTTTTTATATGAAAAATGCGAACTGGCACCTGAATCTAAAATCCATTTGTTACGTTTATTTTCACGATTCTGGACAGCTAAGTTCCTTTCTTGCAGTAACCATGTGCATTCACATTTCCCCTTCTTTTCCCCTTTTGGCTGAAAGGGGTGGGGTTTCTTTGCTTTAGGAGCCCTGCAATTCTTTGCAATGTGTCCTTCTTTGTTACAATTGAAGCAAATCACTTTCTTAGGCATCTCTTTGGACTTGGTACATTGCCTAGATGCATAACTGCTGTCCTTGCTTCTAGCATTTCTCACTGGAGATTCACCTCTATCTCTGCATTCTTCTTTTATTTTTTTTTTTTTATAATAATTTTTATTGCATTTTTTCAGACACAGACAGAAAACAGTAGAAGAAAAAGTAAACGAAAAATGTAAAAGAAAAAAGAAAAATCATACCCCTTCAACAGCTTATTCCAACTTTCCATCAAACTTCCCCACATCTCCCGCACAATGCATTCTTAATAATAAATTTATCAGCAAATTGTAACCTTGTTTCATGTGTTTCTATTGGTACTTTCAGTTGCAATTTAAGTTTAAATCCCTTATTGTCCATTTACCCTGAAAACAAGACATATTATCATTCTTAACATTTAAACTTTGATTCTTTCAGTAATATTATCCAATTTCATAAATATTACACTCTCGTTACTGGGGCTAGCATTTCAGATTGTGCGTCATTTTATAGTTCATATAACTTGTAAAATTTTTGTAAATAGTTCTTAAATTTTTTCCAGTCCTCCTCCATTGCTTCTTCTCCCATGTCTCGGATTCTGGCAGTCATTTCGGCCAACTCCATATAGTCAATCAGTTGCGTTTGCCACTCTTCCAGCGTGGGTAAATCTTGAGTCTTCCAATGTTTGGCAATCAAAATTCTTGCTGCTGTGGTAGCATACATAAAAAACATTCTGTCCTTCTTTAACACCTTTTGGCCGACAATACCCAAGAGGAAGGCCTCCGGTTTTTTAGGGAAGGTGTACTTAAACACCTTTTTTAACTCGTTGTAGATCATTTCCCAGAAGGCCTTCACTCTTGGGCAAGTCCACCAAAGGTGAAAGAATGTTCCTTCAGCCTCCTTACACTTCCAACATTTGTTATCAGACAAATGGTATATCTTAGCAAGCTTGACTGGGGTCATGTACCACCTGTATATCATTTTCATAATGTTTTCTTTCAAGGCATTACATGCCGTAAATTTCATACCGGTGGTCCATAACCTTTCCCAGTCTTCAAACATGATATTGTAACCAATGTCTTGAGCCCACTTTATCATGGCTGATTTAACTGTCTCATCCTGTGTATTCCATTTAAGCAGCAAGTTGTACATTCTCGATAATACCTTGGTCTTTGGTTCTAACAACTCTGTCTCAAGTTTCGATTTTTCCACCTGGAATCCTATTTTTTTGTCCAATTTAACAACCTCGTTAATTTGGGCATAGTGAAACCAATCTCGCACCTTATCCTTTAAATTTTCAAAGCTCCGCAACCTCCAATTGTCACCAATTTTTTCTATTAATTCCCAATATTTCGGCCAACCGGCCTCCATATTGGGTTTTTTCCACGCCTTAGCCTCCACTGGTGATAACCACCTCGGTGTCTTACTTTCAAGTAAGTCTTTGTATTTCATCCAGACCATAAAAATTGCTTTCCTGACAATATGGTTTTTGAACATTCCATGTGTTTTTACCTTGCCGTACCACAGATACGCGTGCCATCCTAACGAATTGTTGAAACCTTCCAGGTCTAGGACATCTGTATTCTCTAATAAAATCCAATCTTTCAACCAGCAGAAGGCTGCCGCCTCGTAGTATAACCTTAAGTCTGGCAGGGCAAACCCCCCTCTTTCTTTTGCATCAGTTAGTATTTTGAACTTTATTCGGGGCTTTTTGCCCTGCCAGACAAACTTTGAAATATCCCTCTGCCACTTTCCAAAACATTCCACTCTGTCCACGACCTGCAAGGTTTGAAATAAAAACAACATTTTTGGCAAAACATTCATCTTAACAGCAGCAATTCGGCCCAGCAAGGAGAGCTTCAGTCTCGACCATGTTTCCAAATCTTTCTTAACTTCTAACCAACATTTCTCATAGTTATCCTTAAACAAGTTCAAATTTTTAGACGTCAAGTTTACCCCCAGGTATTTCACCTTCTTAACCACAACTAACTCTGTTTCCTTCTGAAACCCCTCTATTTCTAAGGGCGTCAAGTTTTTCCCCCAAAGTTTTTTGCTTGTTCAACTTAAATCCTGCCACCCGACCAAATTCTTGTATCAGTTCCAAAACTCTTTTTGTGCTAGATTCTGGCTCCTGTAATGTTATTACTAAGTCATCTGCAAATGCTTTCAGTTTGTATTGTTTCTCTCCGACCGTGATCCCCTGTATTTGCCGGTCCCTCCTGATCATGTTCAGCAAAACCTCCAGGACTGATATAAATAGTAGGGGGGATAGGGGGCACCCCTGGCGTGTTCCTTTTTCAATATGGAACTCCTCTGTCACCACATTGTTCACTATCAACTTAGCTTTTTGTTCTGAATAAATTGCTTCTATACCATTTTCAAACCCTCGTCCCACTCCCATCCCTTCCAAATTTTTTTTCATAAATTTTTCATAAATTTCCAAGAAATATTGTCAAAGGCCTTCTCAGCATCGATAAAGATTAACACTGCTTTAGTGTTAATATTTGTTTGTAAAAGTTCCAGAATATCGATTATATTCCGAGTATTGTCAAACAAATGCCTGCCAGGAAGAAAGCCTGCTTGGTCCTTATATCTCTGCATTCTTCTTTTAAATAACCAATCAAGTCTTTAAATGTCAGACCTTGTCTATGCTCCATCAAACTTACAAATGCACCAAAGCGTGGTCCAAGTGATGATAACAAAAATGCTATCTTTGTATCCTCATCAAAAGCTTTGGGAGTCAGATCAATTCTTTGAATAATCTCAGTAAACTTGTTGATGTGCTCTGTGAATTCCTCTTTTGAATTCATCCTCAATCTGGTTAATTTACACACCAAGTTTCTGAAGCTGTTTATGCTAGATTCTCCATACACGCGCTCAATATCTCTTAAGATTTGAGATGCATCATCTGTGCTATTTATTAATGATAGCTGCTCATCACGAAGTCCACTCAAAATTATGTGTCTAGCTTCGCTGTTCATGCGTTTCCAAGCACTTATCTTGGCTAAATCTCCCTCAGACGATCCTGTAGGCTGAGGCTCTAAAGCTTCCAAAATGTGCTTATAATCCAAACATGCTATCAAGCGCTGCTTCCAGTGCATGAAATTGTACTCATTCAGCACAGGCATTCCTAGCTTTGCATCACTATCAAAAGCTGCTCTAGCCATCTTAAAATCCAAAATTTGAAAATTCTTCAAAATTTCAAAATTTCTCAAAATTTTAAAATCAAAATCTCAAAAATCTCAAAATACGAAACAATTCTTCACTGCCTTGGGTCACTGTGAACTCTGAGGGAAGGGGGTGGGTTGCTTAATCCCCACTGCACAATGGAACAAAGGACCATGTGCTTACCAGGAAGTTAACTCAGAAAAATACTACTCAACTCAAAATCACAATCCAATGCAATCCTTCAAAAATACGCAGAAATATGCAATACTGGGCCCATAACCCTTTGTGGGAATGTTCTGGGGTGCAGGAGAGGATATATTGACTAATTATATCCTGATCCAACTTGTGCTAACAAGTTCCCAAAATATCAGCAGAGTTTACATACATTCCCCTTTAAGTACGCAACGGTAACGTGTGCACAGGTTCGCTAGAACCTCTATAATAATTACCCTGGTAATTTCCCCTTTAGTTCCCTCTTAAAATACAAGACACGACACAGTCTTCATAAAAGTATAAAAGAGTTTACTCACGTCCTGTTCACAATGTGATCCCAGACGGCAGACAGGCTTAAAAAGGTTACATAGATTTAGAATCTATCTCATAGCAAGATAGGCCTTATCTCCTCTCTTGGCTGGGAGCCAAGAGGGCATCCTTAGGTGTTTCCTCGTCGAAGGAAAATGGCAGAGAGAGAGAGATGGCTGCCTGCCCTGTGCTTTTTTTTTGTCATCACCTGCACAGGTGAGGCCACACCCACCTCTAGTCACATGTGGAGGAAGTCCGTCCCCAGGAAGTTTACCTGCTTGCTGGACAGACATTCCCCCCCATGTTCTAAACATGTACACTCTAGGAATGTTGTCATTGACTGCTCCTGTGTTTACATCCCACAGATCCAGCCCCCAGGCCTTAGTTTGCCTACCCATGCCTTAGCACTATGAGATGAGGGGCAACAACACTTTGCAGAGATCTCACTTTGACAAGCATGAAATAAATTACACAGCAACTGACTTCAGAGAGCAGCCCATCATGACAAACTTCACTGTAGATTTTGTTATGGGACAAAAGGATGTTTGTTATGGTCCATCAGATGTTCCACTGTTACAGAAAATGGTTTAGAAAGAGCTACAACATAGAGCACAAGGTGGAATACAGGAAACACTCCTCTACACGTAACATGTTTGTCCACCTCAAGAACTGGACCAACTTCTCTTTGAAAGTAATCTTGAACCATATGGCTGACCTCACCCAGAGTAGCTATGCTGGAAAAACTAATGAGTACAGTGCATAAGAAGGAGCTTCCTTTTCCAGCAAATTATTTGTGGGCTTCATCTTGTTAGAGACCTTGGATTGTTAGCTCTATGGAGTAGTGACTCAAGCCAGTGGCAATCTTTGTATAGTTCCTTTCTTAATGGCCAATCCATGTTAACATTGGGCAGAGAATTGTGGTGTTTTGTTCCATGCGTTGGACTTTGCTCCCCAAATTGTAATCAATTTAATCTCTACAGGCTTTCAGTGTAACAGATGAAACCTTTTTGATGGCAACTTTATCTGGCTGTATAGAATATAAACCTCTGTTGGATGTGGTGGTCAATGCATTTTATACCAGAGATGGAAAACATTGCCTGTTGTCTGATCATAATCTTTACGTTGGTAGGTATTATCTAATCAGAATATAATGATTTAGTGTTGGGTATTACATAATTAGTGTTGGGTATTACATAAGGGACGCGGGTGGCGCTGTGGGCCAAACCTCAGCGCTTGGGACTTGCCGATTGCATGGTCGGCGGTTTCGAATCCCCGAGGCGGGGTGCGCTCCCGTTGCTCGGTCCCAGCGCCTGCCAACCTAGCAGTTTGAAAGCACCCCCGGGTGCAAGTAGATAAATAGGGACCGCTTACTAGCGGGAAGGTAAACGGCGTTTCCGTGTGCGGCTCTGGCTCGCCAGAGCAGCGATGTCACGCTGGCCACGTGACCCGGAAGTGTCTGCGGACAGCGCTGGCTCCCGGCCTCTAGAGTGAGATGAGCGCACAACCCCAGAGTCTGTCAAGACTGGTCTGTATGGGCAGGGGTACCTTTACCTTTACCTTTACTATTACATAATTACAATATAATGACATAGGAAATTTACATCGGGTTGTCATTATCATTTATTTGCAGTCAACAGACTATATATATATATATGTGTGTGTGTGTGTGTGTGTGTGTGTGTGTGAGCCATAGGTTCGCCACCACTGACTCAGAGCCTCTGGATGAGCATATTCTGCCTAAAATGGTGAGGCTGAGTCATGAAACCGCTAGACACACTGTAATAAGCTTGAGAAAAGCTGAACCAGATAACTCCTTGCCACAAGAAAATCACTGTGGCAAAGAAGTTGGGAATTTCTCCTGCCAACCTAGCAGTTCGAAAGCACTTCAAAGTGCAAGTAGATAAATAGGTACCGCTGCAGCGGGAAGATAAACGACGTTTCCATGCGCTGCTCTGGTTCGCCAGAAGCGGCTTAGTCATGCTGGCCACATGTATGGCTGTATGCCGGCTCCCTCGGCCAATAAAGTGAGATGAGCGCCGCAACCCCAGAGTCGGTCACGACTGGACCTAATGGTCAGGGGCCCCTTTACCTAAGATATCAATAGAAAATAATGTCTGTCATTGGCAGCTGACTATGCCAAACTCTAATTCCACCAGCTACAATTATGTGATGTGACATGCTTTGCTGCTGCACCATCATTTTGTAACTGGTGGGCCTCAGTAATTTTCATGTGACTCCTGGGGATCAAAAATTTGAGAACCCTTCTATATACTAACTTTGCACTATTCCAGTAACGTTATCAATTTTGTATCATTATCCATATTCATCCATATAATGCAAATCTATTTTGTTTCTGATAGTTGTTTGTTATTTGGCCACTTTTCAATTGGATGAACTTGGACTTCAGCAGTTCTCAAGAATGGTTAAGGCAGCAGATCCTGTTAAAATATGTAAGGTAAATAAAACTGATGTAGTTAAGCAATTAATTTTTTTTTAAAATCCAACATTTTTGTTATCCATTATGGGTTAACTGGTTCCCCCCAATAATGTATTAAATTACATATCTGGATATCAACAATGAAAAAGTTTCATTGTCAATCAGCCAGACAAAGGTTGTCCACCATATAATTACTTGCCTCAGCAAATGGCAAGCTACCCCTCCTAGTGGTGCAGCAATAAAACTGCTGTCACATTTGCAAAGCTAAGCAGGGTCCTTTATGGTTTTAAATTGGATGGGAGACTGTTCAGATTGCTGCATTGCAGAGGGTTGGACTAGAATCACTAGATGACACTTGGGATCCCTTTCCAATTCTATGATTCTGTACCAGATGGGTCGGATCCAAAGTTGTTTGTCCACAAAAGGAAGGGCTTCTTCCATTCACAGAAGGCACTGAGATCCAGTGAAGACTGTTATTTTCAGTTCCCCCTGCAGCCTTCCCCTGCCTCCTCCCATATTGCTCTGTACTTTCTCCCAGCCTAGTGAAACAGATTTCTATTACACAGGGGACTGCAGGAAGAAGTAGAAATCAGCTAAAATTGCCTCTCAACTTCTTCTAGATACTTATTTGTTTATTTAATATATTGCCCAATACCCTCAGGTCTCAGGGTGGTTCACAGGATAAAATCAGAATAGAAAACCACAAAGTACACAATCAAAATAAAAACAACAACCCAATAACCCCCCCACCCCCAATAACACTCAATCTATCCCTGTGGTTGCAGGATATTCAGTAATCTCAACAGAATGCAAATAGACATAGGAACGGATGTGGACTGGTTGCAGTCAGTGCTTTTTTTCTAAAAAAAATGTTTAGGGGTACTCTCATTTTCCTACTCATATTGAAATACTGCCCCTCAATGAGGCCAAACTTAGATTCACAAAATGTTTAGGGGTATGCGTACACCTGCGCCCCCCCCCCGAAAAAAGCACTGGATGCAGTTATTAGGACAAACAAAGTGCAATATCTGACCCAATGTTTAAGGCGGCTACTGGGTTTTCTCTGATTTTAAATCCTTAACTAGAGCAAATTCTTTTTAGTTCCTTAGATTCTTTTTCGATGTTGTAAATTTGCACACATGGATAAAAGATGAATGGAACCAGATATATGATTCTGCCTATGTAAAAGAAAACTGGATTGACCCATTGGTAAGGTAAGCAATAATCAGTACAATCCCATTCGTGTTAAATCAGAAGTGAGTCTCATTATGTCTGATGGTGATTACTCCCAGAAAGCGGCATAGGATTGTAGTTTGTGTCTGTTAATAAATTAATGATAATTAGATTATCTTAAGCATCACTTGCATCCCAGAAATTCCAGTTCGCCGTGGTTAGTTTATAATTTATATATTTATTTGCAAGGAGGCTGAACTGTTTGTTTTACCAAGACTTGGGTAAGCAAACAGGATGGAGTTGGTCTTACCTGGGTACTTGATGCATCATCAGGGCAGATTTGAGGGGTGGGGTGGGGCTGTAGTCTGTAGGAATTCCATCTCTCTTCCAGTCTTCCAGTCTGCTTAAGTTGGGATCTAGTGTGTCTGTACTGGGAAGTCAGGACAGATTAGGGATTCTGTCGGTTTACCACCTGCCCTGGCGCCCTGTTGTCTTCCTGCCTGAGCTGACAGAGGTGGTCTCAGATGTGGTCTTGAAGACTCCCAGACTGTTGGTTCTGGAGAACCTCAACATACATGCCTAGTCCACTAAATCTGAGGTGTCTCAGAATTTCATGGCCACCATAACAACCATGGGTCTGTCCCAATATCATGTGGTAGTCCTCAGCATAGTTGTCAACCATCCCTTCTTTGGCAGGAAACTCCCTTATCCCAGTGCCGTGTCCCGCTGCTGTCCCGGATTGATGATGTCCCTTAAATTTCCCGGGTTTCAAAGGAAGCAGCTCCTCCCCCTCCCTCCCTGCCGGCCAGGGAGGAGGGAGGCTCCATCTGTGTTGCTTGGCTGCGTTGCTCACCCAATAAGGAGTCTTAGAATGACTGGAGGGTGGAGCTTGCATGCCTTGTGCCGATCAAATCGGCTGCGTTGCCTGGGGACTCGCCTTTACTCAGCGCTTCCCAGTGGAGAGGTGATGGTGGTTTTCCTTGCTGAATCCCCTTTGCTGGGTTGCTGTGCTGTGGGAACCACCGCTTGAGGCTTCGTTTGGCTGCTGGCTGGGCTTTCTGCCTTTGGCTCGGAGAGGCTCAGAAGCTGAACATACCTGTGACCAGAAGATCCCTTATTTAGGCCGCTGATCCCTTATTTTCAAGACTGCTGGTCCCTTATTTTCAAATCTGTAAGTTGACAGCTATGGTCCTCAGCCCTGATCTGATTTTCTCAACCAGGTAGAAGGAGGATGATCTGAGAATGCAACAGGTGAGATCACATCCTGCTGAGATTTAGCGAAGTTTTTAATGACTGATGTATTTTTAATCTTTATTGGAAGCTGCCCAGAGTGGCTGGGGAAACCCAGCCAGATGGGCAGAGTATAAATAATAAATTATTATTATTATTATGGCTTCAGTCATTTCCCCCCTCCTCAGAAGTGGAGGCCCTGATAGAATTATCTACCCTCGGAGGTTAATGGAGGCAGCTCTGTAGGATTTTCCATCTGATGTGACTGGCAGTCCTGTCAAATCCCAGGATGACCCGTGGAATATACAGCTGACCTAGGCCACTCCCATATTCATCCCTAGGCACCCTTTCTGACTTGCCTGCTTGTTTTATTCCAAAGTTTACGGCAATGAAGCAAGCTGGGCAGTGGCTTGAATGCCAGTGGAAGAAAACTCAAGACGAACGAGCCTACTCATTGTTAGTGAAGACAGCGAAGAAGAACGTACCTGTTTCCATTGCACTTTCACTATGCTACCCAGTGGAGTTTTTCTAGGTAGTAATGAGGCATTTTACATTACGGCAGGTGGAACAGACAGTGGCATGCTTTGAAAAACATTTTGAAGATAAAATTGCTTGGGCCCATCATGACTTTGATTAGGTTACATCACAAGTGAATCTCAAGAAGTCTCTAGAGTGCAGTCTAGTCCTGTTGGGTTGCCAAAATTTCAGTTGTTGTGACTCAAGGAACTTGGACCAGTATGGGAAACTGTGGCTCCTTGCCCCTTATGGCTGATAAAAGCTAGCAAGGAGGTTTGGGTCAGGGAGCCTATAGAAAATGGTCCTTTTGTGTCTAAGAGAGTGAGGAAGCAGGGTTCATTGATTCCGCTTTGCTGGAGGCCCAGCTCCATCAGGCACCTCCTGGGCGCCTTTTTGGCTGAAGAGCAGGTACAAATGCTCTAACTAAGTAAATAAAGTAAAGGCAGCAGTGGTAAGGAAATGCCTTATAAATCCAGAAATTTAAATTAATATTGTCCATTTCCTGGGCTGGATTTTTGAGCGGGTGGTCATTAACTAGCTCCAGGCTTTCTTGGATGTAACTTTTTTTTTAAGCTCTATTTCAATCAGAATTCAGCCCTGGTTTTGCCATGGAAGCTGCCTTGGCTACCTCTGTGTTGTTGAGCATTTTTAGGAATTCATACTGTATTTTGTTTTTACATTTTCTGGCTTTTAATGGATTTTATCTGATTTGTATATCTGATTTGTATCTTTAACTTGCTTTTAAACCTTTGTGTATAGCAACTAACAAACGTAATACATAATAACAATAACAACAATAACTAATAATAAGCAAGGAAAACAAAAGTTATTCAGAACATAACGTAAATGTGGGACTTTATTAGTGACTCAAAACAAGCAGAAGCAGAAACTTTGAACATTGAAGTTGTGAACAGTGCAAGCCTATGCATATTTATTTATTTAGTAAGCTGTGTTCCATAGAGCTTACTCCCAGGTAAGTGTGCACAGGAAAGCAGCCTAAGTAGCTGTAGTGCATTGGCCCTCCTGCTTTGCCATACAGGAAGTGTCTGAGTCAGCTGTTGGGCACTGTGGTTTCCTATTAGTTCGGTGCTGCATGACCTTTTCTCTGTAACCTCTTGTTATTAAGGTTCTTAGGAACAGGGGAAGCTGCCTTATACCAAGTCAGACTATCGGATCCTCTAGCTAAGTGTTGTTTAGACTTACAGGCAGATTTATCTTGTATCTGTGTTTTAAACAATAATAACAATCCAATATGTTTTTGACTCGCTCTGTCCATTTTGATTTGGAATTTAGATTGCAAGCTACTCTGTATAAAATAAAGCTCTGTGCCTCTGGCTTCACTCTTCTAGGGAATTTAGTTATAACTTGCTCCCCTTTGGGCAGAATTAGATTTTTTTTTAAGGCACAGGAGTCTCCCCCCCCCCCCCGAGTGGATTAAACCTCCCAAATGGCAGACATATACCGTATTTTTCGCCCTATAGGACGCACTTTTCCCCTCCAAAAATGAAGGGGAAATGTGTGTGCGTCCTATGGGGCGAATACAGGCTTTCGCTGAAGCCTGGAGAGCGAGAGGGGTCGGTGCGCCCCGACCCCTCTTGCTCCCCAGGCTTCAGGAAGCTCTGCGCAACCCTCGGGAGCCTGGCGCGAAGCCACGCCGGGCTCCCGAGGGTTGCGCAGAGCTGCCTGCGCTCCCGGGCTCAGTGCAGCTCCGCGCAACCCTCTGGAGCCCGGCACGAAGCTGCGCTGGGCTCCCGAAGGTTGCGCGGAGCTGCCTGCACTCCGGGGCTTGGCGCAGCTCCACGCAACGCTCTGGAGCCCGGCACGAAGCCGCGCCGGGCTCCCGAAGGTTGCGCGGAGCTGCCTGTGCTCCGGGACTCGGCGCAGCTCCGAGGAACCCTCCGGAGCCCGGCACGAAGCCGTGACGGGCTCCCGAGGGTAGCGCAGAGCTGCCTGCGCTCCCAGGCTCAGAGCAGCTCCTGCGCAACCCTCCGGAGCCCAGCGCGGCTCCGGCATCGCTCTGGCTCCCGTTCTGGCTTTCCCTGCCCCCAGCCCTGCGCCTGTGGGGGGGGGGGATAATTTTTTCCCCTTTATCCCCCCCCCATCTAGGTGCGGCTTATGGGCCGGTTTGTCCTATAGGGCGAAAAATACGGTAGGTCCAGGGGTTGTTATGGGGAAAGTAAAAGGGATTTACTTTTCTCTGTAATCCATATTATGGAGGGCAACCCCGTCCTTCTTTAGGCCAACTAAAACTCTAAATTCATATTCGTTTTATGTATTTGAGGGTAGGGGAGCGGTGGGTTGTCTCTTGTACTTTCCTACCTTAAAATAAGTAAGAGGTGACTGACTGGTGTGTATTCTTGATTGTCCTTTTTTAAAAAAGATTAGCAGCTTCAGATTGGTGTTTTTTGGTGTTGGGAGAAGACATCCTCCAATAGACGTTACAAGATGAGGCTGCCCTTTATATGGCCTGCTTAATTCTCTGCTGGGTAGCAGGGACACCTCATTATCTTGCTCTTGGGTAGCATAGCATCACAGGTACTTCCCAGAGTCCAATTGGTGCATTCCATCGGAAATGGTATGTTGAGGAAATGTGGATCTCAACATCGAATACTTGAAACTGTACTTCCCAAAAATTTACTAACAAATTGGGTCATTCAGGCCACATATGATATGGTCATGGATTTCATGAAACTGGAAGACATTGTGTATTAATGTTTATATTATCCTCAACCTAAAAGACAGGGTAAATAAAATTTTAAAAGGCATTGGGGAAAACTGTATATAGTTTATATTTACCAAAGTTAACAGGCATAAAGGGACTTGATTTTTACCATGTCAGACTGTTTCTCCACCTAACTCAGTTAGATGGCTTCAACTCTCAAGGCAGAGACCTGAATCTTTTAACTGGAGGTTCCAGGAATTTAACCTGGAAACTTCTACATACAAAAAATGTACTTCCCGCTGAACTGTGATTCCTCCCTTCCATAGTCTGTTAGAAAAGAATATAAGATAAAAAATGAAAATAAGGTTATATATTCTTTTTGTTTGAAGATGGCAGCCCAAAATGAAACAACTGATTGATCAGCTTGATGACAAATCAATTAAATGCACTGCTACAGCGTCAAAGACAACTGAACCAAAGGCGTTTAACTTGACAGTCCCTAATCCACGAGCTATTATGGTTCCTGAGCTAATTCCACCAGTAGAAAAAACGAAGCCTGTGAGTGCTGCTTTTTTACCAAAGAAAGTTTGTCTGATTTCTGATAATATCTGAACCCTAAATAAATTAACAGACTCTAAAAGGCAAGCCTCAGTTGAAGAAAGCGCTACGTATTAATTATTGAAGATGAATCCTATAAAAATCTTATTTTTCTGTAGGGCAGTATCATTGGGCCATTGGGCCTTGGCAGAGCTACCTGCAGCTGTGGTGGACCCCAGTGGGTCTCCCTGTGGCAGACCCTATTGGGCCTCCCTGGGCCATATGTGTACACACCAGATGCCCCCAAAGTTGGGCGATACCCAGCACCTATACTTTCTCATAATACTATAATTGGGACTGGAAGTAGATCCAGAAAAGAAAGTACACCAGATGTGCTGGTGGCCACAGCTTTAAAAGAAGATTAAACAAATCCATGAATGATCATGGAGCTCTCAATGTCTACTTGTCATGATGACTACCGTATTTTTTGTCCCATAGGACGCACCGGCCCATAGGATGCAACTAGTTTTTTTGGGGGGAAATAAAAGAAATCCCCCCCTTTATTTCCCCCCCCCCAAACCAGGTCGGGGAACAGCAGGATTGTGGCGCTCTGCCTCCCCGCTGAGCTTGTGGGGCTGGCGCTGGGGAGAAGCGCGCTTCTCCCCAGCGCCAGCCTCCAAACCAGGTCGAGGAACAGCGGATGGTGGCGCTGCGCCTCTCCGCTGTCCCCCAAGCTTGTGGGGCTGCCCGATGTCTGCCTGAAGCGCAGGGTGCTCTGGTTCAGCGCTCCCTGCGCTCCATGCAGCAGGCTGCTATCTGCAGCCTAGGGAGCCCTGCGGGAACTCCCGCGGGCTCCCCAGGCTTGCGGATAGCTTCCTGAAGCCTGGAGAGCGAGAGGGGTCGGTGCGCACCGACCCCTCTCGCTCTCCAAGCCTCAGCGAAAGCCTGCATTCGCCCCATAGGACGCACACAGATTTCCCCTTCATTTTTGGAGGGGAAAAAGTGCGTCCTATAGGGTGAAAAATACGGTATATGGAAACTGTAGATTCGAAGGCAATATGCCACTGAACAGGGTGGATAAAAATCAATGAATATATATATATATATATATATATATATTGTTTTTTAAAATTTAAATTGGATTTTTAAAAAAAATTAAATCGGATTTTTAAAATAAAATGCTTTTGAGGGAAAAATCCTTCTAAAGATAGTTATCCATTTAAGTTACATTACAGTCCAAAGGCTATTCATCAGGAAATAAGGATTCATTTTAAGTTTTTCATGTGTGCTAAAACTCACAAGTTTTTTTTTTAAATTGTTTAACCACATCAGTTAACAAATATGGATACATATGCTATAATGTTATTGTTTTAGTTCAATAAATTGTTTAAATTGTTATTAAGGAAATGATTATTTTTCTCCTTCCAATAAAGCACAGCAGAAAAGTTGGCCAGATATAAACATTTAACTTATGAAACCTCACAATAATTTCCTCATTATCTGTCTATGTATTTCTCATAGTGTAACCAAATCAGTAATTTTTGATATAACTGTAAAAACTACTCTGAAAATTTATTATTCCAAAAATGAAACCTTCATCTGGTTGTAAATATTAAGATGATACCAGCAAGAATGAGTCTTTCTGTAAAAAAATGATTTAAGTCAAGTCTTACTGACTAGTGATTTAAACTGTGATTTAAATAAATTTGATTTAAATCAAATCCACCCTGCCACTGAATACTAGTTGCTGGCAAGCAATGGGAAAGTGGTACTTACTGTGCTCACACTTTGCTTGTGGGCTTCCCAGAAGCAATTGGTTAGGCAATGTCAAAAACAGGGTGCTGGACTAGATATGCCTTCGGTCTAAATCAGCAGGGGTTTTCTTTTGGTCTAAAGCAAACTGTTGAAATATATGTTATTCTAATCCTTTCAGACCTCTTTGTTACCTAGTACTTTCTAACTCATAAATTATTGTTTCTGTGTGCCTAGGTTCCTAAAAGTACTTATAAACCCCAAAAACTGAAGCAGCAGCTAGAAGGAATTAAACTGAAGAATCGTCGCAAAGCGGAGGCAAGTTCAGTATTATCTCTTTATTTAGGGCTTGTCCGCACTGCTGCTTGCCCCACCACTTTCCTTCAGGGGAAATTGAACGTCAAGGAGGTTTTCTGTGGATTGACATTTGCTCCAATTCAGCAGCAAAGAGCAGAAAAGAGTGGGGCAGTTGGAAAACCACTTGTGATCCGAGGACCTGACCCCCGCTTGGGAATAATAAAGACACGTGGGCACAGTATATAAGGTTAATGGGCTAGAAAAGGACCCAACTTTTTTTATTACAGCATGTGAGAGGTATTGGCTTAGGCATTGGACCAACACTAAATTTTGACTCCACCCACTCGGAGAGGGGTGAGTGTCTAGGGTTAACCACCAGTAGGGGGAGCCTGTTGATGCAAATACAACTATAAGCTCTCCCCTGATGTCACCGGGGGTCGTGCCATGGCCTCCAGCCACGCAGGGCATCGGACAGGATCCACGACCGCCTGATTCCTTTAACGGAATACCCATAAGTGAAGGGATAGGCGATGGCCACACCCTGCCCTTCCATACACCAACAACACATTCCAATGCCTAACCACCAAATACCAAGAAAGTTGTGTCGATTGCTACGAGATAGGCGAAAAAAAGCCAAGAGGCCCCCTAGGCAACCAGGGCGACCAACCATAGGTCCATAGCAAGGTCAAGCGAGAAGCTACGCCCTAAAGGGAGTGGTGGGTGGGTGACTCGAGGGAAATCGGAGCGCAATGGCGGGGAGAACTGGGGCGCGGCCGCATTTGAGCGGCTAAACCACGCGCCTGCACTGTCAACCTATTGGGTGCCCATCTGGGAGCGCGGCGTGCCAGCGACGATGGCAGGGCAGGGGGCGGAACGCCCCCTGTGTGACATGGGGATCGGCTCCCGGTCACAACCCCTCCCCTCTGGAAGGAGGAGAGGCTTTCCAAAAGTTGCTTGCCCGCACAAATAACCATGGATTTGCAATAAAAATGATGTCTCCGGGGACCTTTAGACACTCTACTTTGCATCTTCAATGCATCCCAGTCCTCTACCCTGGATGCATTTGATCTACTCTCCCCACAAACTGTTAAACCTTTTCACCCCTAGCTTACCATTAATATCTTCATTGATGTTTTCACACAGCTGAACATCCACTTTCACTTCATCTTCTCCACCCGCTGCGCCCCCACTGCACAAAGTGGGGAAAGGTATCATGTTACTGAAATTATTGTGTCCCCTTTAGGAACTGCTGCTGGAAGCAAATGTTAACCAGTTCTCCTGTGCAGCCCCCAAATCTGGATGTCACTGTGGTGCTGTAAGTAAAATCAGCATGAATATACATATTCAGTAGTGTGGGAATGAATAATAAGTCTGCCTCTAGTATTCGGATGTTAGGATCAATCATTTTATTGAGATTTCCTTGTTGAGATCATAATATCGAATTGCAGTTTTTGTTAAAGGTAAAGGTACCCCTGCCCTTTCGGGCCAGTCGTGTCCGACTCTAGGGTTGTGCGCCCATCTCACTTAAGAGGCCGGGGGCCAGCACTGTCCGGAGACACTTCCGGGTCACGTGGCCAGCGTGACGAAGCTGCTCTGGCAAGGCTGCACCAGCGCAGCACACGGAAACGCCGTTTACCTTCCCACTATTAAGCGGTTCCCGTACCTGTGCTGAAGGCTTGCGGTGGGGAGAAAAGCCCTTCTCCGCACCGCCAGCCTGGCAAGCGGTTTCCCTAGGAACGCATTAATTGATTTTCAATGCATTCCTATGGGAAACCGTGCTTCGCAAGACGAAAAACTCGCAAGAAGAAAAAACTTGTGGAACGAATTAATTTCGTCTTGCGAGGCACCACTGTACTTGGATTGCAGCTATGAGCCAAGTAGTTCCAACTACACATCTCATTGGGGCCACAAGCTCACTAAGTGGCCTAGGCAAGACATTTCCGCCCCAGCCTCAATCCCACCTCCTTGGCCTGTAAAAGTGGGGGGAAGGATATAACTCCGGACCACCTTATTGGGTTGTTGCAAACATTACATAAATAATGTAACCTACCACACATTCCCCATCGTGTCATAACCCTAAGTAAGCAAATTGTAGGCTTTCTGGGGGGACGAAGATGGGACACTTTGCTTCTCTAGCTACGGTTTCTTTCTTGCCCTTCCTGATCTATCTGCTGCCACATTTTCAAGCTATCATTTAGGCACCAGGCTAACGCATTTGTTTCCCCAGGCTTTCAAGAACTGCTGATGTTACCATTCTAAACTTACCAGAGTGTGATTTTGCTGTCTATTAAACATTTGAGTGGGCTGCCAGTGCTTTAGTTCTTTTGAACTTGCTATATTAGTATAGTATAGTATTAGTAGCATCCGTGTTATTTTTCTTACTACTCTTTTAGTTACCATCGGGACATAAATTTATGGAGAATGTGTGTGATAGAACTTACGTAAAATAAATAAATACTGACTTCGTATTCAGAGGCAATATACCACTAAATGAAATAATTATTATATTTATATTATATTATATTTTTAGGGTATAATTCAGACTGTTCCGGAGACCTTTCAAGCTCAGAAGATCCAAGGGGAGGTGAGCAACTTGTTTGATTATGTTATCCTGATGTTCTAACCAGCAGGAAATAAGAGGTAAAATTTCAGATTTGGTATAAAAGTTAATAGTTCTGCATTTGAGAGGCACACCTCTCTTTAATAATTAAACATCTTAGGTAAGAATCCTGGTTTTAATGATGTTTTCCTTGTCCATCATACCCTTAGCTCAATGTAATACACGGGGGATGCTGAAGTGTTCAGAATACAAATTAAGGTATTACATTAACCATTTGAAGTCCTTAAAAAGTTCTTTAGAATTTTATTGGCTGGTTTTATTGGCTGAATATCAGCTGTGGATTCAAACTTTCAGCACCATTGATTAAAGCTTTTCTAAACTGCCTTTATTATATTTAAATCATTCCAAGATTCGTTACTGCTTTTGTAATTCTTTTTGTATTGCTTTTTCTAATTCTCTATTTATGTGCTAAATTTCCTGGCAGATTGACAACGTACCTGTGAAACTAAACACAACAGCGATCTTAAGAGAAGGTGTCCTTTACCAACGAAAAGTGGAGCAGGAGCTTAATAGGTACTTTTTACTCTTTGTGCATATGCATTAACTGAAAGATGTCACAGAATCATAGAATTGCAGAGTTGGACGGTACTTCAAGGGTCATGTAGTCCACACCCCTGTAATTCTGGAATCTCAGCATTGCATTCAAGTGAATTAATCAGTTGTTCTTCATATAATTATTCGCTTCTTTTCCAAACCTTCATGAAAGATTCCAGAAGCCAGCTCATCAGAAGCTTGTTACTTGTTCAGGTGATGACAAGGCCAGAGCCCTGCCTGAGGAGAAGGCATACTAAGAATATGCCATACAGTCCTCTACAGTCCAGCCCAAATTTGGGGTGGTGAAGGATTGCAATGCAGGCCTCTTAAATAGTGCTTTACTGGTAATACATTACAAAACAAATCAATATTTCAAATCACTGTACCCCAAGATCACAATGCTGAAATACAATCAAATATATTCCAAAATAATAGGTATATGCAGTCATGACTTGAAAGAGGTTTATATAATTATCTGTATAAAATTAGAAAGATAATAGAAAGTTCTATCTTTCATAGTACAGTATTACGAGTTCCAGACAAATGACACTGACTGACAGTAGGCTTTTTTATTTTTTTATTTCTATACCGCTTTATATTTTTAATAAAAATCTCAAAGCGGTTTACAGCATATTAAATCAATAAAACATTAGCCGGGCGATGTTCCTCCAGCCTCATCAGGAGCCTCTTCGGTAGGGCTGGTGAGTGTAGGTTGAGGACAGGTGAAAGGAATGATTTCAAACATTACGTGGAATTCACTAGCACAAGATTGGTGATGACCAGGAACCTAGGCAGCTTTTAAAAAATGGGATTAGTTAGGGACATTTATGGAGGAAAGCTCTATCAAATATTTGTAGAATAGATACATGTACATGTACAGAAGTGGGATAACTGTGGACTAGCTACTAGAGACAAAGAACATGTAGAGGCAATTGTTCCTGCCCTACTTAGGAGCTGACCACTGCTGAAAACCGAATGCTTTATTAGATGAATGAAACAAAAACCAACTGAAGCAAAGACTTCATTATTGGACAACAGAGCAATTGGTACTATAAATTTATGAATGGGATTTTTATTTTCACTACTCGTGAACTCTGAGGCAATGTTTTCAGTGAGTTCTTTACCATAGTCCCAAAATCTTCCCAAGGTAGCCACAGACCAGTTCGGGCACCCTGATTTTAAAAATAATTTTTTTGCCTCATTTAAACTCACTTATTATGTTGCTATGTAATGCCACGTTCACCTTGACAGCTCTACTCTGTTCAGTTCCTCAGAGTAGCCTGTTTTCTTTTCCTTACAGGATTGAACAGCTTTTACGAGGGGCTCGGGATCCTTCTGAGTTTCTGGATTGGCAAAAAGAAATGTATGAGAGAGATTTGAACCAAAAGCTGGCAGAAGCAGAATGTAAGAGGCTGCAAGGACAGCTAAGCCACGAGGAGGCCATTCTTGCACGTCAGAATCGCATTCTGGAAAACCATAGAAAAGCTGAGCAGAAGAGGGAAGAGGTACTTTATTAGTATACTGTTCGTATTTTATCTCACCACGACTCCTGTGTATGGTATGTTCAGTGGCAAAATGAGGAAGAGGGTGTGCAGAAGAGGCAAAGTCCATATCGAGAGACAACATCGATTTCAAAAAGGAGTGGGAACCATCTATAAACTACCGTATTTTTTGCTCTATAAGACTCACTTTTTCCCTCCTAAAAAGTAAGGGGAAATGTGTGTGCGTCTTATGGAGCGAATGCAGGCTGCTCGGCTAAGCCAGAAGCCAGAACAGCAAGAGGGATTGCTGCTTTCACTGCAATTTTTTTCCTTGTTTTTTCTCCTCCAAAAACTAGGTGTGTCTGGTGGTCTGGTGCGTCTTATAGAGTGAAAAATACGGTATATAAAAAGACAGTATAAAAATTTGGACCCATTGGCAGGTTTTGACTAAACTTTCACAACTATAGAAGAGGTAAAACCAGCAGGGTACAGAATTTGTTTAATAAATCAGTATGGAAATACAGGGGAAGCCAAAGGGGGGGAGGGAAGAAATATGGATATATAAATTGTTCAACTAAGATTTGTGGAAAATTTCTACACCCTGTTGGACCAACTTCCTTTATCTGCCTTTTTAATGCTGATGTCAGTACTGTTTGTGAGGCAGTAGGTGGCATCGCACAAGATTAGTTTTACAAGGAGTGCATCTGCCACCATGCCCAATCAATAAAGAGAATATCAATAATCAATATCAATATCGAGCATCATTTGCCACTCAGCGGCTGCCTTGTAGAACATGATGCAGCCTCAGAAACAATACTGGTATCAGAACTAAAGAAATGGACAAAGGAGATCCAAAAATGTCATAATAAAGTTGTTAGCCTTTAAGGTACAACAGTAATCTTTGCTGATTTTGCTGCAACAGTCTAACCCAGGTAACTTCAGCCAGGTGTAGGAAAATGATTAAAATCAGGTTTGTTTCTTTATCTGTAGCTCTAACAATCTCAGGTTTAGGGCTTTCATTCAGATTTGAAAGAATAAAGAATGCTTAGCATTTTAAGGTCAAGGAAGCTTGCTTGCTTGCTTGCTTATTTATTTATTTATTTATTTTAGAAATGCATGCTTAAAGTTAAAAAAAACAAATAAAGCAAAAAGCTTTCATTGTAATTAATTTATCTGGCTTCAATTTTGCTTGGAGTTTAGGAAGCGGAAATGAGCCAGCAAATTGCAGAAAGGCGCATTCAAGAAAGGAAGGAAAGGGAAAAAATGGTGCATCAGGTGGTGGAAGGACGCAAAAATGTGAAGCAAGCACGAATGAAGCTCCAAAAACAGAAGCACCAAATAGGTACGGGTAGTGCCAGATCTGTGTGTCTTTTTAAAAGGTACATTTTCTTCTGATTTGCTCAGCAAAGCATTGCTATATATAGAGAGAGAGAGATTCAAGTGCTGTATTATAAATAGCTATTGAAAAGCTCCTGTTGAGAGATATACGAAATCCTGGGAAACTCCACCGATAAATATGTCTGCACAGAATTTGAGAGCCAAGCGACAAATTTGCTTTTGTTGAAGGACTCACCTAAAATATGCCTACTGTGTGTAGGCTGGCATGGGAAACATAATGGCTTGCTTGTCCTGATTCGCCAAGACCTTGTGACTTTGCAGATTAGTATAGCATCCTTTCTATAGTTTCCTTCCAGTGCTTTGTCCTTGCCCCCCCTCCGTGAGGCAGCCAATCATACTTCTAATATTGATTGATTGAATTTATATACCACCCTATACCTGGAGGTCTCAGGGCAGTTCACAAAAAAGGTCACAATATATAAAATCAGAATAAAAACAATAATCCTATAACACGCCCCCCCAAAAAAAACCAGTCACATTTTAAAGGGTATAGGATGTTGATTAGGTCAGCCAAATGCCTGGTTAGAAAGGAACGTTTTTGCTGGGCGCCTAAAGGTGTATAATGAAGGTGCCAGGCAAACTTCCCTGGGGAGAGTATTCCACAGGTGGGGAGCCACTGCAGAGAAGGCCCCGTTCTTGTGTTGCCACCCTCCGGACCTCTCAAGGAGGAGGCACACGAAAAAGGGCCTCAGAAGATGATCTCAGGGTCCAGGTAGGTTCAGATGGAAAGAGGCGTTCTCTTTGTTTCCCCTCCATTTTCTTGGATCCATCCCGCTCGCTGTCATGGCTTCTTTGCTCTTTGGGGCTTGGGGGGGGAATAATTTTTTTTCTTTATCCCCCCCCCAAAAAATAAGTGCGCCCTATGGGCCGGTGCGCCCTATAGGGCGAAAAAAAGGGTAAATCTGTATCAAGGGGGTCCACTGTATAATGCTTGATTGTATGTATGTATGTATGTATGTATGAATAATCAATCAATCAATCAATCAATCTCCAAGTGTTTTACAAAATGTAGAGAGGTCACATATTTGCTAGGGTCTATCTGTAATTTGTGGGTAATCAATAAATAAAAAGTTGGATATCTGTGGCTCAGCAGTTCCTTCCGTTGGCAGACAAATAATGCACAACGTTCTGCCTCCTCAGTGAAGAAGAGCCCTGCACACGGCATTTCTGTAGCTCCAATAAGTCCCGTCATGTGGATGCCTCAGCCAGCCTAGGAATGAAGTACTGATGCGCTTACATTGAATGGGGCTTCTGGGCTGGCAGAGTGAGCCATCCCTTCTCCCATTTCTAGTTGCACTCTTCACAGCCTAGGACCCTCGTACCTATGGGACCGCGGTATGCCCCACGGAGAGCCTCTAGGTCCATAAATAGCAACACCCTAGTGGTCCCGGGCCCTAAGGAAGTTAGATTAGCTTCAACCAGAGCCAGGGCCTTTTCAACACTGGCCCCGGCATGATGGAACGCTCTGCCTCATGAGACCAGGGCCCTGCAGGATCTGATTTCTTTCCGCAGGGCCTGTAAGACAGAGTTGTTCCACCTGGCCTTTGGCTTGCAGCCAATTTGATTCCCTCCCCTCTTTCTTTTTTCTTTTTCCTTTCTCCTGTGATGAGGCTGCATTTTAATGTTTCAATATTTTAATGTTTTTTAATCTTGTTTTTAAGTTGTATTCATTCAACTTGTTTTTATTATTGCTTGTTAGCCGCCCTGAGCCCGGCCTTGGCTGGGGAGGGCGGGCTATAAATAAAAATTATTATTATTATTATTATTATTATTATTATTATTATTATTAATGCCTCGGTCTCATGAGTTTTTCCCCTTAAAAAAATAGTTTTATTGAAGATTTTATATAAGAATTGATAGTCGTTTTCACAGTTTACAAGTGGTAGGAGACACCGTTGTCATAGACATTACACGGTTGGGGGAAAAGATAGGAGAGAGATGGGGTGTGTGTGTGTGGTGCTATTTTGTTCTATTGCATAATGTTTGTGCAGTGGTTTTGTGTCCGCGTCACTCGAGAAGGTCCTTTGTTTATATATTTCTTTTTGTTAGCAGTGTGAGAGATTAGAGGATGCAGAGCTTGGTTGGTTGAATTCAGGTGGTTGCTGTGGGGTTTGTTTGTATGCGGGATGGGGTCTTGGGTCAGATTACCCATATCGGCTTGTATGCTGTTGGCGGAGATATGTCATTGCTTTGTTGTGCTGCATATGTGATAAAGGGGAGCCACACCGGGGTGAAGACATATGCCTGTCTCACGAGTTGAAGGGGAGGAAGCCACTGTAGGGGTTGGTCTGTTCTGTGGATTTTTCTTTCTTTCTCTGTCATCCTTCTTCTTAATCCGACTTAGTCAGGGCTTTGTCACATACAAAAAACTGGGTAAAGGTAAAGGACCCCTGGACAGTTAAGTCCAGTCAAAGGCGACTATGGGTTTGCAGCACTCATCTCACTTTCAGGCCAAGGGAGCTGGCGTTTGTTCACAGACAGCTTTCTGGGTCATGTGGCCAGCATGACTAAACCACTTCTGGCTCAACAGGACACCATGACAGAAACCAGAGCACACAGAAATGCCGTTTACCTTCCTGCCGCAGCGGTGCGTATTTATCTACTCGCACTGGTGTGCTTTAGAACTGCTAGGTTGGCAGGAGCTGGGACAGAGCAACGGGAGCTCACCCCGTCGTGGGGATTCGAACCGCCAACCTTCTGATCAGCAAGCCCTTGAGCTGAAAAAGGTATTTAAGTATACCTTTCCTAAGAAACCAGAGGCCTTGCTTTTGGGCATTGTCGGCCAGAGGGTGTTAAAGAAGGATTGCACATTTTTTATGTATGCAACAACAGCAGCAAGGATACTGATAGCTAAACACTGGAAAACTCAAGACTTGCCCACACTGGAAGAATGGCAGATGCAACTGATAGAATATATGGAAAGTTAATTTTTTGGTTAATATTATGCCTAATTAAGTATTTAAGTATTTGGAAAATAAACTTAAATTTAGAGACATAATATGGGGAAAATACAAATAAGAAACTGAAATAAGGTGATAATTTGCTGTTTAGAATTTTACAAACCTGGAAAGCAGGAATGGAAGATGCAAGGAAGTTCAAAAGTGAAGAAAGTATGAACATTAAGAATTTGGATTTGATGTTATAATTTTTCTTTTCTCTTTTTCTTTTCTGTAAGTCTTTTTTCTTTTATTTCTTTTATGTTTGATTATTGTATTGTGGGGGATGGGATTATATGTGTTGGGCGATAAATGTAAAATTTGAATAAATACCTTTAAAAAAAAAAACAAGCCCAAGAGGCTCAGTGGTTTAGACCACAACTACAGGGAAAGTGGAAGAAGGATGCTAAATTAATCTGCAGAATCACATGGTGTCAGGAACTGCCATCGGGAGTACAGGAGGTGGAAAGGCTCACTGAGGTTGAGAGAGATGTAGCAGCTGAAGAGGGAACCAGTAGGGGGAGAGAAGGAACTCCAAGGGAAAGTGAGTCGGAGGGATGGCTCAGAGACGCTTCCAGCGAAAACAGTGGGGAGGTCTCAGGACCTCCTATAGGGACACCCACTCCTCGCCGGAAACTGTCACGCAGAGAGTCCAGAAGACGTGTTTCCGTTAAGGAGCTTTTATGTTGGAAGAGATTCCGAAAGCAACCACTTTCGGACTCTGCTAGCGACTGACGCAGCCATGCCGGAGGGGCTCCGTCACAGGCAGAGGTTTGAGGACCTGATCAAACTCTGAGGGACTTGCATTTTACACACAAGCAGCTCATTATCCCATCACACATGGCCACTGCTCAGGTGAATCGGGACAAATAACTCATCATGGGGGTGCTTTGCTGTGTGAGCTCAGAAGGCTCGTTCATGGTAAGCGAGTCAATGGGCCATTCCCTGTGCAAAGCATGCAACTCCTATGTCACTTTCAGAGTTTACAGGCTATAATACAGCACTAGCTTTGAGACAATGAATAATTGAGGCTTCAAGCTAGTGAGCTACTGAGGGATTTTTGAAAGCTAGAATCCCATGAATTGTCCAGCTATATTTTGCTTGAAAATTGGAGGTAGGGGCCTCAAAATGGGTTCGGGAGCCTTGTTGGGTCCAGAGATTTCCATAACACCTAAAGGTCTCACGGGGCCAGCCCAAATACTTTTGGCAAATTTCGGTAATTGTGTCATTAGAAAACTCCAGAAGCTAGAGGTCTCTGGATGAGCAAAGGTAGAGGGGAATATATCCCTGTAAGTCTGCACTGATAGAATCAATAAGCACAGACTCCTAAACACCAGAGAAAAGGGTAGATTTTGATATGATTGCCTGAAAGATCACCATGTGTTCTGCTTACTGAGAACCCCAAATCCAATTCAAATTCTGGTCTTGACAGAATTGGACAGCATCCCAACTTATATTACTAATCCCCTCTACTTAACCTTATGCACTGCTATGGAGATTGCACATCTTTTCTACCATTTTACAGCTCAGGAAGTTGCTGAAGAAAGCCAGGAAATCCTACTTCAGAGTTTGAAAGAAGAAGAAGAGAGATTCAAAAAAAGATATGAACTGATTCAACAAATAAGAGCGATAGAGTATCTGCCTTTAATGAAGCAAAAATTTGTTGACTTAACCCAGGTGAGTTCATGAAGACAGATTACAAAAGTGCATGTGTGCATTTATTTGTTACTTTCCCATCTTGTTCTTCCTCCAAAGATCTCAATCCAGCACCTGACTTTACAGCTCCTTTGTGAGATAGATTAGGATGAACGAGAGTGGCCTTCTTGGAAGTCTCCAGCCATAGGTTGCTAGGGCTTGACTGCCTTAGAGCAACTTCTGGTCAATGCAATAACTAGCCATTTCTATACACAGTCATAGCTCTCCATTCCAACTCAAACCTCAAATAATTTTCTAATGAAGTCAGAGTTGTGTGTCAATTAATATGCAGGCGACTCCCCACTTGTAGGGGGATTACATTCCGGGCCGCTGTGTGCATAAGCAAAATGTGTGTAAGGGGGATCCTTGTCAGAGCAGGGAACTAGGGAAATTTCTTTTGCAACAAAAAACTCAGAGCTGTTCACAACCCTCCATAACCAAAAGCAACCCATACTCTTAACCTTTGCCTCCAGAGCACCAGAAACGGCAGGAAACAGCACGCCCGATCTTGCTGCATTACAGTTTCTCTGCCCAACAGCGTGGTAGCACTGAGAGCTTCCACATGCCATCTTGAAACCCACACATTCTTTTTTAAAGCCTTTTTGGGCTCCGGGAAGGGGTTTCTCACAAGCCACGAGGACTTTCCAGCTCTCTCCTGCCATTTCTAGGTTTGAATTGAAATCAATTGGTTGACTCATTGATTGATTTTTCTGGCGCTGCACACATACGTGGTCACACGCAAGTTGATCATGCATAGTTGGGGGGGACGCTTGTATAGTAAAAAAATTTGCCGGTTTCTCTTCTCTATAGACTCCTAACCATGGTGTTCTTGGTGAGATGTCCATAGTAGAACTGCAGGAACGCTTAGCCTTACTGAAACAAGCTCAGAAGAAGGCCGAAGAGGAGAAGAGGGATCAGATAATCCAAGAAAAATATGCGAAGGAACAGCTTCTTTTGGACAAACTTGAGCAGATCTCCATGTTCAGAGACCAATTTGGAAGAGCAGCTGCGCTGAGGTTAGTTTCAAGAACTGTAGCATTTATAATACATAATTGTGGATTATGTATTTACAGAAACAAAACAAATAATTGCTCTTCAAGTTAATAGATAGGAAATAGCTGTATTCTGAGACGGATTTCAGAAGTTTAATTAATACTGCTTTTTAGTAATATTCACAAGTTGAGGGACCCAGCAGCTAACATGAGTAAATTTTGACATTTAAATAGTAAATCTGAATTCTTTGTGCTCTCACTTGATGACCAGAATCACCATTTCAGAGGTAAAGGACCTTGCATGTGGGGGAAATGTCAAAAACAAGTCTCAAGAGTAGATTATTCTGTCATTCACCCTTTCAGAACAAGAACCACTAAATGCCTTCAAAACAAAACACAAAAGCCAGGGTGTGTCCTTACAGAGGGGACTGAAATGGATGTTTTGGGTAATTTTTAAAATTTCATTCTATAATGTATATAAATCAGAGAGAACAATTATAACAGGTGCCAATTAAAATTGAATGGGCACGTAGAATAAGTGGTTACATATCACACCCCTCAGCAGTCCTGAATTAAGAGGGACATCCTGGAATTACAGAAGCCATTCCGGATTCTGATTGGATCCCGGAATGCCTTGCAGGAATCAGCTGGCTCACACGAGTGCCAGACCAAAAGACGCTTGGGTTTTTCCGTCTTGCACTCTTTCACAAATCACCTGGCTCCTGCGAGAGCTCAGGACCAAAAAACAAGCATCTTTTATTTTGGTGAGTGTGACATACGAGTTAAGTAGCAATGTCCAAGCCATTAAAGCAAAAAGCAAAAATAAAAGTTGTCTTCATATAAAGAAATAATATTAGTGCTGTTTTATTGTCAAGTATAGTTCCAAATTTGCCATGTGCTTGTGATGATGGTTGTCTTAAAAGGATGCTTCTGCTGTTTATGTAATGAAGGAATGACAAACCATATAATATAACAAGTGTCTGGAGGCTCTAGTCGTCGTCAAAATATGCATAATTTTCTCCATCCTAGCTATATTCCATCTTTGTGGCTGCACAGAATCATAGAATTGTAGAGTTTGAATGGGCCACAAGGGTCATCTAGTCCAACCCCCTGCAATGCACAAATATTTTGCCCAATGTGGGGCTCGAACCCACATCCCTGAGGTTAAGAGTCTCATGCTCTACCAACTGTGCTATCCAACTGCAGGGGGGGGGTTGCAAGTCCGGTGCACAGGAAAAGTTTTAAAACTAAAGGGTATAAAGAAACACCCAGCGATAGCTTTTATTACTATGGGGCAACAGCGGGAGAGAAACACCAGGCAGACCCAGAAATACTATCCGCTTTTAAACCAAGCGGGGTGTGTGTGTGTGGAGTGAGGGAGCTCCAGGAAGGGTTTAAGGTAAAGCAATAAGCAGCAAAATGGGACAATAGCAAAATTGGGGCAATGCAGTTGTCTGAAAGAAGTTTTTAAATGGAGCTGCCGCCCCCTGAAATCGCGGAGGCGTGGGGGAGCAACACCAAAGGGAGAAGGCAGCACGTGGGGAGAGGGGGAGGAAGGGCTCCAAGCCAAACCACGGAGCCTGCTAGTGAAGGCTCAGATTTCCCCCCTTCCAAGCACGCTGAGATGCTGCCCGCAAAGACACAGAGAGTGTCTGTTTTGAAGCCTTTGAATTTCTATTCAAAGATGAACAAGGAAGAATTTTGGCGATTGAAATTCAGACACAGGGAGAAAAATTCCTGATATTAGGAATATATGCACCCAACGATGGGAAATCAGAATTTTTTAAGAAGCTGCACGAGACTATGCTGGACTATTTGGACTATTCCAACATCATCATGATGGGAGATATGAATGGGGTCGTATCTACAAACATGGATAAGTCACAAAGCCAAAATTTAACAAAAGATGGCAGACTGCCTAAAACCTTCTTTGAACTAACTGACAATATGGACTTGATTGACATTTGGAGGACAAAAAACCCCTTAGGTAAAGAAGGAACTTTCTTTTCTGAGGCCCACCTGTCGTGGACACGAATCGACCAAATATGGACAACTAGAGGGCTGGCACCTAAGACTAGAAAAGTGGAAATCTGCCCAAAAACCTGCTCCGACCATAACGCCCTGAAAGTGGAATTGAGACTTACACCAACCGGTTCCTTCAGATGGAAAATGAATGACACCTTACTAAGAGATCAGGATGTTGTGAAGAAGGCCCAAAAAACTTTAAGAGATTATTTTGAAATAAACTTGAATACAACGGTAGAAAAAAGAACGACCTGGGACGCAAGTAAAGCAGTTATGAGAGGGTTTCTGATACAACAAAATACGATTAAGAAAAGACTCTGGAATGGAAAAAAGGAGAAGATCTTGGAGAAAATAAGAGAAGGAGAGAAAAAATTGAGAACTAATCCAAAATCGAAGGAGGTGCTGAGAGAAATCAAATTCCATCAAGCACAATATTCGAAATTGATAAATCAAGAGGTTGAATGGAAAATTAAACAAATGAAGCAAAGATCATTTGAATCAGCAAATAAATGTGGAAAACTGCTAGCATGGCAGTTGAAAAAGAGACAAAAATTGAACACAGTTACAAATCTAGAGATTGATGGGAGAATTGTTCAGAAACCAGAAGAAATTAGAAGGTGCTTCCAGAGATACTTCAAAGAACTTTATGCACAGGGGCCACAGAAAGAGTTCGAGATAGACCAATTTTTAAAATCTAACGGACTACCAAAAGTAACTCAGGAAAAGAGAACAATCCTGAACTGTAAAATAACACAACAGGAAATTGAAGGCGCCATTCAGAATATGCAACTAGGCAAATCTCCAGGCCCGGATGGACTTACCTCCAAATATTATAAGACTTTGAAGGACTATTTGATACAACCTTTGTTAGAGGTATGTAACCAGATTATGGAGGGGAAGAAGGCACCGGAGTCGTGGAAAGAAGCCTTCATCACATTGATTCCTAAAGTGGAAACTGAAAAGACTCAACTTAAGAACTACCGTCCCATCTCACTCCTAAATGTGGATTACAAAATCTTTGCAGACATTTTGGCAAATAGACTTAAAAAAGTTTTGAATGAAGTAATTCATAAGGACCAAGCTGGCTTTCTCCCAGGTAGACATTTGTTTGATAACACCAGGAACATTATTGATATTTTGGAACTTTTACAAACAAATATCAATAGGAGAGCGGTGTTAATTTTCATTGATGCAGAGAAAGCCTTTGATAATATTTCTTGGATGTTTATGAAGAAAAATTTGGAAGGGATGGGAGTGGGACGGGGGTTTGAAAATGGAATACAAGCAATTTATACAGAGCAAAAAGCTAAATTGATAGTGAACAATGTGGTGACAGAGGAGTTTAAAATTGAAAAAGGGACACGACAGGGGTGCCCGCTATCTCCTCTTTTATTTATCTCAGTTCTGGAGGTGCTCTTGAACATGATCAGGGAGGACCGGTTGGTACAAGGAATAGAGGTCGGAGTGAAACAATATAAATTGAAAGCTTTTGCAGATGATTTAGTCTTAACACTACAGGAGCCAGTATCTAGTACAAAAAGAGTTTTAGAACTGATCCATGAATTTGGTCGGGTGGCGGGATTTAAGCTGAACAAGCAAAAGACCAAGGTTTTGGCCAAAAACTTGACACCTACAGAAACAGATGGGTTTCAGAAAGAAACAGAACTAAGTGTTGTAAAAAAAAGTGAAATACCTAGGGGTTCATTTGACCGTAAAAAATTTGAATTTATTTAAAGACAATTATGAAAAATGTTGGTCGGAAATTAAGAAGGATTTGGAAATTTGGTCAAAGTTGAAACTTTCCTTGTTGGGTAGAATTGCAGCTATAAAGATGAATGTATTGCCGAAAATGTTATTTTTGTTTCGAGCCCTACAGATCGTGGACAGAGTGGAATGTTTTGGAAAGTGGCAGAAGGATATATCTAAGTTTGTCTGGCAGGGTAAAAAGCCCCGAATAAAGTTTAAAATATTAACTGATTCAAAGGAAAGAGGGGGGTTTGCCCTGCCGGACTTGAGGTTGTATTATGAATCTGCAGCCTTTTGTTGGCTGACGGATTGGTTTCTGTTGGAGAACACTGATGTCCTGGATCTGGAAGGGTTTGACAATGCTTTTGGTTGGCATGCTTACCTGTGGTACGACAAGGTCAAAGTTCATAAACTATTTAAAAACCATATTGTCAGAAGAGCAATCTTCGCGGTCTGGTCGAAATATAAAGACTTATTGGAGGGCAAGACCCCGAGATGGCTTTCACCGATGGAGGCCAAGGCTAGGAAAAGACCCAACATGGAGGCCTACTGGCCAAAATATTGGGAAATAATTGAAAAAACTGGAGACAAATGGAGGTTGCAGAGCCAAGACAAACTAAAAAATAAGGTGCGGGATTGGTTACATTATGCTCAAATTCAAGAGGTTTTTAAAATGGACAAAAAAGTCGGTTTCCAGGTGGAAAAATCGAAATTAGAGACGGAATTGTTAGAATCAAAAACTAAGACACTTTCGAAAATGTATAACTTGCTGCTTAAATGGAATACACAGGATGAGACAGTTAAATCTGCCATGATAAAATGGGCACAGGATATTGGACACAACATTATGTTTGAAGACTGGGAAAGGTTATGGAACACCGGTATGAAGTTTACGGCATGTAATGCCTTGAAAGAAAACATTATGAAAATGATATACCGGTGGTACATGACCCCAGTCAAGCTAGCTAAGATATACCACTTGTTTGATAATAAATGCTGGAAATGTAAGGAGGCAGAAGGGACATTCTTCCATCTTTGGTGGACCTGCCCAAAAGTGAAGGCCTTCTGGGAAATGATTTATAACGAGTTAAAAAGGGTATTTAGGTATACCTTCCCCAAGAAACCAGAGGCCTTCCTACTGGGCATGGTGGACCAGAAGGTGTTAAAGAAGGACAGAACTTTGTTTATGTACGCTACTACAGCAGCAAGGATTCTTATTGCAAAGCACTGGAAGACTCAAGATTTACCCACGCTGGAGGAGTGGCAGACGCAGTTGATGGACTACATGGAATTGGCTGAAATGACTGGCAGAATCCGAGACTTGGGCGAGGAAACAATGGAAGAGGACTGGAAAAAATTCAAGGACTATTTGCAAAAACATTATAAGTTGTACGAATGTTAAGAAATACGCACGATTAGGAAATTTTTTGCTTTAGCAACTTGATTAGATAAACTGAAAATTAAGACAAGAAAAAAGAGGTGGTAAAATGAAACAACTTTATTATGTTAACTTTAAATGTACAAAGTTGGGATATAATATGATGAACTTAGAAACATAATAATTGAAAGATACAGTAAGTTAAGAAACAAGGTAACAAATTGCTGAAATTTTTATTGCAAAGAATGCAGAATCTGGAGGATGTGGGGAAGTCCATTTGGAATATTGGAAAAATCATTGAAAGTTGGATTGTAATGATCTTTTTATCATTTTTATTTTGTTTTTGTTTCTTGTATTTTTTACTCTAACCATGTGTCTATGACCCTAAGAAAAGAAACCCAATAAAAAATATATTAAAAAAAAAAAATGAAGCCTGAAGAGCAGCACACACACACACACAGAGTGACTGATTTAAAGTCGGAGAAGCACAGCACACACAGAGTAAAGGCTTCGGGATCATAGATGAAATTAGGAACAATTAGGAGGTAAAGGTGGAGAGTTGGGTGGGGGGATTAAAGTAAAGGTAAAAGGCAAAGTAAAAGGGGTAAAGTAAAGGTAAGTTAAAAACAAAGGAGGAATTAAAGGCTTCCCTTTCTCAGAAGTCCTCTTCCAAGTTAGCTCCACGTGGCCGCTTCTCGCTGCAGGAACACTGAAGAGAGAGTATCCTCCTGACTCGCACAGGACGACAAAGAGAAATGAGGCCGGGGAGAGGCTGGCACTGCAGCATAAAGGATGCTGGACACGCCCCCCCCCATGGCACCTGGTTGGACGGCCTCCGGGGGGGGGGGCGTGAGCGCCAGCCAGGTGAGCTGGAGGCAGGGGGCAACGCTCCCTGCTAGGAGCGGTGTTCGGGCTCCCGTCCACAACCACTCCCCTCTCTTTCAGGGAGGAGAGTCTCTGTTTATGTAATGAAGGAATGACAAACCATATAATATAACAAGTGTCTGGAGGCTCTAGTCGTCGTCAAAATATGCATAATTTTCTCCATCCTAGCTATATTCCATCGTGAATGGTACTGTGTCCAATGTAAGATTTTGGGCTGTTTCCCATTGAGTTGCAATTAATACAGTATGTGAGCTGCCAGGACCATACATGAGGCCAATTCTCAATTCTCATTCTTATATATCTACCTTTATATCATGAAAAATATTCCATATCTGTAATTTTGGACAATAGTTTATTTAGTAATATTTATCCTTTCTGCCAAAATTAAATTCCAGAAATCTTGTACCAATGTGCATTGTCACTAAATGATAAGCACCAAATTTATTGCAGCTCCCCCAAGAATTAGGTGATAGAGAATAAAACGTTTTGGGCATTTGCAAAGTAATGCGATACCATCTGTGTAGTAATTTCAAGGAGTTTCCCCTAAGGAAACTAGAAGCAGATTTTAAGGGTTGTGATTCCCAAATTTTATTCTAACCTTTGGGGAGAATTCGTGTGCCAATATCATGTTCCTAAGTTGCATCAAGCAACACAGAGTGCAACTTAGAAATTAATCCTTTTTGCTCTCTACCCATTGTGTTCAATAATTTTTAAAATTGTGTTAAGGGTTTCAGAGCTTGTTTCTTAATTGTTATTTTATGATTGAACTATGAGTTTGATTAAAATAAACCCAGTTCACATGAAGGTGTGACAGAGCTGATTTTATTTGGTTAATAGCTGTAGGTTGATTAGTGGTATAGAAAAATCACAACATGTGTAAAATCTTTGGATTCCCATTGTTCAAATCACTTATTTCTCCCCTGCTAGAAAAAATGGGTGATCTGATACTGTGATTAATGGAAAAATAACAGCATTTGTTCTTACTTTTTTTCTTATTTGCTCTGCAGGCTGGAGGAAAAGAAAACCAAGCCTCCGCTTCGCGAACGCATTTTGAAAGATCAACAAGTTTTGGAGCTGAAACAAAAGATTATGGAAAAATCTATGGAGCGTAAAATGCAAGCTGAGAAGATGCAGACTGCATCCCTAAAGTACGATGAAGGGTCAGTCACATCTTGGAGGCCAAAGAAAGTAAGATATTTCTTGTTCTTGTGTAAATCACTGTCCAAACATAGCATGGAAATAAGTTCTTTGCAGCCGGAACTGGAGACAGTATTCCAAGTGTGGTCACATCATGTTGTTGTTGTTTAGTCGTTTAGTCGTGTCTGACTCTTCGTGACCCCATGGACCAGAGCACGCCAGGCACTCCTATCTTCCACTGCATCCCGCAATTTGGTCAAACTCATGCTGGTAGCTTCGAGAACACTGTCCAACCATCTCATCCTCTGTCGTCCCCTTCTCCTTGTGCCCTCCATCTTTCCCAGCATCAGGGTCTTTTCCAGGGAGTCTTCTCTTCTCATGAGGTGGCCAAAGTATTGGAGTTTCAGCTTCACGATCTGTCCTTCCAGTGAGCACTCAGGGCTGATTTCCTTAAGAATGGATACGTTTGATCTTCTTGCAGTCCATGGGACTCCTCCAGCACCAGAATTCAAAAGCATCAATTCTTCGGCGATCAGCCTTCTTTGTGGTACAGCTCTCACTTCCATACATCACTACTGGGAAAACCATGGCTTTAACTATACGGACCTTTGTTGGTAAGGTGATGTCTCTGCTTTTTAAGATGCTGTCTAGGTTTGCCATCGCCTTTCTCCCAAGGAGCAGGCGTCTTTTAATTTCGTCACATCATAGGTTTGTATAAAAACATTGCAATCTTCAGTTTCACTGTTAGTCACTTTCCTAATGATACCTACCATGAAATTTGCATTTATCACAGCTGCCACACACTGGATCATGTTCATTGAGCTGTTCACCGGGATCCTAATATCTTGTTTGGTCAGTCACTACCAATTCGCACCCCATTAATGGTTCTCAAATGCCTTGGTTCTCAAACAACTTGGAACCCAAACACTGCAAACCCGGAAGTAAGTGTTCCGGTTTGCGAACTTTTTCGGAAGTTGAACGTGGTCCATTTTGATTTCCACACTTCCGTTTTAAGTCTTACGCTGAGGCCTGTCTGTTTTTGCTATTTATTTTGCGTTTTTGTGGCTCTTTTTTGTGTGTGACTGTGTGGAACCCCGTTTAGCTACGGATTGATTGTGTGACTGCAGTACATTGTTTATTGCTTCCATTTTATGGAACAATGGTCTCATTAGATAGTAAAATTCATGTTAAATTGCTGGTTTAGGGGTTGTTTTTAGAAGTCTGGAACGGATTAATCTGTTTTGCATTACTTTCTATGGGAAAGTGCACCTTGGTTTTGGAACACTTTGGTTTTGGAGCGGACTTCCAGAACGGATTAAATTTGAGAACCAAAGTACCACTGTATATTTAAAGTTAATATTCCTGCCCCCCCCAATATATCACTTTATATTTGCTTATGCTAAACTCTTATTTGCCACTTTACTTTTTACCACCTCGAACAATTTGGTGCCTGCAGCAAACTTGCTCCCCTTACTGCTGATCCCTAACTTCAGATAGTTTGTGAACAAGCTAGAAAGTACCATTCCCAGTGCAGGTCATCATTGGCAGGTCCCACATCCATTGTGAGAATTGTCTCTGCTTCCTGCCTTTACTGATCCGTAAGATGACCTGCCCCGTGACTGCTAAGCTTACTCAAGAGTCTGGTGAGGAACCTTTTGAAGATTTGTTCGGAGCTATTTGAAAGACGGCGGAAACGCCTCTTTCTGTTCACTTACAGACTTACTGGAGAACTCTTCAAGGTTAGTTAGAATAGGACATAACTTGGTGGATGCCATGCTGATGATTCTTCAGAAATACTTGCTCTTATGTATGCTTGGTAATTTTATCTTTAATAATATTTTCCAGAACAGATGTTAAACTAACTGGCCTGTAAGGTTAGCAGTTTCGTATTTGAGTTCTTTAGAAAGCTTAAGTGGTTACCATCTGGGTATGGGTATTTGTTAGCTTTTAATTTGTCGGTGCAGCTTAGAACTTCATGTCTTGCCACCACTATTTGCCTGAGTTTTTCAGACCCTTTTCCTGAGCAGTCTGCTCTATACTACAGTGAAGACAGAAGCAAATAATTCAGTTTCTCTGCAGTCTCCCTTTCCTCCTAAGCGCACCTCTAACTCCCTTGCTATCCAATGATCCAACTATCCCCCAGCCACTTTCCTGCTTCCAATGTTTAAAGAATTGTTTTGGCGATCTTTTCCCCTCAAAGAATCATTCCTGCCTCTGATAGCTTTCGTGACTCTGTTCATCAACTCTGCTAGTGTTATGTACTGAGTTGAATAGGATCCAAACTGCAGCAGTCTGATTGGTCCTAGAACAATAGGATCCAAAAGGCAGCAGTCCGATTGGTCCTAGAACAATAGGATTCAGAATGCAGCAGTCTGATTGGTCCTAGAACAATGCAGCACTATGATTGGTTGGCAGGAACCACCCAATCATGCTCCAGATAGAAGTGAATCCACAACCTGATTGGCTTAGAGTAGAATTCCGGAATTAGCCAATCATGTGCAGCCCATTGTGTAAATAATGTATATAAAGCAAATACTTTGAGGGGACATTCATTCATTCCTCCTCACCACTATGAGCTGAATAAAGAGCATGAAATCACTTTGCAACTCTGAGTATATTTCAGCTAGCAACCTGTTAGACTTGCCAGTACCTTTCCTGATCTGCAGAAGCTTCTGTTATTGTAGTTTTGAATAACCACCAAACATTCTGGAGGTTTGACGCTCTTGACTTTCCCCTTTCAACTTGTTTTCCCCCAGTCTCCTCGTTTTTGAGAAGCTTCCTCTCTTGAAGTCAGATATGACCGTGTGTGATTTTTGCAATTGTTCAGTTACGTTGAATTTGATAGCACTGTGGTCACTCTTGCCAGTTGGTTCCACAGCTCTTAGTTCTTGTGCCAGGTTTTGGGTGCCCCTTAAGATTAAGTTCAGGGTCTTCATCTCCCCTCTCTCGCATCAGCTCCATAAGCAACTCTTGTAAGGCACTGCGATTTACCATATTTTTTGCTCTAGAAGACTCTTTCCCTCCTAAAAAGTAAGGGGAAATGTGTGTGCGTCTTATGGAGCAAATGCAGGCTGCGCAGCTATCCCAGAAGCCAGAACAGCAAGAGGGATCGCTGCTTTCGCTGCACAGCGATCCCTCTTGTTGTTCTGGCTTCTTAGATTTAGAATATTTTTTTTCTTGTTTTCCTCCTCCAAAAACTAGGTGCGTCTTATGAGCGAAAAATGTGGTATATTTAGAAATGATACCTCTTTGTTGTGACCAGAACATGCATTTACCCAATCTATGTGAGGGTGTAATTGTGGTCACATGTTACTACAACACTTACTTCTTGGGATGCCTCCATACTTTCATGCTCCATCTCAATTTTTTGGTCAGGTGATACGATAGTATGTCGCCTATTCCAATTTCCTTTTGGTGTCTGGTATTGCAGTTGGGACGCAGGTGGCGCTGTGGGTAAAAGCCTCAGTGCCTAGGGCTTGCCGATCGAAAGGTCGGCGGTTCGAATCCCCGCGGCGGGGTGCGCTCCCGTTGTTCGGTCCCAGCGCCTGCCAACCTAGCAGTTCGAAAGCACTCCCAGGTGCAAGTAGATAAATAGGGACCGCTTACTAGCGGGAAGGTAAACGGCGTTTCCGTGTGCGGCTCTGGCTCGCCAGATGCAGCTTGTCACGCTGGCCACGTGACCCGGAAGTGTCTCCGGACAGCGCTGGCCCCCGGCCTCTTGAGATGGGCGCACAACCCTAGAGTCTGTCAAGACTGGCCCGTACGGGCAGGGGTACCTTTACCTTTACCTTTTATTGCAGTTGGTGCTGTGGGTTAAACCACAGAGCCTAGGACTTGCCAATCAGAAGGTCGGCAGTTCGAATCCCTGCGATGGGGTGAGCTCCTGTTACTCGGTCTTTGCTCCTGCCAACCTAGCAGTTCGAAAGCACGTCAAAGTGCAAGTAGATAAATAGGTACCACTCCTGTGAGAAGGTAAACGGCGTTTCCGTGCGCTGCTCTGGTTCGCCAGAAGCGGCTTAGTCATGCTGGCCACATGACCCGGAAGCTGTACGCCGGCTCCCTTGGCCAATAAGTGAGATGAGCGCTGCAACCCCAGAGTCGGCCACGACTGGACCTAATGGTCAGGGGTCCATTTACCTTATTGCAGTTTACAATTCTGTGGAGGAGTCTGCCTCTGGGGGTTTCTAGTTTGTTTGCCTCAGTGTGCTCTAAGCAACACCCATCACCTGGCATACGTCTAGGGCTGGCATATGTTTGTGAGCTCCCAGACATTATTGGGATTTCAAAGGCGGAAGTGATTCCTGGGGGGGAATCTGTGGAAGGCGGAGGGGTTTTTTGGCGTTCCCGTAAAAAAAAAGCTCAAGAACTTTGGGGTTAGTCTAGAAAAAAGCTGAACAATTTTGGGGTCTTCCTGAAAAATACCTCAACTTTTGGGGTGTCCTGCTTTTTACTTTTTGAAATATGACATCTCTACCCTTGCCTGACTTTCCAATAGAATCTGCATGTAGAAATAAATATCCCACTGGTTCTCTCGATTCTACTAGGTTTGTTATTCCCAACATATAGCCAGTGTGGTATAGCAGTTAGCATATCGGACTAGGACCTGGGAGATCAGGGTTCAAATCCCTATCTGGCCATAAAGCTCACTGGGTGACTGTTATGTACTGAGTTGAATAGGATGCAAAAGGCAGCAGTCTGATTGGTCCTAGAACAATAGGATTCAGAATGCAGCAGTCTGATTGGTCCTAGAACAATGCAGCAGTATGATTGGTCCGCAGGAGCCACCCAATCCAGCTCCAGGTGGAAGTGAATCCGCAACCTGATTGGCCTACAGGAGAATCCCGGAATTAGCCAATCATGTGCGGCTCATTGTGTAAATAATGTATATAAAGCAGATATTTTGGTGAAACTTTCATTCCTCACTACTATGAGCTGAATAAAGAGCATGCAATCCACACTCAACTCTGAGTATATTTCAGTGACCTTGGGCCAGCCACTGCCTCTCAGCCTAATCTACCGCACTGGGTTGTTGCAGGCATTAAATGTGGAGGAGAATCACGCATGCCACCATGAGCTCCCGGGGAAAAACAGTGGCCCCTTCCCCACAAGCACTATCCAGGAAAGTTGTACTGGTTCTGGCAACGGGAGTGTGGTTCTGTTTCTCCGCCCCACCCCACCAGCTGCCGCTGCCAGTGCTAACAGTCCAATAGGACTGCCTCTGATCTACATTTGAAGCGGATGAGACCATAAAATGCTTTTCTCTTATTGAACACCTTTGTACCAGCACTAGAATATTCTGTGTGTTGCTTCCACAGAAATCTCAGCGTGAGGATCACTGGAAGAAGTTGGAAGAAAGTCAACAGCGGCAGTTCAAGATGCTTCAGCATGGTTTTATGGCAAGAGAATTGACTCAGAAAAGGATGACCAATGAGACTTTGAGAACTGGAACCAAGGCTTGTATATTGCGCTCTTAAGTCAGACAAAGCTATTTCTACGTTTATTTCTGTTTATGAGACGCTTACCAGGTATTTTATACTGTAAGCACCAAGAGCTAGTTTTGGTTCACAGTATCTCAGTATTCTTTTTCAGCTGTTTCCTACCATTACAATATTTCCTTCCCATTGATGTCAATGGGAGAGAGAATTAATGCACTAAGGCTAGTGCCCTCCCTCCCCAACCCCCCGCCTCCTATTCCTGCCCCAGCCAGCACAGCCCCTTTTTGTCATTACCTCCATTGGAGCATCAGTGTCAGACCAGCAAGAGTGGTGGGAATTTCCATGTCCACAGTGGGGAGGTTTGTTCCATTAAAGATAACCCATTGTGAAAACGTGTCTGGCTCAGTATGTCCTCCTCATCACATGCAATTGACAATGCTCTGCTAAGGCAGTGCCCAGACCACAAATTTGGCAAGAATCCTCCTGTGCTCCTCCACTGCTTGACAATCTCTAGGCTTGCCGACACTAAAAGGAAAGTTACCAACTCTCAGTAACACATGATTCTTGGGAAGAAGCCCTCCTGAATATGATGGGATTTATTTTTGAGTACACACACACACACCACGACTTTGGCATAAAACAGGTGTTTTAAGCTGGTGGGAGTTACTTGTTTTTATTCACCCCCTTCGCTGTTTTGCCAGGCTTCAGTGCAATGCATCAAAAAGTAACCGGGGTCCACTGTGCCAACCAGTCAATTCGGTCCTGCCTTTGCCAGTTAACCCCTTGATCCCTGATAAATGGTGATTCTGTAATGCAGAAAATAAGACGGTAACCTCTTGATCATATAAGCTCTGTTAATGCAGTCAAAGAAATGCATTGCACATACACAGCTTAAACGAAGCTACTGGGAGGTGGGTTTGTAGCTGGTTGACTGACCAAACCCAGAGTGTGCTCACCAATGGTTCCTTGTCATCCTCAAAAAAGGTGACAAGTGGAGTGCCACAGGCTTCTGTCCTGAGCCCAATATTGTTCATCATCTTTGTAAATGACCTGCATGATGGAATTGAGTGGATGCCCATCAAATATGCAGATTACACCAACCTTCCTCAGCTTTCAGGAACTAGTAGCATTAACTATATAGCCCTGTTTAGGGAAGTTTTAAATCTTTGATGTTTTATTCTGTTTTTAATCTGTTGAGAGCCGCCCAAGTTTGAGCAGATGTCTTATCTGAAGCTGCGTGTCCATTTTAAAAGATACAGATGTGTTTTCTTAGCCTTTAAATTGTTTGCACTGAAACACAAGCAATAGGGGAGACTTTTCACATCCCCCCCCCAGCTCTTGCCCACGTTTGCCATGCTTGAAAGAGGCTTCACATTTCCTCACAAATCCTCCTGTATGTGTGGTTTTACGATGATGCCAACTAGCCACATAAGGCTACTTTCCAAGCCTCTGAAATAATGTTTCAAGTTTGGGCTTTTCTAATGGCTGGTAGTCTGAGGAAGACAAAAGTATATTAGCAGGATTATTGTCTCCCAGTTTCCCATTGTCTTTGTGGTCCAAGGCGTGTGCAAAATCCAAGGGAAACTATGGGCAGGGTAGGTGAAGTATCTTACTCTTTTTTTAAATCATTGGCCATTTCCATTTCTTCCGCATCTTCACAGATGTGGTATATCGCACCGAGTTTCTTGATGTACCGGAAGAGGGGAGGACCAGGGTTCAAATCCCATTTAGCTATGCAGCCTGGGCCAATCGCTTTCTCAGCAAAACTCGCCTCACAGGATGAGGAAAAGGGCGGGTGGTGGTGGTTGTGAGAACTTTGTACATTAGCCTGAGCCCCTTAAAGAAGCGGTGGAATCAAAGTATAATAAATAAATTCAAATTGAGCTTGCAAATGCCTTGGGGGGGAAATACAGTGCAACATCTTAGCTGCAAAAGGCGAGAGCTATGCCTGCTGCCTTTTAAGCCCCCCACTGCACCCCCCCCACCAGCCTATTTTCTAAAGAAGGGTGGATGTGTGCTCAGTTATCAGGACAAAACTTGAGGTCAGCCTGCAGAAGAGCTGAAGCTGACTCGGGAAAGGTGGAGAAGTGCTGTCATGAATGCGTGCGCTATCATTTCACGTTCTTTAATGTACCGAGTAGACCGGTTGCACCAAATTGCAGCCATGTTTCAGGCCTCCTGAAAGTGGCGAAAAAGGAACAGAGTCCTCATGCTCTTAGGAATCCTACACATTGCCAGCTGCACATATATTTCCAGAAATAAATGCAACGGCAGATAAGCAGAGGTAAGTAAAAACTTCCAGCAACCGACAGGCAATTCGGCGAAAGTACAGTTATGTTTCTGCTAAAGGAAGGGGGGGAAAGGAAGAAAAGACAGTGTTAACAGTCACTAAAATCCCCTCCATATTATGGTGAATGAAAGTGGAAAGGAGATCAAGGCTGCTGGTGGATTCAACATTTCTGAGAAAGCCAAAAATGTTCAATGAGGAATGCCAGAAAAAGGCGTAAGCGTCAGGAGGATGGCATGTGAAGATTCTGACGGAACCTGCAACCTAGCTGGGATACTTTGAAATTGCCTTGCAGTACAGCACTCTCTGCAGTCTGCCGGCTTTCATATGTTTAAATGGGATAAACAATGGCATAGCTTCTTAATCATTGCTCCTACTTGCCATCAGCCTGTAAAACTGTAGAAGTCAGTTGCTCTGTTTATAACTGCATGAAAATTTAATTTTAATAGATTCCCCTCGGCCCCCCTAGTAACAGCACTCAACGTTTTTAACAAACCCAGTCTTTTGAAAAAGGGAATTACAAAAAGGTAAAATAAGTTGTCTCTTCTATTTGAGGGCAAGGTAAACTTTTTCTTTTGTAAAAATGTGAAAACGAAAGAACAACCGCCTCCTAAGAAATAGCAGGATTAACATGATATGTTATTTGAGACTGGATCACACAATGTATGTATGGCTGACCATCTGAATGGAACCTAGTGCAGCCGATAGAGCACTTTCTAAACTCTGAAAGGGTAAGGCTTGATGTGCTGGGAAAATTTATACGAAAATAACTTGCACCCCAGAATGGACAAAAACCAAGGTAGAACATAGAAGAGATTACATGACACCCTCATTACAGAACCTCCTCAAGTCTCATTATAAAATTTATATTAAATCTTAGTAAAGTGCATCTTTTAAAAGACTCGTCTAGTGAAAGAGCATTTGGAAAATATAAAACACTTAACACAAGACATATAATAATAGTTAAATCAGAATGTACATTTTCAAAAACTACTTTTTTAAATTTTTTGATTCACTCAAGAATAAATGGTGTCAGCTACAGTAGTGTTCACATTATTCTTCAGTATTATGCAGCCTCATATGATTTTGTTAGTTGGCAATCTTTAGATTTGGAGCATGGCAAAAGAAGCAGTCTAAACCATCGCTACTTCTCTCTGTGTAATAAGGCTCCTCTGGCAGACAGATGCATGCCATAAAATCATGCTCAGATTTTGGGAAGCTTTGGTGCACTGACCACAGGATTGGCCTCCTGCAAGTACCTCCGCCCTGCATTCTTGTAGTCATAAGTACATGTGTGAGTCTCTGCATAGCGGTGAGTTGCACAGAAGTTGTTTCCACATCTGAAAAGAGAAAGGCAAGTGTTAGAGATCTTCCACAAATCTCATAGTCCAGATACTGTCCCGGAAATAAAATAATGCCGTTTTTAATGGTTGAAGGTCTCATCTAAACGAGTTGAGTAACACAGGAAGGCTTGTAAAACCAGAGAGACAAAATCACTAACTCCTGATGCGAGATCTGTATTCTTTGTACAGCACAATCTGCTGTATGTTCACTGGAAAAAAGTCCGTGTTGGAAGATATTGGACTATGCAGAACTGGCGAAATCCAACAGCAAAATTAAGAAAAATCTAATGATGAGTGTTTTGTGGAAGAATGGATGCTTTTTCAGACTACTTAAATATTATGGTATGGTGAACTTGTGAGCAGGATTTCAGCTATGAGCAACAGAAGTAATTTGATTGTAATAATTTGGTTATGTTTTGATAGACGGAAGATAGGCTGTAGCAGAAGGGGAATAAAAACAACTGCATGGGAAAAGGGGTGGGAAGTCAACAAAAAACAGAGAAAAGGCGAACTTGTGTTATGACTATGTATGTTGAAAATGCTGAAACTCAATAAAATATAATTGGAGAAAAACCAAGTCCCACTGTGCTGAATGAGGCTCACTCCCAGGAAACTGTGAATCAGATTCCAACCTAAAAGGGTTAAAATTATAGCACTCAAGGATGGAAAGGGGGCATTGGGAGGAAGACCACAACAGAGGAGTGGAGAAGAGAGATGCCATAAGCTGGATGGGATCATGCTGGAGGTTCTATCCTTGCTTATGGAGGCCCATGCTAACCACAAATAGAAAGGGGAAGGTTGATTTCTCTTGCAGTCTGCTCTGTTACACCTCACGATGTCCTCCAGGGTCACGTGAGTCCTGACCTTCTGGAGCAAATTTCTGAGAGGCATTGGGATCTACAGGGAAAACTGCTGAAGACTGCCTCCTGCCCACCTCCCAAATCCATTAGCAAAATCCACCCTCTGCTGTTGTTATCAAAAGCCCTTCTGAGGATGCAAGGGCACAGTAACTTAATCTGAGGCAGCAGCACTCGTAAAGGTAAAGGGACCCTTGACTATTAGGTCCAGTCGTGGCTGACTCTGGGGTTGCGGTGCTCATCTCACTTTATTGGCCGAGGGAGCCGGCGTACAGCTTCCGGGTCATGTGGCCAGCATGACTAAGCCGCTTCTGGTGAACCAGAGTAGCACACGGAAACGCCGTTTACCTTCCCGCTGGAGTGGTATCTATTTAACTACTTGCACTTTGGCGTGCTTTCAAACTGCTAGGTTGGCAGGAGCAGGGACCAAGCAATGGGATCCCCGTCACAGGGATTCTAACCGCCAACCTTCTGTGTCCTAGGCTTTGTGGTTTAACCCACGTGCCACCCGCGTCCCAGCAGCACTCATACACCGGATTAATAACCCGGGTTCAGACCAGTCAAATGGAGGTACTGAACTTTGATACTGATGAACAGTGGGCAGAGTCAGTGGGACTGAGGTTTATGAAGGCCTTGAGAAGATAGCAGGAGGTGACAGTCTGAGAAATGTTTTATGTTTGCAAATGAGGAACCTAATGAGGCGATCGTATTTGCTTAGCTTGTCTGGAACAGCAGGGTGAGAGGTAGGGAGTCAATCAAAAAGGAATACCTGAAGTTGGAGAGAGATAGAAAAAGGGGATAAAAAGGTGACGGTCAGAGACAGAGGAAAAACTACCTAGAGTGGGACCAAATAATCAAGGCAAGAAAGAGCAGAGGAGGGGGGGAGACCAGAGTCAATGAGTTACTCTGGCTTGCAAATTCAGAGATCCTGATGTCTAAGAACCAATAGCTTTGTATTTGTGGCTTCCTCTCATGTGTCTGCTGCAGCTGCAGCTTAACAACATTGCAAAGCCATTTGAACTTGTCTGACCTGTCACTGCTTGGTTCAAACGGTGAGAAGAACGCTAATGGATTCCAGGCATGCACTTCAAACAGGGCGATAGTGTCCCTGCAGGGGTCCTTTTATAAAATGCCACAAAAATCCCCACAACCACCACTTCGAAGTGTATATCAAACGGCTTGTAAGGAAATAACTCATTTCAGCAATTGTCTTGGCCAGCCAATTCCACTGGATTAGAGCAGGCATAAAGAACTAGTGCCTGAACACAATTTGGCAGGCATTTTGCAATTCCCTTTGTCGTGTTTGACTTAGCTGAGATTCCTGCATTGCAGGGGGTTGGACTAGATGACCCCTGAAGTTCCTTCCAACTCTACGATTCTATTGTATCTGGAAGAAGAGGGTGGTTTTATTCAGCGTAAACCCACTGAAATTAGTCACGGGGGAGGGGAGAGCAGAAGAATCCAATTATTTTAACACTAGGGCATACATTATGGTTTCTCCCAGCAGGACCAGGACTAACTCCTGGACATGACAACTTTCAACTTCCAGCAGCAACTCTGGTAAATTTCTGTGATTCCACAGGGCCTCTGCGTGCCATCCCTCCCATTCACACAAATCTCTACTACCTTTAAAAGGAAGCTCAAGGTATGACCCCTTTTAAATGAGATGCAAAATATTCGGGGATATTTTACAATGGACAGCCCTTCATCCCTTGGAGATTTACGTCAAGAAATTTCACATTTTATCAATGAAGAAATAATAACCATTAATAAGTGACAAAGCACGGCAACAAGCTTTCGTTTGGAGACAAACACATTCAAGGTGCAAACTCAACCTACCTACATTCATAGCTAGTCGCTAATCCAGTTTTCTTTCCACAGAAGAAACAGTGCTTTGTCATTTTCTTTTTAGGCTGAACTGAACCATTCACAGGTGGGAGATGAGTTGCATCACCTGCTTTCCAAAAGCAAAACGTTCTCAATTTATATGTGCTCTCAGAGAAATGGTGTAAGAGAAAAACAGCACACACGGAAAACCTTGCTTCGCAGGTGAAAAACAGTTTCTTGTTTCAAGTGACTTTTCTATGCCCCCCAAAATTACATAATGCAAACTTTGGCAGCAGTAAACATGTTAGCCTGACACATGTTGTTTGATTAATGTGTTTTAATTATAATTAAATACTGCATATTTTTTTGTTAGCGCAATACACGCTGTATAGAAAACTAAGTGGTTTTAGTTATGTGACATCTATGCTGCCCAAAAGAACTACTTTTTTTATTTAGAATGATTACCTTTGAAGAGTTTTGGTTCCAGAACTGCTGTCTATAGAAAAGAGAGGTTGGATACTCCCTCTTAGATCCTAGTTTGGTTTCAAATGAGACAAGCACTTTCTAGCTGATAACAGCAATATGGATTTATTACTCACCTATTCTTTTTCCTGCAGCCACAATACTTCCATTCAATCCAAGTCCAGGAGACTAAAAAGAGAGAGGTTAAAAGTAAATACAGCTAGAAGACACACCAGATGCAAATATGAAAAACAATTAAACAAGCTACCATACCATTGGTATATACCTCTTCAACTTACAGTTTTTTGCTGATGTGAAATTTCATACAATAAATTATTGTTAGAACCCCAGACACACCGAACATTTCACTGGGAAAACCCATATGCCGAACACTGTTTAATGAGAACCTATTTTGAACAGAACTGGTACATATGAAAATATATTTATACATATAATTCTGTATAAGGAAGTCAATCAGGGCTTACTCCAGATTTTTTGAAGTTTAACAGAAACTCAGAATGATGTTCAATGCAACAAGAAAAAGATGAAACATGTAAGTTGTTTTCTGTGGTGGTGTAATGTTTTCATTAAAATGCTGAAATGTGGAATAATATCTCATTGTTTTCAGTAACAAAAGCTGTTGTAGGACTCCCTGCTCCTAGGTGGTCCCAGTGACTTCAGTCATTTGAGAGCACGAGAGAAACCGTGTGCATATCAGAGCAGATTTTCTGGTCCTCTCAGAAGCCATTTGGCAATGGATTTGTAGCAGGGTTTCACAAATTATGGCTAGCCCTTGTGGCCAATCATTATTTGCTACTGCCTTGCCATATAGTTGAATCACACTAAATCTAGACTAAAACCTAACATTATAGTCAAAATATGGATACGGAACCACACATTCTCCACATTTTTTTGGATTTTGTTTATATCATATTTATAAGGCATAGGCGGAACCAACAAAAAATGCTGTAAGCAAAGCTCTTTTCATTGGAACCCAGGGTCCAAACCTAGGTGCTAACTACTTAAAAGAAATAGTATAAAACTTAAATTTATTTCCAATATTGTGTAATTATTGTTATTGTTGGGTATTGCATGTAGAAGTTGTTTAGTATTGTACAGTATTTCTTATAATGGTTCCCTTTTTGTTGGGATATGTAAATGACTCAGAGACTTCTGTTGAAATATGCTGCAGTATATAAATAAAATAAAATAAATCAATAGGCCCTTCAAATACCTGTTGGCATTTTAAATCTCCATGAACACTAAAGGACATGTTAGCAGCTCACCTGTTCCAATTAATTGAACGGGTGGAAAGAATGCAAACCCCTCCACAATTTTTTAATGACAGCAACTTGTTCAGGGTTTAATGTCAAACTTTAAAGAGAAAGATGAGGGTGATGGTGCCCTATTTTAGTTCAGGAAGGATTTTATTTATCTAAATATTTACATACCGCTATTTCATAAAACACATCAAAGCAGTTTACGACAGAAGTTACATTAAACCATACGGTAAAAACCATATAAAAACGATTAAAACCAGACATCAATTAACTATAGTGTGGAAAAATGCATTACAGTATATGTTTGCAAGATTTAGAAGAATTAAGGAAGTGTGTTAAACTGTTACACATGTCATAGATAGCATTCCATACATCTGCTGCTGCTACTTTCTACAAAACCCTGGCATGAAGGAGAAAGATATCATTCCTCTTTTCCTCCACAAAGAACTTAGGGAACGAAGAAGTGACTGGGGAGGAAAACACCATTGAGAAGCATTTTCACCCTTTTGGAAACCGGCACCTGTTATCTCCCATTATCCCCTGCCTTATTTGGGCACCAAGATACACAGAACTCTCTTGTGAACGCCAGAACAATCTCCTCTCTTCTGCTAGTGCTGCTATGGGAGCCTTATCCTGCACCAGGCAAACTGCTGCTTGTTAAACACAGTGAAGTTATGTAGGTAAGGTGCGGGAAGGGAGCAGGGCTGCAAAATATCGGTTTCATGTTCAACAAATCATTATATTCACTTAGAGGTAAACAACTGCTGGAATAATTTTCATCAGTGCGTTTTCTGCACTTACGACTTTGGTTAATGGCCACTGTTAATAACATAACTATATCACTATAATAACATAATTATTTCACTGTTTGCACTTCTCTGCATTTCACATCCCTCTGATCTGCTTACAACCACTAACAATGAAGTGAATCCATGAAACTTGAACCAGAAAAGTTTTGTCAGTTCTTAAGGCGTTACAAAGGGACGCGGGTGGCGCTGTGGGTTAAACCTCAGCGCCTAGGACTTGCCGATCACATGGTCGGCGGTTCGAATCCCCACGGCGGGGTGCGCTCCTGTTACTTGGTCCCAGCGCCTGCCAACCTAGCAGTTCGAAAGCACCCCCGGGTGCAAGTAGATAAATAGGGACCGCTTACTAGCGGGAAGGTAAACGGCGTTTCCGTGTGCTGCGCTGGTGCTGGCTCGCCAGAGCAGCTTCGTCACGCTGGCCACGTGACCCGGAAGTGTCTGCGGACAGTGCTGGCTCCCGGCCTATAGAGTGAGATGAGCGCACAACCCCAGAGTCTGTCAACCTTTAAGGCGTTACAAGACTTTTTGAAGTTTTTGCTGCAACGGCCTAACAAAGTACAGCAAGCACTTTCCCGTCCTTCCCCTGCCCCCCAAACATTGCCAGGCAATATTCCCATCACCAACCCAAACCAGGGAAGAAACGTAAAAACACAGTATCTCAGTAAGAACCTAAAGCGAATGAGACTTTTATGTATGATTTTTGTTGTTTTTGTGTTGCCCTTGATATGGTTGGCGTCAAAAGCTGAGCAACTTGAATCAAAACAAGAGCCCAAGAACTCAAGAGTCATATTCAGCCATCAACGCTCCCAGTACAATAAGCATTTCGGTAAGGGGAGATTTCTGATCACAGGGAGAGCCTAGGGGCGTTTCAGTGTCTTACTTTTTGCAGATATATCCCAATGCTTGGTTGGCAACTCAAGAGTCAGTGGTTATAGTTCCACACTCTCACTTGTACAATTTGCTTATTGGAGTGTGAAATATCTGAATAAGGCTGATGTACTGAAGATGGGTGTTTTATATCGCCTTTCAGTAAAATTCCCATGTGCAATTTGCATAAGCAAATGCAGATTAATTCATGCTCCTGGTTTCACTGAACATGTTGATAGGCGAGACGTGGAGGTCTCTAGTGGGCCACAGCGCATCAAAATAACAGTTCCTTTCTATATTACTCATAATTTGGATGTAGACAGCAGTGAACTATTAACATGCCTTAGAGGAGAGCGCAAAATATGGTTTGAAGCTCAACATCAAAAAAACGAAGATCATGGCCACTGGTCCCATCACCTCCTGGCAAATAGAAGGGGAAGAAATGGAGGCAGTGAGAGATTTTACTTTCTTGGGCTCCATGATCATTGCAGATGGTGACAGCAGCCACGAAATTAAAAGACGCCTGCTTCTTGGGAGAAAAGCAATGACAAACCTAGACAGCATCTTAAAAAGCAGAGACATCACCTTGCCAACAAAGGTCCGTATAGTTAAAGCTATGGTTTTCCCAGTAGTGATGTATGGAAGTGAGAGCTGGACCATAAAGAAGGCTGATCGCCGAAGAATTGGTGCTTTTGAATTATGGTGCTGGAGGAGACTCTTGAGAGTCCCATGGACTGCAAGAAGATCAAACCTCTCCATTCTGAAGGAAATCAGCCCTGAGTGCTCACTGGAAGGACGGATCCTGAAGCTGAGGCTCCAATACTTTGGCCACCTCACGAGAAGAGAAGACTCCCTGGAAAAGACCCTGATGTTGGGAAAGATGGAGGGCACAAGGAGAAGGGGACGACAGAGGACGAGATGGTTGGATAGTGTTCTCAGAACTACCAGCATGAGTTTGACCAAACTGCGGGAGGCAGTGGAAGGCAGGAGTGCCTGGTGTGCTCTGGTCCATGGGGTCATGAAGAGTCAGACACGACTAAACAACTAAACAACAACAACAACAACAACAACAACAAAGAACCGCATATGGCTTAGCTAATGCAGCAAAGTGTGAAACTGGATAGACAGATAGGAAGATTAAGCAAAAGCTTTTTGGATGATCAAACTGGAAATCACAAGAAAATTAATGAATGGAATTTATCACCAAGATAGAAATTAAATGCCAAAATTATGAAGTCCTAGGCTTCTGAAAAGTATGGCTGATACCTACCTGAAAGGTACAGTGGTACCTCGCAAGACGAATGCCTCGCAAGACAAAAAACTCGCTAGACGAAAGGGTTTTTTGTTTTTTGAGCTGCTTCGCAAGCCGATTTTCCCTATGGGCTTGCTTCGCAAGACGGAAACGTCTTGCAAGTTTGTTTCCTTTTTCTTAACACCGTTAATACAGTTGCGACTTGACTTCGAGGAGCGACTCATAGAACGCGGTGTGGTAGCCTTTTTTGAGGTTTTTAAAGACTTTGGTGATTTTTGAAGCTTTTCCAAAACTTTCCCGACACCGTGCTTCGCAAGACGAAAAAAATCGCAAGACGACAAAACTCGCAGAACGAATTAATTTCGTCTTGCGAGGCACCACTGTAGTTTTCCACTGGCAGTGCAAGGCTATTGGGTTGGGCTTACTGCTTGAAGAGGTGGTCAAAGGTACCATGAACAAGCCCAACATGCCTAAGAAATGCTGATACAAACAGTACTGAACACCCACATCTAGTTCTCAATTCCAGCTGCAATCAGCTTTGTGACTCTTAACAGAAACTAACAATAATCAAGCCTTCTAAGGAACACAAAGAGGAATCTCATCTATTTAGAAAGCTTATGTACTTACTAGGAAGTATCCGGGCATTTCATTGTGGGGAGCGGCCATGTTGTAGCTTTCTCCTTGAAAATGTTGGAGGTTTGCAGTCCGCGCAATACCAGAAGTCCGAAACCTGCTTGTTCCACAGGAATTCTGCAAGGCATCTCTGTTTGTGCTCCGGGCCAGCGAACTTAGGAACCCCACGTTATTTACAGAGACAACAGGATCTTTGGATGCCTTGACTGCTACTTCTGTGACTTCCCGTGCCTCCATTTTAGAAAGGAGGTCGGGTCTTTTGCCGGGCGAGTCTAAACCTACACCGTGGAATTTGGAAGTCCTTGGGTATGAGGAGTCGGCTAAATTGTGCAACTCCAAGGAGCGCAGAACATTTGGTGAGGCAGCAGGCCTCAAGTTACCAACCTCGAAAAACTTGGACTGAGCTGGAGGTTTCCGAGGACTGTAACGTGTCATCTGTGCGGAGCAGTGAAGAGGCGACAACTGTGTGTTCTTCTGGGGACTTAGTTCGCAAGAATTAAGAATACTAGTATCCGCTGCTGCTGCTGCTGCAGGGGTCAGGAGTTTTGTAATTGTCTTGTTTGGAAGATCTGAAGAAGCAGAGTCCTCATCCCCCTCAGATAAATGGAGCTCCGTGTTGACTTTTCCTATTCCATATAAATCACTGCATGGTTCAGCTAACAAGGCAAAAGCGTCAGAGTTTGGTATAACTTTTTCTTCTGCAGCATACAGCTTTACATTGGTGAGATTTGGATATAAGAAAGGACCAGCTTCGTTTGTTGCCGAACTGTTATCTATATTTCTCCCAGGGTGCCTAAGTGGAGCAGGGACCGGAAGAACCACGCTGTTTGGAGGAAGCTTTGGATCTTCTTTTTCCACGCGTGGAATTTTAGGGGGCAGCCTGAGGCTGCTAAGTGACTGTGGAGCGGTCTCCCACCTGTCATTTTCCTTCACGAAGTCAGTACTAGTGGATGGCATCCTTCTGCCAGCAGATGTTAAAAACGAAAGTGCATTTTGAGAAAAGTCTGAGGTATTTGAATTCCTAGGAGGTAGGCACGGTTGTCCCATACGGCGGAGCGCTCGCAAAAATTTCTGGTGGGCAGCTGTGACTGAGCCACTAGATGGGCGAGGAGCCAATGGAGGGTGGGGGTTCACTTTAATCGTTTTTTTAGGCTGTGAAAAAAGAAAAAGGAGACGTGGTTATTACTACTTTTTCTGCATTACAATATCCACAAAAATTCCGAGATGACTTTTCAAATTTAAAAATAGCCTCTTCTCACTTTCTTTAACTGCATACCTTTCCAAGCATGGCCAATTAAGAAATTAAGTGAATTTAAATGTTGCTCAGTGTCCAGATTAATAAAAGTTCAAAACTATAAATCTGCATAGACGGCAATGTTAATAACTAATTCTTTTCTAATAAATAATGAGAATATTGGGGGGGAAACAGATACACTAAATAACACCGCTTTGCATTTATTAAATATAAAAACAGATTCTCATTTAGAAGTTGTTTACTATATACAGTCGAACCTCGGCTCTCTAACGCCTTGGGAGTTGAACATTCCGGCTCCCGAATGATTGAAAACTGGAAGTGAATGTTCTGGTTTTTTAGCGTTCTTTTGAAAGCTGAACGTCTGACGGGGCTTCCGATTGGCTGCAGGAGTTTCCTGTAGCAAATAGAAGCCACGCTTTGGAAGTCAAACGTTTCGGAAGTCGAAGGGACTTCCGGAACGGATTCTGTTCAACTTCCAAGGTACAACTGTACCTTATACTAAAAAGGCATCTTTGTAATAAGTGGCACACACATATATTCTGGGCATATTATATAGCAAAGTATTGTCTTTTGTTGGAACAATGTCTGCTATTGAAATAAAAAGTTGCTACAGGCAGATCAGGATGTATTTGTCTCTCCCTTACTAAAGTTTTGGTCCAAAAAAAGTACCCTTATTTCTATACGTTTCCTCGCTTTAAGGCCAACAAAGCAAATTCCCTCTAACAGTTCTGTGATGAATCCTTGTAGTCTATAAAGGTTAAGGCAGTCAGCTAGCTCTTCAAAAGAAATGAATATGCAGATAGTTCTGTATGGGGTAGAAGATTCTGTGCCTTCACCTTTTTACTCAGATTCATGTTCTCCATCTTTGCTCTAAGAAGCTTCATTTTATTCATCGTAATAGAATTCTCAATAATCTGTTCACCAGAAGGAGATGCCTCTGTATCATCTTCATCATCCGCATACAAATTATAAACAGAACCACCACTGGAAAGGAGAGAGTGCAAATTTAATATTAGGTATTTAAGTTGTAAATATAGATGCCAAACATTCAAAGGGGGGAGAGAGTTGTCAAAAGCTTTCAAAAGTAAGCAGGATAATATGGGAAGAGGTGGTACCCTGGATACATTTATGGCTTTGAAGGTAAGCCCCGACACTCTGAATCGTGCTTAGTGACATGCTGGTAACCAGGGCAGCTGTTTTAAGATCAATATAACATGATCTCATGCGCAAGCACTGGCCAACATTAATGCGCTTGGATCCTGGACCAAGTAAAGTTTCTGAAGAGTCTTCAATGGTAGGCCCAAGCAGAGTGCATTGCAGTTAATGCAATATGGATGTGTGTTACCACAGCAAATTTGACCTCACCAGGAACATGTGCCACTGGTGGCCCATCAGGCTGCAATGCAGAGGGAGAGAAGAAAACCAGGGCTATTCCATTGCCTCTTCTGAAACAGCCTTTGGCCCTTCCTCTATCATCACTCCATCAAGGCTCCCTGAACTGCTTCCATCCCACATGGTTATTATAATTTTTAGAACTGGTGCCTGAGCTTGCTTTCTCCCTCCTTCACCTGCCAAGCCTCTTTTCCTTGAGTCTCTTGACTTTTGTGTTGTAAGGACAGGGCCTAGTTTTTGTCAGCTGCTCAAGAAATCTTTTCAGCTGAAGAGCAAATATTTAAGCAAGCAAGCAAGTTGGGTGAAAGGCACTTCTGGCTACAAGCTGCCACCTGAGTCCAGAGGTGTTCCAAGCTTGTGAACCTGATTCAAAAATCCAAAACAGTTTCAGTCACTGTACTCTGGTTGCACGTCCCCAAGGTCTTTCAACGCCACATTTTCAGGATCCATTGTTTCATAATTTTAGAATTCTGTGCCTTTTCCTTCCCCCTCAAACCTATGGGCCGGTCAGACTCCAATCTGCCTCATCAGCTGTAGCAAAAAGTTGAAGCGCTTCTTCAGAATGTGGGCCCTGCAGATTATTCCTACCAAATCTGTAAGAAAAGTTTCTATGTTAGACATTTTTTAACTTTTCCGAAAAGAAGTAAAACCCAGTATACCTTAACGATTCAGACAATGGTGTTAAAGTTCCATCTCCCTTGTCTATAATACGGAAAAAATTCAGTTGATCTCCTTCGCGGTATACTAAGAAGGTAACCTGTTTGCTGGATGGAACCTTCTCCCAAATATCGTCACGACTGGGATCCATGTATTCTGTTATTTCCCTAATTGGGTCTCCCACGGGAACTGAGAGGAAAAACAACCAGAAATATTTTATTGTCTGAAAGCAAGGATGCACACTTATCACCTAGGCAACAAACTGAAAAGATTTATCTCCTGAAGCTATCCTAAAGTGTCTGTAATAGGCCAAATTAAGTGATTGTCCACTTAACTTCCTCAAATAAATAATTACCGTACAGTGGTACCTCACAAGACGAATGCCTCGCAAGACAAAAAACTCGCAAGACGAAAGGGTTTTTGGTTTTTTGAGTTGCTTCGCAAGACGATTTTCCCTATGGGCTTGCTTCGCAAGACGGAAACGTCTTGCAAGTTTGTTTCCTTTTTCTTAACACCGTTAATACAGTTGCGACTTGACTTCGAGGAGCAACTCATAGCACGCAGTGTGGTAGCTTTTTTTGAGGTTTTTGAAGACTTTGGTGATTTTTGAAGCTTTTCCAAAACTTTCCCGAAACCGTGCTTCGCAAGACGAAAAAAATCGCAAGACGAAAAAACTCGTGGAACGAATTAATTTCGTCTTGCGAGGCACCACTGTATTTTTTGCTCTATAAGACTCACTTTTCCCCTCCTAAAAAGTAAGGGGAAATGTGTGTGCGGCTTATGGAGCGAATGCAGGCTGCGCAGCTATCCCAGAAGCCAGAACAGCAAGAGGGATCGCTGCTTTCACTGCGCAGAGATCCCTCTTGCTGTTCTGGCTTCTGAGATTCAGAATATTTTTTTTCTTGTTTTCCTCCTCCAAAAACTAGGTGCATCTTGTGGTCTGGTGCGTCTTATAGAGCGAAAAATACGGTAACTTATGATCAAGTTGCTGTCAAGTAAGAACCATTTTCAAATAGAAATTTAATAAATAAAATCAATAACCGGCTAGACCTTGTAATGCTTCAGCAAACTTTACGGAAGCTCAGAAAAAGAGAGAGCCCCTTTACCCTTACCAGCAAAATTGTCGACAAAAAGACTGGGCTGCACTTGCAGACAGATCTCTAGAGCTGACACAGGTCATTGTGTGGGCCAGAGTTTGCCCATCTTTTTGGGCCAGTGGCCACATTTCAGACTTTAAGAAACTGTTGTGGCTGCCGGTCATGACATGGCTGCCACAGGGGGACACGGCATAACACAACACCGCCATGAGGGGCATGATATGACACAAAATCAAGAGTATTGTCATTGCTGCTCAAGACTACCTTATGCTTACCATGGGAAGCCGGCTACGTCCTGCTGGTCTTGAGTGTGGAGATCACACAATATAGATCTCTCTCTCTCTCTCACACACACACCCCAACCACACAAATACATACCCCCCATCTCTCTCTGCCCCCAGACTACAGACCCCTCTCTTCCATGCACAAACCTCACAGATAGCTCTCCCTCTCCCAGATCACATTCCTGCACACACACACACACACACACACACACACACACACCCCTCCTTCCTTCTCTCTCTCTCTCTCTCTCTCTCTCTCTCTCTGGGGTAATGCAACTGCTAGCTCAAGACTGGCAGGCAACAAGCAAGCAATGAGGCAGGTGGGTGAGGAAGCCTTCTCTGCCGTCCCCCCCACCCCGGCAAAAAAAAAAAAAAATCCTTCCAAACCAACCAGAAGGCAAGGGGCAGACCCATCCAGCTCCAGCAACCACTCTGAACTGTTCTGCCATGTAAAGAACCAAAGCAAACCAAAATAATAATAGTAGTAATAATATATATAGATATAGATAGACAGATATACATTTATAGTGGGTTACCAACCCAATGGGGACGCGGGTGGCACTGTGGTCTAAACCACTGAGCCTAGGGCTTGCCGATTGGAAGGTCAGCGGTTCAAATCCCCGTGACGGGGTAAGCTCCTGTTGCTTGGTCCCAGCTCCTGCCAACCTAGCAGTTCCAAAGCACACCAGTACAAGTAGATAAATAGGTACCGCTCTGGCGGGAAGGTAAATGACATTTCCGTGCGCTGCTCTGGTTCCGTCAGAAGTGGCTTAGTCATGCTGGCCACATGACCTGGAAAAACTGTTTGCGGACAAACGCCGGCTCCCTCGGCCTGTAAAGTGAGATGAGCGCCGCAACCCCAGAGTTGTTTGCAACTGGACTTAACTGTCAGGGGTCCTTTACCTTTACCGTTTTTTAACTAACCTAATGCCCACAGGCAGCCCAAGGCACCAGCGAAAGCCTTTGAGGGTGCTGTGACGCTCGCAGGTGTCTGGGTGGCGGTCCCAGGTTTTCCCCACTTCCAAGGCTGTCAAACCTGTAGTAGCTACGGAAGGCCATTCCTACTGATGCATTTGCCCTTTCCAGCCACAAGAAGTATTTATACAGATGCAAATCAGCCCTTTTTGCTGCTGGTTATGACAGCAAACAAATTTCATCCTAGTGCATGGATTTTCCATGCAAGTCTTCCTGAAGATTTCACACATCCGTAAATAAAAAGATTTTTCTCATACAAACCTTGCAATTTTGAGCGCTGATTTCACTGGAGAATAAGTTTCTGAGTTATCTTTAAGGGCAGCCCCATATATAAGGCACCGCAGCTATCCAACTGGGATGTTATCACATGGATCACCACGGCAAGGCTATACTCTGTCTGGCAAAGGTTGCAAGCACGACAAGGTTGATAAAAGGAACCTGAGGCCAGGTGGGCCCCAAACTGACAATGCTGGATAAAGGAGCACCCCCAAACTGTGAACCAACTCTTTCAGGAGAAGTGCAATGCCAAACAAAGCAAGATAAAACACCAAAGTCCTAGGAACTACCTCCTCATAGTGCCTCTGTCTTATCAGGATTCAGTTTTAGTTTATTGGTTGTCATCCAGCCCATTATGGAGTCCAGATGATGCACCTGTACAGCTTCGCTCAGTTGCGTGGCGAGTTCCCACCTCCCACCAGAAGAAATAAAGACACGAGACACCATAATTAAGGTTAATGGGCAAAAATTGGCCACAACTTTATTGGTTACAGGTGATGAGCGGTATTGGCCTAGGCATTGGTCCTAATCAACTATCTGGCTTCAGGCTGTCTGCCTGAGAGGCCGGGAAGGGTTAACACCAGCAGGGGGAGCCCTGCTGATGCACATCAACTAGGCACTCCCCCGGGGTCACCGCTCGGGGGCGTGCCTTGGGCCCTGCCCTCCATAGGCTTCGGACGGAGCCACGCCCCCCGGAGTCCTTTACCGGACTACCCTTCGCAACCGGGGGAGGTGATGGCGCTCCTCCCCCGCATTCATCTACATAACAATACCCCGACCAATGCCTCGCCGCCAAACCGTGGAAGATGTGACAATTTGCTACGAGGTAGGTGAAAAACCAAGTGGCCGGTGCCAATTTGCCAAGTGGAAAAAAGTCCTACCAGGCCCCTCAACGGCGACCAACCGAGGTCCATAGCAAGGTCAAAAGAGGAACCTTGAAGGGAGGGTGGGTGGGAAATTCCCTAGCTGATCGGCGGCAAAGAGGAAGTTCCTCTGCCGCACTTTCCTTAAATGCGGCAAGTCACGCCCCCTGAGCCAGACAATAGGCTGGCCAGGGGATGACGCGGCAGAGGATTCCCCCTGTATACGCGGGGCTGGGAGCCAGCCACCGCGTGGGTGTTGGGGGCGGGAAGTCCGCAACCCCACCTCCTCCCTAGGGTTGGAAGTGGCTTTCCAATATCAGAGGGAAATAGCACAGTCATGACTCTGCATTCTAAGCCCTCGGGTGACCTCATGCAGATACTTCATATTGGTGTCTAAGAGCATGGGGGATAAGAAGGAATCTAGCTGAATCCCACCCCCTGTGCTATCTTCTGAAACTAATCTTGGTTTTAGTACCAATTAGTACAAATGTTTTGAGTTTAGTGGCTTCATCTGTACTTTCCGAAAGTTAACTACATTTTCTCAGGATTAAGGAACCCCCTCATAGTTCTGGTCTTTCCTGCAGTATTTATACAGTGGTGCCTTGCAAGACGAAATTAATTCGTTCCGCGAGTTTTGTCGTCTTGCGGTTTTTTTCGTCTTGCGAAGCACGGTGTCGGAAAAGTTTTGGAAAAGCTTCAAAAATCACCAAAGTCTTCAAAAGCCTCAAAAAAGGCTACCACACCGCGTTCTATGAGTTGCTCCTCGAATTCAAGTCGCAACTGTATTAACGGTGTTAAGAAAAAGGAAACAAACTTGCAAGACATTTCCGTCTTGCGAAGCAAGCCCATAGGGAAAATCGTCTTGCGAAGCAGCTCAAAAAACAAAAAACCCTTTTGTCTTGTGAGTTTTCCGTCTTGTGAGGCATTCGTCTTGCGAGGTACCACTGTATGACCTCTCAGATGAAAGCGTCAGAACCAATGAGTGTTTCCTCCTTTATATGTTGCTCACAAAACTATACCGCACCCATCCACCTGCGGCCGTTTCAAGTTATAGAAAGGCCAGATGAGGGTTGTTGTTTTTTTTAAAGTATCTGGACAAATGTATCTGGCACATTTTCCAAAGTGAATGCACAGCCCTAGTGCGTATGGTAATACAGGAAAAGCTGTAATACAAGGAAAAGTAGACGCACTCTCCTTTCTGCCCCCATTCTGCTGTCCTGTCACATCAAGAAATCCAAGTTTGACTGTTGGAGTGGCATACAAAGGATGAACAAGTTAAATCTGTTATGATAGACTGGGCAAGAGATGTTGGACACAATATAATATTTGAAGACTGGGAAAGGTTATGGAAGAAAGGGGTTAAGTTTACTGCATGTACGGTGTTAAAGGAAAACATTATGAAAATGATGCATCGATGGTACTTAACCCCTGTAAAACTAGCAAAGATTTACCATAAGAGTGATAATTTATGTTGGGAATGCAGAGGAAAAGAAGGTACTTTTTATCATATGTGGTGGATGTGTCCAAAGGTGAAAGACTTCTGGGAAAAGATATATAATGAGTTGAAAAAAATGTTGAAATATACATTCATTAAGAAACCAGAAGCCTTTCTACTTGGAATAGTGGGTTTGGAATTGCCCAAGAAAGATGTTAGATTGTTTTTGTATGCCACAACTGCAGCTAGAATTTTGTTGGCCCAAAATTGGAAATTACAAGAAATACCAACAGTGGAGGAATGGCAGATGAAGATGATGGACTTTTTGGAGCTGGTTGACCTGACCGAAGAATCCGCGACCAGAAGGAGGAGGAGTATCAAGATGAATGGAAGAAATTTAAGGATTATTTCATTAAATATGTTAAGATAACATAATTAGAATCACTTGTGAGTAACAGATAGGCCTAGGAGTTAAATATGTCAAATTGCATAATACTATGGATAGAAGTCAATATGAAAAGGAAGAAAGACGCTAATTGCCCAAGTAAATTTTAATGGAAAATAGTGTTGGAAAACTGCTATAATGAGCTACATGGAAACTCAGCTAGGGGGATTTGAGGAAGTCACTCAACAATGTTAAAAAAAGGGGGAGTATAAGAGTTAGGATTAATGTTTGTTTATTTGTTTATTTTATATTGTAATGTTTTTTCTTTATTATTGTTATGTTTGTCATAAATTTGGAAAATCAATAAAAAAAAATGCGGAAAAAAAGAAGAAATCCAAGTTTGACATCAATGGCACCACAATATTTTATTAATATAGCACCAGTAGCCAGCAAAGCATGCTTTCACTATGATTTAATTATGGATGCAGCAAAACTGGACTGAAACAAGCAGGCTCCCTCTGACCCTTTCGATATTACTTTTGAAATTATTACTTTTTTGCCCAGGGGGCGGAAAGGTATTTCTCAATATTTCAGAGTTTCCCCTAGACTGGTGCTCCCAGATGTTGGTGGAGGAAACTCTCATCATGCCTGACCATGCTGGCTACAAATAATAATAATAATAATAATAATAATAATAATTAATAATTTTTTATTTATACCCCACCCTCCCTGGCCAGAGCGGGGCTCAGGGCGGCTAACACCAGTAAAATTATAATAGAAACATAATAGGGGAAAAAGAAAAAAAGGAACCCAATTTAAAATACAGGTTAAAATGCAATTTAAAATACAGCCTCATTTTAAAAGTAGCCCATAGATCAAAACCATAAGGGGAGGGAAGACATAAGGGTCAGACTGATGCGTGCTGCAATGCAAAGCATTTGCGAAGTAACAGGATGGGGAAGGCTGGCCTATCAAGAGACACTCTAAAATGGGTTTATCTTGTGCAAACCCTTGCCGGTTTTAAAAACACACTTCCAGGCATGAGGACTCTGATGGTGCACTACAGAGTGAGGACTGAGAGATTTCCTGGGAGAGTCGATCTGAGTCATCTCTAACAATAGAATTGTCACTCTAATGATAATCGGGGGTTTTAAGATCCATGCAGGTATCTGTGCTCTCACAGGCAGTATCATTGAATGCCTGTTTTTGACTTTGGGCTACGGATTCAGTCACTATGGATTATTTGATTTGCTGGATACAGTGATTTGCTGTGAGCACTGCTAAAAAGAATGATTATGAAACCACAGTTGTGTCTTAGGTACTAACACTAAGGTAAAGGTAAAGGTACCCCTGCCCATACGGGCCAGTCTTGACAGACTCTAGGGTTGTGCGCTCATCTCACTCTATAGGCCGGGGGCCAGCGCTGTCCGGAGACACTTCCGGGTCACGTGGCCAGCGTGACAAGCTGCATCTGGCGAGCCAGCGCAGCACACGGAACGCTGTTTACCTTCCCGCTAGTAAGCAGTCCCTATTTATCTACTTGCACCCAGGGGTGCTTTCGAACTGCTAGGTTGGCAGGCGCTGCGACCGAGCAACGGGAGCGCACCCCGCCGCGGGGATTCGAACTGCCGACCTTTCGATCGGCAAGTCCTAGGCGCTGAGGCTTTAACCCACAGCGCCACCCGCGTCCCTAGGTACTAACACTAACACTATATAAATTATAATATTTATTCTTCTTCTTCTTCTTCTTCTTCTTATTATTATTATTATACGTCTTCTGTGATAATGATAAAATAAAGGGTAAAGGGACCCCTGACCATTAGGTCCAGTCGCGGACAACTCTGGGGTTGTGAGCTCATCTCGCTCTATAGGGCGAGGGAGCTGGCGTACAGCTTCTGGGTCATGTGGCCAGCATGACTAAGCCACTTCTGGTGAACCAGAGCAGCGCACGGAAATGCCGTTTACCTTCCCACCGGAGTGGTACCTATTTATCTACTTGCACTTTGAGGTGTTTTCGAACTGCTAGGTGGGCAGGAGCAGGGACCAAGCAACGGGAGCTCACCCCATCGCGGATTCAAACTGCCAACCTTCTGAGCGGCAAGTCCTAGGCTCTGTGGTTTAACGATACTTTGCAAATAATAATGCTTAGGGCTTCCAATGTGGGAACCAAAGGTGCCCCATAGTTAGAACATGCTTCCCACTGTCAGGTGATATGCCCATAGAAACCAATCATCTGTGTGTTTGCCCAGCATATTGAAAAGGGGAGGGGGAGGGGAGAGAATTGCAGAACACATTTGACATTTACTCTTCAGCATTAGGACTTCTGTGTTGGTCAAATTGCTGAAACTATCTGCAGTAGTCCATTGAGTGCTTTGAACACTCATTCTCACTTTTAATTTTGTATACAATGATAGACATTTCTGTAAATACGAGGGATTGAATGTTTGACCCACTTAATAATAAAGTAAACCACCTCTCCTTCAGCACTTGGTTCATACCACTCAGCTTCATACAATATTTACGGGTTTCTCTCGATGCAAATTACCAAGAGTAACTACAAAGCAAATGCAGTAACATTTGGGCGAGCGCTAAGAAAACACGTCTCACAATGTTTGTTTCTTCATTTCACTGTCTTCCGTTCCTCAAAGACAGGCTGTGGCTACCCAACAATTATCCTCTTTTAGGTACACCAAAGCTTGTGCTGCAACAGCTAAAGGAAGATGCAAATGGCAGGCAAAAATTTCAGCCCAAACTACACAGTGATACTTTAGTGGTGAAGAGAGAATGATCCAATAACTCTTGGGGCGAGATATATAGGTTGGGCCTTTTACCAGAACTGGGAGCCTATTGTCAAGTTACTAAAAAGGTAAAGGTAAAGGGACCCCTGACCATTAGGTCCAGTTGTGACCGACTCTGGGGTTGCGGCGCTCATCTTGCTTTATTGGCTGAGGGAGCCAGCGTTCAGCTTCCGGGTCATGTGGCCAGCATGACTAAGCTGCTTCTGGCGAACCAGAGCAGCTCACGGAAACGCCGTTTACCTTCCCGCCAGAGTAGTACCTATTTATATACTTGCACTGGCATGCTTTCGAACTGCTAGGTTGGCAGGAGCAGGGACCGAGCAACGGGAGCTCACCCCGTTGCGGGGATTTGAACCGCCAACCTTCTGATTGGCAAGTCCTAGGCTCTGTGGTTTAACCCACAGCGCCACCCGCAGGCAGAAGTATATAGAATCAATTACCACAGCACTTTAACTCTTATGTCACTGGGGTGTAATTGATTTATTACTGAACAGAAGCACAAAAAGGAAAGAAGCTCTCATTCACTTCAATAGTTAAGCATGTGACACATAATGGGGAAGTGAAGAATGTGCTTTACTCCCTCTAACCCGTCAGTGGGATCATAGTAAGTTTAGCTTTCAGGTGGACTGTACTGACTTTGCAAAAAATACTTCAGAGACAATTTAATAGGCACCTACCTCGTCTAGTATTAATAGGTCCACCTCGCATTGCCAATATCAACTTCAAAGTGCAGCCCTCTGAAATGCTGTAAACCAATCAAAAATGTTTTGTAGCCTTTTGCCCACAACAGAAATGGTATTTAGAAACATCTGTAATTGCATTTAAATACTCACTTGTAATCATTCAAGCAATAGTCGTCCTCCAGCTCTACATTATTCCAGATTAAGTGTTGCTGAGATACGGGGATACCTTAAAATGACATCGATAAATTTTAATTGGCTTACTGACCTTGTAAAGCTGTGCCCCAAATCACCATGGTAAACCACTGAAATTAATTGTAAGTATACTTAGTTATGTACATTCATTTAGGTTAAAGGTACTAAAGAGCTGAAAAGATGTGAATACGTAGTAGAAAGTGCCTTGAAAATATATAAAGGAACATCCTTACATTACTATCAAGTGAACACAAACTACTGTCCTTTTCTGTCCTTGAGATTAAATGGTAACAACATAAAAACAGAATACAGTGGTACCTCGGTTTAAGAACAGTCCGGTTTAAGAACGATTTGGTTTACAAAGTCCGCAAAACCGGAAATAGTGTCTTGCATTGATAACTTTACCTCGGTCTAAGAACGGAATCCGAACAGTGGAAGGGCACCGGCGGTGGGAGGCCTCATTAGGGAAAGCGCGTCTCTGTTTAAGAACGGACTTCTGGAACGGATTAAGTTTGTAAACAGAGATACTACTGTAGCTACTTTGCTTGAAAAGTTCATGGTTTGAACTAGCCTGCTTCCAAAAGCAAGGAGCCAGAAGCAACAAGAAACTTACAAGCGACACGCTGTGCAAAGTGTGCCTTTCATCTATCTTGAAATTACTGCAAATCAATTTCACTCTACGTACAAAGTAGGAACCCACAGGGTGGCATTCCAGAGGTTAGTGCCACCACTGAAAAGGCTCCATCTCCAGTTCCTAGCTGTTTGATCTCACATGACATGCCATTCTCTAAGGCGATCTTATGCAGGTAGAGTTCACGAGAGAAGGAAGCGACTGTATTCTCTAATTTGGGGTTATGCTATTCTTTCTAGGAGAGCTGTCTGTGTTATGCCATGCCCACACCACAGCCATTATGTGTTATGCCACGGCCCCATGGCAACCATTTGAGATCACTGGACTCCTCTCCAAAAACCGTATGACCACCATTGCTATTTACTGTTGTTGCAACAGAGACCAAGCAAATTTAACCCATATGATTTGGGAAGGTTCTGTTCTTATTTCCTTTTGGGCAGAGGATGTTGACTGTGTCAATGTAGTATTGAATATCGCATTACAATGTAAAGAGATCAATATGAAGTTAACTGATAAGAATTTTTTTTATGCTGTCTGAGAGCTCTCATGGTGGCTAAAGAGACTGATCCTATAACACTAGAGCAACAAATCTTGGCTTGCTGTGTACAATGCTGGGGTACTGAATTTTGCACTAGCTGAAATTTCTGAGCACTTAGATGTTAAAACTACTACCGGTGAGTACTTGGGTTCTTGTGAAAGCAAGCACTGATGATGAAGAACTCTCTGAAGATACTTCTATAACATGAACAGTTGATAGATACTCATACAGAAAAGTGTAGATATTTTAAAGAATAAGTTACTACCAAAACATATCAGCTATCATTTAAATTGGCTTATTCACTGTCTTTGTAAATATCTCAATGATACACCTCAATGAGAATTCTAAAGAAACGAAACGCCAGTACAATTCAGTGGATGTTGTTGAATGGATGCTCATCAAATTTGCAGGTGACACCAAACTGGGAGGGGTAGCTACTGCCACAGAAGACAGAATCGGGATTCAAGATGACCTTAACTGATTGGAGACCTGGGCCCAAACTAACAAAATGAATTTCAAAAGGGACAAATGCCAAGTTCCACACTTAGGCAGGAAGAACCAGCTGCAGAAATATAGGATGGGAGACACCGGGATTACCAGTTGTACACGTGGAAAGGGTCACGGGGTCTTAGTAGACCACAAGCTGAACATGAGTCAACAGTGTGATGTAGCAGCAGAAAAGGCTAATGCTATTCTAGGCTGCATCAGCAGAAGCAGTGTCCAGATCAGGGGTCGGCAAGGCTTACCCGGCATGGGCCGGTTGACTCCCACGGAGATCCTCCATGGGCCAGACCAGAGCAGCGCTGGAAATCTCGCCTGCGCATGCCTAGACGCCGAAAATCGCACCTGCACAGAAGCGATTTTCGGCGTCCGGGCATGCAAAGAAGTGATTTCCGGAGCCGTGGAAGAGTCCATGCGCCACACAGTGTCGGTTTACCGTAGTGCGTGGGGACTCACTGAGCGGGCAGCTCGGTTCAGGGGTGGCTCATGGGCCAGTTAAGCGACCGTCATGGGCTGCTTCTGGCCCATGGGCCTTAGGTTGCTGACCTATGGTCCAGATCAAGGGAAGTACTAATACTACTCTATTCTACCTTGGTCAGACCCAACCTGCAATCCTTTGTCCGTGCAGAGAAGGGCAACCAATCTAATAAAGGGCCTGGAAACCAATCCTTATGAGGCATGGCTGAGCCTGGAAAAGAGGAGCCTGAAAGGAGATATGACAGCCATCTTCAAATATCTAAGGCTGTCACATGGAAGATCCTAGAATTGCAGAGCTAGGATCCCGAGGGACATCTAGTCCAACCCCCTGTAATGAAGGAATCTCAACTAAAGCATCCATGACAGATGACTACCCAACCTCTGCTTAAAGTTTCCATGAAAGTACACCAGGTTCCAATGGAGTCCGTTCTACGGTCAAACAGCTCCTACCATCCAAAAGTTCTTCCTGATATTTAGTCAGAATCTCCTTTCTGTGGCAGGAGAAAACAAGTTTGCTCCATCTTCCAGGTACAGTCATACCTCAGGTTAAAATAGCTTCGGGATAAGTATTTTCGGGTTGCGTGCTGCGGCGACCCGGAAGTAATGGAGAGCGTTACTTCCGGGTTTCGTCGCTCGCGCATGTGGTCAAAATGACGCCACACGCATGCGCAGAAGCAGCAAATTGCGGGTTGTGTTCGCTTCTGGATGTGAACGGTGCTCTGGAACGGATCCTGTTCACATCCAGAGGTACCACTGTATTTCACACTGCTAGCTAGCTCTTTACACTGATCACCACTGCATTACAGATCACAATGGCATGTTTTCTATAAAATAACCACCTTTTCAAGGGCTAAGTTAAAAACCTTTCTAGATTTTTATAACTTAAAAGGACACAAACCTTCCAATCTCTGGATTTTAGTTTTCACAGAAATTACTGTTTCAAAAGGAGATACCAGCAACTCAAAGCATGTTCCTGTTAGCGTTTCAATGAAGAGCTCCATAGTCTCATAGAAAGCAAATTTGTAATGGCATGGTCCCATGTTATTATCATTGTAGAAAGGAGGTTCTTTCTTGTTGGCCATTCTAGGTACTTTAAAAATGCCTTGTGGGGAAGTCAGTTGGGAAGCGTTGGGCACTGAGCTCCACGACAAGCCAAGTCAGCTCTGAACACGGGACATGGGTGATGCTGTTCATGTTTCAAAGTTTGCACCTAAGACAGACGCAGAGTCAGTAAACATGGTATTTGAGGAAAACAACATTTTTTAAAAAACAAAAAACAAACAAACAATTGTCTCTGAACTTCTTGTGTGAGTTGTGACACAAAATAGTCACCTGACAACAGGCTACAGGTCAAAAGAAGGGACTGTTTATGGGCTGTGCTTACCCATCAAAACATTTGCTTGTCTGGGGCGTTATTTGACTCGGGAGTAATTTTCTCAGCGATATTTAAACAAACTAATAAATTGATATTAAGCACTGTTGTATCATAACTGAATTCTTTTCTATTCACACATGCAGCTCATAACCACTCGCTTGCAAGACGTTAAGGAGATAGAATATCTGCAAAATCACACATACTGGTCAAGAGAGACAAGGCAGTATGCCTCTGGAGATGAAGTCAACCCAGTGTTTGCAGCACCAAAGTGACCTTCCATGGTGTGCAAGCCTGGACAGTGTGTATGGGGTGTGTGTGTCCTGGGCTGCCCCAAAGACAAGACACTCCTCTTGGTCTTGATGATGTGGTCCAAAAGAAAGCAGAGCACTATGTTTGGCAACAGCTTGGCTGCAGGAGTTGCCAGGAGGAGGTGTACAAGACGCCATCCAATCGTCTTTGGGACTGGATTTGTGTATGGTTTCCTCCTTAGCCTTTTCTTCTCCTGAAGATATCCCTCAAGGCAGCTGAGGTTTAGGGCCAGAGTTTTCCTTCTCGTAGATAGGCTACCTTACAGGTTGACAAACCCCATCTGCCTCTCACTTCCCTCTACAACACACTGGGGAAGTCCCTAAGTCACTGAGGGTTTGACACCCATCAGCTACCCTCACCCGATTTAGCTTTAAATTTGAAAGGTAGAAAAATTAATTACTGGGTTATTTATTATTTTCAAAAACTGTTCTACGTTTTGCAACACATAAAGCAGCATACTTGTAACTTGGACAGATGTTTAGCAAGCCATGAAGGCAAGCACAGTTAGGCACTTGGAAAGTTCACTTTCCTTGCTTCACATCTGATTTTGGGCCAAATTATAAACAGTAACCAAACAGGTACGATAACTTAAGCATACATCCTGCTGTCCCGAATGGAAGCAGCCATTTAACTGCCAGTTGTGTGCTCTAGGCTGTGCCGACTGTTTTGTCTGTCTGTCATTGTAAGGGCTTCTAGAAGTTCACACAAGAGATTGCTGTACAATCTCTAACATCCCAATTCCATGCACGTTTATTCAGAGGTATGAGCAATTGCATTCAGCATGGCTTACCACTAAGTAAACATGCACGGAATCGCAGCCTAAGTCAATCAAAACGTTTCCGTGGGAAGGTGGCTAGAGTACCTGGGCTGAGCAGTGGAAACAAGCATGAACTTTTTTCTTCACTAGCACAATTCCGCCCAGATTTATGAAATCCAACAAACACTGTGTGGGAAATGGGGCTTTGAAACTGAAACACTTGTGAAGCGGTTGCACAGAGAAAGAAGCAAAACCCACAGCTTCACCACTGCCGACCTGACTATGCTCATTAGCCTTTCACCAAAGCAGCCTTACAGCCGAGTGCTGTGAAGTCTAAGAGGTTGAAACTGCTATTGCTCACTCTGGATGCCCAAGGAGGAAGAGGTCTCCCATTATGAACCTGGCACTTCAAGGAGCGGCTTTGGGCTTCCGGTTCCGACTGGCAGCCTCTGGACTAACTTCCAGTTAGTGCAGTGTGCCAAAGGTAGTGCAGTGTGCCAAAGTGACAATTGCCTGCAGCACCCTGCAGCTGAAAAATGAAGCCTGTATAGCATGAGTAATTTATTAAGGGTCTGTTTTTATCTATTAACAATCTCAGTAATACGAATAAAAGGAAATCATAAATAAACTTGGGGGGGGAAATCATTTTTTGTTTGTTTTCTATTATCAATCTCAATGATATGAATAAAAGGGATGTATGAATAAAAATGGGGGGGAGGTTCACCAGCACCCCACCACCCTTTTGACCTTTTTTTTTTTTTGCCAAGCACATAAAGCCGAATGCACACGAGTTCAACGTGCGCAAGCTGCGCATTCAATGTGTATAAAATTCCATTCGCTGCGTTGGCATCAAGAAGGAAACGTGAACACTAGTGTTTCAACCTCTGCCGTGTGAGGCTCGTAATACTTGGCTGCGGGAACCCTTGCAAAAAATTTTTTTTAGAATTCAAAGGGTGTGCATGGGAGGATGCGCTTTTCGTATTCTTTGCAAGGGAAAAGTGAGGGAACTAAACACTGAGGTGAAGCATATAGATAGGAACTATCACACACACACACACACATATATATATATATATATATATAGTTATATAAGTATATATAAGTACATAGCTATATAAAACTATAACTAGATCTATATAAAACTATCTATAACTATATCTAGATCTATATAGGAACTATATTTAGATCGAATAGGTTATTGTATTTTAATGTTATGTTGGAAGCTGCCCAGAGTGGCTGGGGAAACCCAGCCAGATGGGCGGGGTATAAATTATTATTATTATTATTATTATTATTATTTAAAGCTATCTAAAACTATATATGGATAGTTATATTACTAAATCTATCTATATCTATAAAGCTATAAAACTACCCTCTCTCTCTAAATAACTAGTAGCCTTCCTTGAGTCCGTCAGGACAAAAAGGTGGGGTGTAAATAAATATATAACAAATCCATATATAGTTAATAGTGCTAAGAATGCCAATTCCCAAAACAAAACTCTTTTGGAGGGCGTCTAGTCACAAGCGCGTCCCGCGAAGGAGGGAGGAGGGGAAAGAGCGCAACGGCCGCCTCGTCCTCCTCACCTGCCCGCCGGTCGCCTCCGCCTCTCCCGCTCTCCCCCCTTCGGTCGCTGGACGGGGCGGGGCCAAGCGCCGCCTCACAGGACCACCGGTGCCGCCGCCGCCGAGCACGCGACCATCACGAGAAGGCTGGGAGGAAGGCGCGGAAGGAGAACCGGCGGCCGCCGCTGCCGTTAGCCGCACTCACTCACTCCCGCCCCCGCCCGCCCCCTCCCCTCACAACGCGGCGCGCAGCCCGCCTCCTCCCTCGTCCGCCCACCGGGCCTTTGTGACGCGGGCAGGCGGGCTCCGGGCCAAGCCGCCCAGAGGTCTCCGCCCTCCCGAGCGCCGCCGCCCAATCGCCGGCCGCTCCCGCGGCTGGGAAAGAGCGGGGGGCGGGACTTCCCGCCGACGCCGGGGCGCTGTTGGTCGTTAACGGAGCGTGGGAGGGACCCCGGATGTTGGGACCCCGTTGCCGCTGGCAACGCGCCCTCGGCGCTTCCGCAAGGCCCGCAAGAGCTGCCGGGAAATGTAGTTTCGTGGTAGCCGAGCCCTAGTTAAAAAAAGGTGGACTACTCGCGTCTGGCATTTCAGTAACTAGGAGGGAGACATGCGGTCAGGACAATGGGTTAGCGCCTATCACAAAAACAAGCCAAAAAGATAAGCTCTCAGGTTTGCTTCCACCCTTGGGAGTCATAAGAACAGGCATCCCCAACCTTTGGCCCTACAGATGTTTTGGCCTACAACTCCCATGATCCCTAGCTAACAGGCCCACTGGTCAGGGATGCTGGGAATTGTAGTCCCAAAACATCTGGAGGGCCAAAGGTTTCCTACGCCTGTTTAAGAATATTGGGAGACAGGAAATAAGCCCCCATCTGTCTGGAGAGACAATGGAGTGCGCCTTTGGGGGTGAACTGCTGCCCAGACACACTGGGCATGGGGGTCCTGGGCTGCCCGGATGACATGCCTCTTGGACTCACTGATGTGATCCAAAAGAAAGCAGAGCAATACGTTTGGCACCAGCTTGGCTGCAGGAGTTGCTGGAAAGAGGCGTACAAGACGCCATCCAGCCATCTTAGGGACTCCAACTCTGGATTTGTGTAGGACCTTGTTTTTGTTTAGTCGTGTCCAACTCTTCATGACCCCATGGACCAGAGCACGCCAGGCACTCCTGTCTTCCACTGCCTCCTGCAGGTTGGTCAAACTCATGCTGGTAGCTTCGAGAACACTATCCAACCATCTTGTCCTCTGTCGTCCCCTTCTCCTTGTGCCCTCCATCTTTCCCAACATCAGGGTCTTTTCCAGGGAGTCTTCTCTTCTCGTGAGGTGGCCAAAGTATTGGAGCCTCAGCTTCAGGATCTGTCCTTCCAGTGAGCGCCCAGGGCTGATTTCCTTCAGAATGGAGAGGTTGGATCTTCTTGCAGTCCATGGGACTGTCAAGAGTCTCCTCCAGCACCACAATTCAAAAGCATCAATTCTTTGGCGATCAGCCTTCTTTGTGGTCCAGCTCTCACTTCCATACATCACTACTGGGAAAACCATAGCTTTAACTATACGGACCTCTGTTGGCAAGGTGTAGGACCTTACTTAGCCTTTACTCTTCCCAAAGATAGCCTTTCTCCTATGAGCTACCTTTCCAGGTTGACGAGCCCCATCTGCCCCTCCTTTCTCTCTGCAGCACGTGCAGAAACCACCTTGACTATTGAACTGACTCTCTGAGGGTTTGCGACCCACTGGCTACCCCCATCAAATTTAGCCAGCCATTCAAAGCCACATCCTGGCAGCTTCTGGGAGCCACAGGCGAGAGGTGAGTGCAGGGTGGGGACCCAAGGTGCAACCCAGAAGGAGCATGTGTCCCCCACCAGAGGTCCTACCCCTCTCCCCTAACACCCCATACACAAAAACTGGTTTTACAAATTGTATTTATCAATATCAGATTTATTTTGACAGTTCTGATTAATAAAATCTATACTCTGTACAAAAGATTACATTAGCAGGTCAATGCATAAGCTACTGAACTGGAACAGAAGTGGTACAGGGTACTGAAATTATTTTTGGAACACTGTGTTTCTTCTGATGCCCTGGAAGGAAAAATATTTAGATGCGAGCCTGAACAGCTCCGTCATACCAGGAGTTTAATCGGAAAGCAAGGGAATTAGTACTGGGCAGGATAAGTGTTACAGAAGAGTCAATGGCTACATTTTCATTGACCTTCAAATACATTGAGCGGGTCTTCAAATGTACTTGATGTTCTGATTTCGGATTTAGTTCCTGAAGCTGCCTGAAAGGACTGGGCCTTCTTGATGGTTGTCTTGGATTGACTACTAGGTGAGAAGATATCATCTAAAGACACACACACAGACACACACACAGACACACACACACACAGACACACACACACAGACACACACACACACACACAGAGAGAGAGAGAGAATGGGAAATGGAAATACACAATTACTGCCAATGGTAAAAAAAGCTACATTTGGCTGAAAATGTTGTCTTGTGTGCAAGTGTGATGAATCTGCTTTATATTGCCAATGGCTTCTAAAGTTTTGCCAACTTGATATTGCTGGCTTCCATTTTAAAAGGGAGACAGACACTACTAGGTTTGTGTGTGTTTTGTCTCTATGGAATTTCACCCTTATTTACGTCAAATCCCTCATCAAAACTCAGAAAGCCAGATGGACCATTCCAGATGTAATTTCCTACTGTAATTAAATGTGTAGCAGAAATAATTGCATTGTATTTGCCCATTTTGTTTTGTCTCCATTTGCCTCTCCATTTTCTATTTTTGGATAGTGTCTCTAGCTATATAAAAAACAACAAAATATCAAGTACAGTGGTGCCTCGCAAGACGAAATTAATTCGTTCCGCAAGTCTCTTCGTCTTGCGGTTTTTTCGTCTTGCGATGCACGGTTTCCCATAGGAATGCATTGAAAATCAATTAATGCGTTCCTAGGGAAACCGCCTTCAGACCAGGTCCGGGGACAGACTGTCCCCGGACCTCTTCTGAAGGCTGGGGGGGGGGGACAAGGGCTTTTCTTCCCACCCCCAGCATTTTAAAAAACCCCGGGACAGCGGAGGACTTCTCCGCTGTCCGGGCGATCTTAAAATGCTGGCGGGCGGCATTTTAAAATCGCCCCGGGACAGCGGAGGACTTCTCCGCTGTCCGGGGCGATTTAAAAGCCCCTGGGAAGGCAGGCAGGGGGACAAAGACTTTCGCCCCCCGCCCGCCTTCAGAAGGTGTTCCCGCCCCCCCCCCGCCCGGCTTCGCAGCAGCGCTACGAAGCCCGGCGGCTGGGGCAGGTGTTCCCGCCCCCCACCCGGCTTCGCAGCAGCGCTACGAAGCCCGGCGGCTAGGGCAGGTGTTCCCGCCCCCCCCACCCCGCTTCGGAGCAGCGTTCCGAAGCGGGGTGGCTGGGGCAGGTGTTCCCGCCCCCCGCCCGGCTTCGCAGCAGCGCTACGAAGCCCGGCGGCTGGGGCAGGTGTTCCCGCCCCCCCCACCCCGCTTCGGAGCAGCGTTCCGAAGCGGGGTGGCTGGGGCAGGTGTTCCCGCCCCCGCCCGGCTTCGCAGCAGCGCTACGAAGCCCGGCGGCTGGGGCAGGTGTTCCTGCCCCCCCACCCCGCTTCGGAGCAGCATTCCGAAGCGGGGTGGCTGGGGCAGGTGTTCCCGCCCCCCGCCCGGCTTCGCAGCAGCGCTACGAAGCCCGGCGGCTGGGCAAGTGTTCCCGCCCCCCCACCCCACTTCGGAGCACCGGGAGAAGCGATCTCCCCGCAGCCCCTTGCTTCA